GTTTATCAGGGTCTAGTATAGTTTGCTACCACAAGTACTTCCGGTGGGCGTAGCATAACGAATTTTGCATATGCTATTCCTAACCCCCACCTGACTATGCCATCCAAAAATTACGTCAATACGACGTCACCATCACGTCATAGGGATTGCCAAAGTATAATTACGATCGCCCGAAATGACATCTGCGCCGCCGATAACGAACTTGCTGAAGCCGGCGATCTCTCTCCTATAGTGATCGTTGTGACGAGAAAACGAGCGAGATTGCTTGCTCGATTTCGGGTGATCGTCTGTTTTGGACAAGCATCCACATACTTCGGTGGGCCTTATTACGCCACTGTGACGTCGAAATGGCGTAATTTTTCTCGGTGACGTAGTCAGGTGGGGGTTAGGATTGACATATGCAAAAATTGTTGAGCCAGATCAACTAGAAGTACATGTGGTACTAAACTATACCAGACCCGTTTATCATTCCAGTTGTATTTATAGTGTTACTTTGATTGGTATATTCCAAATTCGATTATGTTCAAACAATTCAAGCTGAACAAGGGGAAAAGACCCTGCGAAATAACCTTATCAATTAATGAAACTAAGAGAACGGGGAGTTTTCTAGGAAAGTGAAATCAGTTTCGGGCTGACATGGTCGCCTCCTTTCAACTGCTCCGTGGCCCTCTTGGTGGGCCACGGGCCCCGATTGAGAATTACTATATGACTGTTCTAAAATATCATAATGTGACTGAATGTCCCACAGTGGACAATGTTCATCTCTCACAACTTTTGTTTGATATATCTCTTACATATTATGGTAGTAACTATAGTTTGGGAACCGCTGCTGTTCTTCATATACATACAATGGTACTTAAGCACTTCAAGTCGGAGTTTATTAAAAACCTTTCTTGACGACTGTTAGTTATTGCCGTGCCACACATGGCTGCTTTCGATTGCGATAAAAAATAGAATAATTGAAAAATGTTTTTGAATCAGAACGTGGACGGGGGCGGTAGGATGTGTACGGCGTTTTCGGTTTTCGGCCTTTCATATGTAGAAAATCTTAGGTTAATCGAAGCAATATTTTTCCGAAAATAATTTTTGTATCCAGATTTTCAGAGTTTCTACTGCATTATTATAACATGAAGACGGGCGGCGTTACATTGCGTCAAGATGATGAAGCACGAGAGTATTCGTCACAAGAGAGAGTGAGATAGCATTATGCTATTGTCGCTTTCAATTCGCATCGACAGCGCGCGTATTCTACTTTTTTGAGGTAACATATCTCATTTTCGAATACAAACATATACGCGGGGATAGCGATTATTACGTAACTAACAGCAAAATGGTATGAGTGAAGTCGGGCGGTGTTAAATTACGTCGAGGTGATAAAGCACTGGAAAAAAGTAGTTTTCACCGGATTGTTATGACCGTAGAACGACGTTAAAAAAAAAACGAATTTCAAACGGGGGGACACGACCCCCGTAACCCCCCCGCTGGTTGCGCCACTGCTGATATAGCTGATATATAACTATGGTCCGCGGGATAAATCCGGCCCACCTGATATTGCCACAACCAAACTAAAACCAAATTTTGATGTTACAGCTAAAAATAGCTCGATGAATTTATTGAGATTGCGATTAAATTTAGTTTTGGCATGAGGCTGATTGGTTTCCACTTTTGTTTTTGTACCACTGTAAATATTATTCAGAAAATGTAACCTTTACGTTACACTTAAATGGCCCGCCAGTCGAGATGGCGCCTGGTTCAAAATTCTTGCCCGCCCCTGACATAGAGGCATTATCTGATTATGAATTATTTTCATGATTTTATTTCAATTGAATATACTTGGAATTGTACTAAAATTTGAATAGCTGATTTAAAGAAAAGTTTTCATTGTCTCTCAAGTTCAACCAAAATTCACTCTGTGGTGACAAAAATTTTGAGTCTAATTCTATTTCATGAGTATGAGTAAACAAATCACTTCACTTACTGGTTAACAAATTTATGATGACAACAGTCCAGGCAGTTGCTTTTAGTTCTAGTTGGAAATTTCAACTTTATTATAAACTTTAGTGAACTTATAATTGCGACAAACAAAATTGCGACTCATTAAATTTGAAGCGCTGAATTAAACGTTAGTAAATACCAACTGACCCAAAATCTTCTAGAGACAAAAAATGTTATTAATATTGACTATGAATTGATACCAGCCTTGATGTTGATTATCACATGCAACCAGTCATCTTTTTATTAAATATTTTTCACTTTTGCTATCAATAAAAGTTTACACCAAACCTTTATTACTGGTAAGCTACAATGCTTGATATGAGATCCTTTTCTGTTTTTTCACCTTGGTTGAGATGGTGAGTATACAGGTAGAATGGGAAATCTTCATCATCAGGATATTAAGTAAAATGTTCTATCATATCTGAAAACTCATCATACCTATACAATGAGCAGTATACAGATATTTTGGCCCATGACTCGAGTGGGTACCATTTTCACTGATTTATAGTACAAGCTCGATTATAAAGTATTGGAATATTATTCGAATGGTCTGATATTTTACAATTCCGATTTTGATTTTAAATGTGGAAGTTATAGACCAATAATATTCCAATACACTCGACACATTTTAAAGGGAATTATCCCTCTTCAAATGTGTTTCAAATCAAGGATTGTGTTGTTCTGTTTGCGTTAACACTTGTTCTTTACCGTATATATTCGCCGATAGGTTGTGCCACCGTATAGGTCGCACTATTAGTTTTGTGTTTTTGTGTTATAAAAGTTTAATTTAGAGTCGACTCGCACATGAGTCGCACTGAAAATTCAGGAATTTAAAAGGCCCTTTCCCTAGCTTTTTTGCATAGATAACTTTTTTTTTTGTAGGGCTTAATATAATTAAAATATGTTTATCGACACCTGTGTGCGATAATAAGTGCATGTACGCAAGCGCAGACCATACGATTTTGATGAATAATCAACTTGCTACAAACCTGTATATCATTGCCAGTACATTCAGACCCCTAACCCTGTTTGAAAAATGACAAAAACATATACGAACATAAATTTGTTGAAAAAATTTAATTGAAAACTTTATAATTAACTGGAAACGACAATTAAAACATTGTAAAATATCTACCGGAAAGTTCAGCTTAAATTTCAAATTACTTGTGGGCATGTTTCTAAAATTTGTTCTAGACTAGTCTAGTGATGTGCACATCTGCGAGTAAATACGGTACTTTCATTAATTGTAAAAATGAAATTCTTTATTTTCATGAAAGAAATATACATTTAAGGCGATCGAGCCTCGACTTTTATCCCATCACACTTTGTATTTCCACAGTCAAGACTGTTTAGAGCAAAATATCTCGGGTCCAAAACATAAGCGATACCGGTACGCCTCATAAGCGATTTTTTTTCTGTGAATCTAGGTGGAAAACAGGTGATTATGGAAAATGGAGTGACAAGAATTGTCAAACAGGGAAAAGGAGAGACCCCCCGTAATGATGGTCAAGTAAAGTCAGATTCAACCTCGTATACAGAAGGAACCGCAAATGAAAAACCTAACAATGCATCACCAATGACAACTAGCCGTCGTGGAACAGGTATGTGCAGAAAGAGTAAAATTGAGTTGTTATTTATATTTGCCATTTTGATATGTTTAAATAAGTATTTAAAACAAATTTGAAAATTATTTGTAAACTATATTTTTAATAATTTACATAAGATCTAGACAAGCAAGCTTTGATATTCATGAAACTCCGGGCTTGTTGTATCTTACCTATTTATTTGCGCTAGGGCTAAGGTGATGGACTTGGGATTCGAGTCCAAGATATTTATCTCAGTGGTTGTCAAGCTATTCTAATCTATGTTTAATAACAAATACCAACAAACGGAAGCAAGAGAATAAATGCATTGCAATTGGAGAATTAAAAAAATTAAAGTCAATTCGTTTTAAATTAATGTTTTCATTGCGAATGGTACCGAGTAAAGGACTTTGTTCGTGGCCCCAGAAAACCGATCCATTGCCCGCTGGCAGGACCCTAGACCCTGTCTGAGAATTCTTGCTCTAACTTATGTAGGAGACATAAATCAATTCTAATTTGCCCACAATATTCAAGTATTGTCTGCATTTATTTGTTTAACAAGATCCAAAGCAAAACACATCAATTATGACACACGAAGACAGATTAGCGATTTATGCTCATACTATATGAGTGCAAACAACACTTGGAATTTATAAGGGTTAATATTTCTAATATTAGTATTTCAGATACTTCAAATTTGTGTTTTTTATTAGATGTTACGTTTCTATTAGGAAAATTACTATTTGTGTTAAATTTGATATGTAAAACGTTATGAATTGATATGCATCAATTTTGACTCAACAAGACAGATTTCATTGATTTGTGCTTGGTATATTTAATAGTTAACAAAGATCTATCACTATTTCAGATACTTAAAATTTGTGTTTTTTCATTAAAAAGTTATGTTTCTAGCAGGAAATCTACTATTTGTGTCGAATTTGATATGAAAAAATTTACTATGTATTATAATTTTCTTGTCAGATCAATCCACATAGAAAATCCCACATTATGTAAAATTAAAATGAGAATTCTAGAATATCAGACTATCTATATTTATAACACATCTATAACACTACTTTACACTATGATTTTCATTAATCATTATCATAACAATTGTATCTTTTTGTCATTTAAACCTTTCTTTCCATCATTGCCTTTAAACATTTCTATGTAGGCTATTGTGCACAGTCATTGAATATTAATTGCTTTGTAATCTTCAGTGAGCATAGTATAGTCAAACTAATCATCAATAGTAACTATGATGTTTAGTAATATTACGAGTTTTTTTAACAGTTTCAGGTATTGCTGTGATAAAGCAGTTTGTGGCACTGTTATCTTTTAACATTCACCCTTTACTGTGACTGCATTTGATATTCATTAATGATTCTGTCTAAGTTTTTTAATAACTAACCTATTAAATGTTGTTGTTTCGAAACTGTACACATAAGTTAAATGCTTGGTACACAATAGCAGTAAACATAATTTATAGAATAACCACAATTTATTTCATTACTTGGTTTCGTTGTGCTAAGTGTTGGAAATAAGCTCGCTCGTGTAACTGGCCCACTCAGGAAAGTAATTGCCCACCCCTGTTCTATATTCATTCACTGTTTTCTTCACTAAACAACTAACGCTCAGGATGCTTAACTGGTTAAAAACAAGTATATTGCTCCTTCATTTCACTTATTGAATAACATATTTTTGTTCGATTTTATTTATCACGTTTTGTTAGACTTTCTCAACGGTGTCGCCGCTCGATAACCAGCTTTGGTTTTTGGCGTCTCCCTTCACCCTGAAATGCGATTTTTTTTTATATATTCGTATTTTTCAGCATGGTGAAAAAATAAATTACTGATTACTGATTATATTATTACTTTCATTTATCAGCAGTTTTTAAGATTTTCAGTATAGATTATTTATATGTGAATAATCAGCAATAACTATACCGTTTACTAACGGATACCATGAAACCTCATACTTCTTTCTTTTATTTTTAGGTATCAAACAAGCAGCTCCTATGCCACAACCAACATCTTATCGAGCAACTCCAAATGCCAATGTCAAGAATCAGATTAACATAGTTGGAGGCAATATATCACAATTGTCGATTGGAAATCAGGGAAGCACATCCTTCAATCAAAAGACTGAACGTAATATTTCTTTTGATATATTTTGAATAAATTAGAAATGAATGAATCTTTTGATCATAAGATTTTTAAGAAAATTTATTTAAATTAGATTTGAGTTATTTAAAAAAAAAAGAATCTGACACTCCAGGTTGTCAGTTTTTAAAATTTCATCAATGTTTAATAAAATTTGTTGTCACACATTCACCGCTCCTGTTTGGTATTACATGCCATTTTGAGATAAATATGATTGAAAAAAGTACTTACGCCAAAGGTCATGCAAAATGACATAATAGCTGTGTTGTCATCACAAGTTATACCTCTGGTTCAAATCCCATGCCCACATTTTACCAAGGGTGTAATAAATTGGGTAAACAAGGCCAAACTAGAAAGACTTCAATCCTTACAAAATGGTAGCTTCTTAGATATTGTTGGATGTGTGTAGCTGCTTGTAATGAGCCTTGTTCGAAGCAACATGCCTAATTAAGTTTTTTTAGAAAGTTTTGCTCTAGTCCAGTGGTTCCCTAACTAACTGTGATATCACAGAGAGAGTTCAATTTAGGCCACCACAAGTTTAATAACTGCAGAGCTGTAGCTGACTCTGCCCTTTTGCGTGTTTACCAAACTATTGAAACAGACTGAATGACACACTTGTCATTAGAATTGCGCTTTATATTCTTTGATTCATTCCATCATAACGGCGCATTGATTTTTTGTTGTGATCTTTAAATGTTTTGTTTCAGTGCACAAGGCCGGGAATCATTAATAAAATTGCAAAGGGTTCATCATGGAATTTTTTTCAAAAAGTTTTGGAACCACTGCTTTAGTCAAATATGACCTAACTATGATAGATCAGTTGAGTCATCTCAATCTTGAAGTAAAATCTGTGTATCTTGCAATATCGAACTTCTTTTTAGAATACAATGCTGGTGCTCAAAAAACGGATTACAATTTCCATGGTGGCGATTTTACACAGGCAAACATATGTGGAAGTGCAACATATAATAATAAAGATTGTGGTTTTACCAAAGGTAAGTATGTATAAAGAGGCCATCATAACAGACTTTCTTTTTCAGCTATTGCTGCATTCAACAGTATAATGTGATGTGATATATCTGCTTATTTATTTAGGCACGAACATAACATTAATGCTTTTAGCTTTAAATGATAGGATTTACATATTAATCCCGGCGAAGAGGAAAGCCGATAACATGGCTTGATCATATGATGAAACACGACTTCCAATGTGATTACCAGTCCATGTCGGGTATGGCATTAGTTAGCCAGTTAGTTATTTCAGATGCATAGACTTGACAATGGAGGAGGCCATAACTGGCCAGCGGTACATGAACTTAACTCGCCGTGACGAGAAGTACGGCAATCCTTTCACGTATAATTATCCTATACAGGATTCGAACCTGCAAACTCACGCAGGAAAATCAGAGATATGTTAACAGGCAAATTCCTAATGCCTAGCACATGTACCACAACGCTGGGCCTAAGAGTTGGAATAAACAAATTGATAAAATGGTATCAGTGACATGTTAATATGCGAACATCTAAATATGTGACATGCAGACTGTTATAAAGGAATGATGGCTAAAAATTATGATGTCAACGAAAGTTCACTTTTCATTTGAAAATCAATTTACAAATTGCCTCTATAAGACTGCCCATTTAACAACCTACTTTGTAACAGTAAGGTTTCATTTACTTTGCAATTGGGATTCATAATATTTTTATTTACCTTATATAAATATACTGCTTGGTGTTAAGGCTTTCCTCTGAATATATATTATAAAAATGCTTTAGATGATGATAATTGTTTTTCCTAATAAATAAAGTATAATTTTACTTCAGTTGACAGAATTTTCGGTGCTCTTGCAGTGTATGTACCAGGTTAGGGTTAGGCCATAATTTTATTCCGATTTTCCTCATTATAGTTCTATTACGAGTTCGGGGTCTGTCTCTGTTAGCCAAGTTAATGTACCCCCTGCCCATAGAAGTCCCGTTATACATTTTGATGCAAAGTGGGCGAACAAAATTTTTTTTTACTTCTGGACTTCTGGAGTGCCGAATTTTCTCCCAACAAGGTTCAATTCACTCATGGAACTCCAAAAGCTATGGAAATCATATTGAATCATAGTTGTGTATTGACGTCAATGCCAATTTGCTTTAGACTTGAAGCACTTCAAATAGTACAATCACCAAATCGACTATAAAGTAGTGAATTCCAGATATTGAATTTTCTGAAATAGGGAATGTAATTATTTAAAATCTTTACAGAACTTGAAATTTTATATATCATATTCTTGTTTACAAGTATGTCATATTATGCTATCATATTAATCCAACTTCTTTGTTATAAATTCCCTACAGATTTTGAATCATAACTGAATAAGAGGAAATAACAGTTTGGTTAAAACCTTTAGCAATGAATCTACCTAATATATTCCTTTTGCCATTGTTACATAGGACAACAACCTATGTGAGTCATTCCAGGAAGTATCACTTTAGGACTTTTGTCTATGGAACTCTTCATTCATGAGCACAACTAAAAAAGAATTAGAAACAATGATTTGACGCATTTTCGTTTTCGGACTCTTCTCCCTGTTTCATTTGACTTACCACATTGACTCATTTCGGAATTGTTTGTGTGTCATCCTAAATTATAGGCCATTTTGTATCATTCTATAAAATTTTGATAACATTTCATGCCATTATTTGGGTACTCCTCTCCTGTAGTATGTGTACCAGGTTAGGGTAAGGCCATAATCTAATGCCGATTCTCTTTATTTTAGTTTTATTATGAGTTCGAGGACTGTTTGTGTTAGCCAAGTGAATATACCTCGTGCCCATTGGCTTCCGTCCTTTTACACAACTTGATAAAAGTTGGCGAACAAAATTAGTTACCTCCATATATATATTTGTACACATACTTTTGAAGTGTCATTATTTTTATTTTTTATTTTCAGAATATTTATAGCAGTAGATTGGTTTATCAATGCCAAATCTACAAGATATTCCGGAATTGATTTGTTTTTTTCTACATGTTCTATATAGGTGCGAAATCTGATGGAACCGAAGAAAAAAAAATGCCGGAGAAAGATTCGGTTCAGTCTGATGGTGTAGTCGAGAAACAAGTTATTGAAATATTGACAAAGGGAATGACATCAGAACACTTCCTGGTGGGCTATGAAAAAAAATATTTGTCTTTATATTTTAAAAACGATACAGCAGCAATACTTACTGAAACTTAAATAGGACCGTTGACTCTGACATAAATGTCAATAGTGTAAAAAGTTGAAAATGACCACTTATAAATGTGCGAAGAGTTACTTTCACTAGTGATATAAAGATTTCATCAAAAACTGGTTAATACATGACGAGTGAAATTGTAGTCTTGCAGCTGAATAAGAAATTTTGAATTTCTCAGAGTTCAAATTTTAAAATTGTTGTAATCGAGGTCAAAATCAAAAGTGCTTATATTTTCCCAACATTTTTTGGTTTAAAATTTAGTTTTATTGAAATTGTTGGCCAAAACCTACTGTCCTACCCCAACCGTTATTCAAATGAAAAGAGTCCCTTCATACAGCTTTGTTTTTGATCGGGATATAAATTTTCTTCTACTCACACGCCCTGGCTGATACAGGACTTGAAGGAGCCAAGAGTTAGTTGAGGTGCTTCAAGAATATCTTTTGGCATGAAAGATTTATTAATAATCCCAAATCCACTATTGTATTTTGAATTGAAATCTTTTTGGAGAAACAAGTGTCATATTACAAGATAAATAGCTTGGAGACCTATCTTTTGATGTCCATAGTTAATTTCTATAATCTAATTAACCCAAATCAGGATGTAATATCTTGGGTAAGCAAAACTGGAAAGGAAACATGGTACCTCCTGACCTGACATATCAGCCTGGTATAGAGTGAAGATGTAAAAATATCTCGATAAATATTTTTGAGCTAAAGCATATTGAAATATTATAGGCGATCTTGAAAAAAGGACTTACAATCACTGAAATCCACGCTTCTGTCTCCAAGCTTCCTAAGGTTAATGATGTGTTGGTGAAATCTATGCTGCGTTATGATGCTTCAGAGATTGGAGAGGAATAAACTATTTGTCTTCCGGGTATCGTACAGTTTGGAGAAATATCAAATATTAGGAGTATTAGTTTGGGTTACACTGGACTAACCATGTGTATTCTTGCCAGTGGAGTAGCCAGGGGGGTGGTTTTGCGGGTCGAAACCCCCCCTTTTTCGAATGTAAAAAAAAATCTATTTTCTGTATCATAGATAGCAGTTTTCTGTAGCTTGAAATGCTTTTTAGACCCCCAAGACTACTAAAGCACGCGTATTCCAGCGTTCGATCGGACCCGCTAACTGTTTCAATCTAACTTGGCAAAAAAAAAATTCAGAACCTCACCCCCCTTTGAAAATTTCTGGTTAAGACCCTGATTCTTGCATAAGAGCTGAGTTTAAAAGTAGAAAAATGATTTATGTTAGCATGCAAGAAGATTGTTGTTCTCAATTTTAGAGATATTTTTTCAAATGTTTTCAACGTTATGTCTCGTGCTTCAACTAATCATTAAAAGAGGAATAACAAGGGAATAATAAAGTTCGAAGATTTGTATACAGAGTGACCAAAAACAGAACACCTAAATTTCTTAACTACTTATACACCACTCGCCTTATGTATGATTGTCCCCTAAAGTTTCAGTAATCTAGGACGCTTTGCACAAAATGTATGTTCTTTCTAGAATATGATTTAAATGACCTGGGTTCTGTTTTTGAAGTCACCCTGTAAAGATAGAGAGATTTAGTGTTGTTGAAGAGCTATTAGTAGACTTTATTTTATTCGACATTTGAAACGATTCAGACAATTGTAGTCTGTCAATGTTGTTCAAATTTCTGCAAGTTTGTAATAATTCCCTGTTGATAGTATCGTTTTGTTTATGTGAAAGGTACCAGAACTATTATATTTAAATTGGTATCTTATTTTAAAGATTTAAAGAACACATCAAAGAAGACTGGAAAAGAATATCTTTCAGAATATCTTCCTATATATATGTCCTGATCATTTGTACATAATTCAAAATGTATAATCATCTTTTTCTTATTTCTTCACTCATATAAAACTTCAATTTTAATCATGTTTGAAATCATGAGGCCTCAATATTTGAAACAGCAATATGATATCATATTTTTGGTTTTATGACATCAGATTGGCCACTGGTTATGATGGTTATAATTTTCACCAATTCCTGATAATAATTTTCAGAACTGTATATTAGTCTGTTATTCATTAATACAGTGATACCTCGGTAGTCAAACAATTCAGTAGTCGACCAAAAAGTTCTAGTCAAAAATACTGCGGTACTCGAAGGGATATTCCGTGCACAAACATCCCAGTGCACCACCGAATGAGATGACGCCACACGAATCGCTGCCTCTTGACCATTCAACGAGAGAGCCAATACAAAGTGCGTATATGCAATCTGTCACAGTAGACTACCGGTATAACAATCGCGAAACTGCGACAAGATATATTTTGGAATGCATAAGAACAAATTAAAATAATTACCATTATTTCTTTTGGCAAAAAAGTTTCGGTACTCAAATAATTAGTAGTCGAACTCCAATTCGGAACGAAGTATGTTCGAATAGCTAGGTATCACTGTACATTCATTCAATGATGTCTCTCTTTAATTTCAAATGAGTAGGATGCAATTTATTCTGTGAAACATACCAGTTCATCATGATTGACATAAGAATGGACTAGTGCAGGGCTACTCAACTATTTTTACCAAGGGTCCGCATACAAAACTCTAAAATTATTTGGGTCCGGCCTTTCCTTAAATTATATTTCGGCATCCTTAAACGTGCACTTCCTCGGCCGACTAATGATTATTAACTAAACAAGATTGTTTATTATGGTGTTATAGTTCTTTCCATGTATATTCAAAACTATAAGAGTCATTTTATAATAGGAAACTTAAAAAGTGGGGCTAATGATCCAAAATAAATAATTAGGTGCGGTCCAAATCCAATACTCGAAAGGTCCGGAAGCGGACCGCGGTCCGCCAGTTGAGTAGCCCTGGACTAGTGGATAAAGCATAAGACTGATTGACCATGATGACATCGCAAGTTGGCTGAATTAGGTAGGCAATGTCAAACAGGATAGATTCTGGCCCTCCCAAAATAAATTAGCCTTTCACATTGCAATGGATTCTTGTGTAGAGCCTCTTTCAAGGCAAAAGGTATATGAATATGTCATATAAAAAAGAGGACCATCTCTGATCTATATAGTATTATAGTTGAATGATTTATTTTATACGAGAAGCTATTTCAGTAAAAAGTATTATCATGTAACTATTTTTTTGGTTTTCATTCATTTTTTGTCATAATGTAATTGTTTGCTAATGATAAGTTTTTTTATGGGAATGGATCAATCGTTTGAGCTCAATAAAAGTATGGTGCTTTCAGGCTAATTAGATTAGATGATACGTTTTGAGTTGAATTTCTTGTGAATTTAACGATAAGTCTATAAAATTTTCTGGAAAAGGACAACTGATATGCAAATGAGTTTCTATTCGTAATAGGCTTAACAAAAAAAAATAGTCATTGTCGGTCAAATACATTATTGTAGCATAGTAACAATTTTTTTTAAGATACATGGTATAATATGTGTAAAATTGTTTCATTAGACTCTCTTATTATATATTGTTTATTTTTACGATTCTCACTCACTGTGGTATAGAATTCATAAAATATCATGCAGCTCAAACAAAATTATCTTGCAATGTACTATTGGTCTTGGCGTACAATTTAGGAACCACTGTCATAGAACATAATTCCAAAATGTGGTTTAAACAATCACTAGTTTTTCGCCATATATAATCTACTTCAAGTTACAATGGATGGATGGATATTCTTAGGTCTGACCTAATAAGAGAGAGAGAGATTTATGTTCCACAAGCGTCAACAACATACATAAATTCAAAATTATACGAAATTAGTATATATTCCCTTTTTTGTGCTTAGTCAAGTAAATATAACCTAATTTGGAATCTATTTAACATCCACCTTTCACAGTATATTTTTTCTTTGTACATCATGTGTGTTTGCACAACACCATGGTGTAATTTTAGTAAGGTTTATGAATAATTCTTGCATATATTTCTTTTGGTGGCTTCATTTTATTTTTTGCATAGCCATAGACTATAGCTTATCGCCCTCAATTTTTCAGCGCCATAATAGATGTCTTTTGAATGATAATTGTTTCAGGTTCTGGTTTTCTTATAATTATAACCCTTTTGAAAACTTGTGCACTTTCTTTTTGTAACCCTAACTCTTCCAGTTAGAAGATATACAAACTAACAATTGTGTAAACTTGCAAATATATTTTAAGTAATCACAAAAAAATGTGTGGTTTTGTAAAATCAAAAAAAGCATGAAAAATTTCACGAAAACTAAAAACGTGTTTAGCCAATGATGAATAGAGGGAAAATGAGAAATGGACGGGATGTAAAATTAATAATATATTTCACTGTTAGATACAATAAATATTGCTTCTTGTACTCAAGAGAATACCTAATGAAATTGAATGAATATCCAGTTGCAAGTCTTTTTATTCTAGTAGCGACATCATGGCCATTGAGCAGGATTCCCTTTCACAATATAAAGTAAGTTCGGAATTCCATTCACTGCACTGAACATTCAATAACGCAGAACAGAATGATGCGTTCAAGTAGAAAACCCAATAGGAAAAATAAATATACAGCTGTCGATACTGAATAGTACGACATAATCGTCAAAATTTTGAGTTTTTCAAATAGGTGACGAAACTTTGATACATATATATATATATGCTTACACACCACATGCTTTCTGGTATTGTTAATTCACTGAGCATTTTTTCTGTGCTGTAACTATATAGTATCTTGAAATATCATCACGAAAGTCTCTGGTAGAAAGCCCAGACCGTCAAATATAACTTCTTTCTAATTTACAACATTCATAGGTTAAGTTCAAGAAAAATTCATGCCACCAAAAATGAATACAAAAAAAATTTAATCTACTACATATACGGTCATAAGCAGTAAGCGTTCAAAATTTTAGATCACAAATGCCATCCCGACAAAATATTTCTAACTAAAATTTCAATTTTTTATACTAAAATTAAAACCAGAAAAAAGAATACTTTTGTACATAACTTCATTGAAAAATGATGAATAATGTAAAAAAGTCAATCACAAACTGTAAAAAACACATCAAAATAATGAGTTGGCAATCGGTATCAATTAACGAAAGTGATCGTTTAAAAACATGTTTGACGTAAAAACTTGCGAACGTTAAACAATATAAAAGGGTTGATCATGATGATATTATAACATAATAATAACAAAACAAAAAACGATTTTTTTGTGAACAAAAAAAATACGAATAAAACATAGTCGTGTTGTGAAAAAATAATAATACGGGTCCTTCTTCGCAAAGAAATAAGATTTTAGCGACAGAAATCTGTTTACCTAAAATCAAATTAATCTGGAGTTCTTTAAAAATAGGATTAAAACTTGATAAACAAAATTATATTGTGACACGGTTTGTACAATATGCATCCTCTGTTCACGAAGTGTCTTCAACATTTCAGGGACTGTTGTAATCTGGGAAAAGTAAAAATGATATGAAATTAAAAATAGCATACAACAATCTGCATCTAGTCGCTGATGGCATACCCATTTAGGGGGCGAACCCGGTATTGTTTTAGATGTTGAAAAACAAATAAAATGGGTAACAGGCAGTGCAACTTGCGACCGGTGTTCATTCACATACAAGTTAACTTAAAATATTGATAAAATCCCAGAGAAATCGAAACTTTTCACATAGATACGCAGGGAGCATGTCTTTTTTTTTCTAGATAAATATGACGTTAGATAAATATTTCATCTGTGATTTTCCTTATCTCTGAAAATCCAGCTTGGAGCACAACCAAAATAATTCAGTTATTAGACTACAAATATAGATTGCGTGCTTCCCCAAAGCAAAATTATTCATTACAGGTTATGGTTCGCCCGGAATTTCAAGATTTTTTTCAATGTTCAGCAGCATGAAATAATGTAATAAAATATCTACTGCTTTCAAAAATAAAGTGTATTCCGTTAACAAATCTCAAAAAAAACAAAAAAAGACATACTTTATTATGTTCAAGACTGTGTCTCATTAGATCACTTAATATTACAACACCAGTTCTTCCTGCACCTGAAGCACAGTGGACGACAATAGGAGGAATTGGCTCATCTTCTGATAATGTGTCTTCTGCCAACCTTCTAACAGACTCCAACTCTTCCATAAATGCTAAATAATAAGAAATTTGTTGCGAGGATGGTAATAAATTTACTTTTGACAGTGGTTGTTAGAAGAAATATGTCGCCTCCCATTCTATATAACTTCAGTGTAAAGTGTCCAAGATTACTGAAACTATTGGGTACAACCTTAAACGAACCAAATTTCAGGTGTTAAATAAATTTTTCTCATTTTCATGTTTTTTCACGTTGTATGTTTCCCCATGCATAGATTTCCTTGTATATTTCCATAACATCGTCTAATCAGAAATTTCATGCAAGAAATGAAATTTTAGCAGCCACACAAACACTTTTCCATATATTTTCAGACATGGTAAACATTAGCTCATTTTTGTGGTAATACTAAGTACTTGTTATTCGTTAACTTCTCTGGTCGCGATTCCAGAATGTATAAATCGAATAACTAGATGACTATTTTGTCTTCTGGGGGGAGTTTTGGTTTCGGTAATCAAAAGTTGTTCTGCTATAGATTGGGCTAAAATTAGATATCAGTAATCTTGAATGGATGGCTGATGAACATTCTTAATTAAAATGATAATTTGAAAACAAATAAACCAGTTTGAGAGCTATCTCACAAAAACACAAAATAAACATGAAAATTTTGCAATGATAAGGTCTAAAAATAATTATTTTGTAGTCCAGGGTCGAGGAAATACCTATTGTACCACTCACCTAGAAAATCTGTTGCCTCCTTTGGTGCGCCAGAATCTGGCCATCCAACATATTGCAAATGCCAAATTTTCCTGCATTCAGTTGTTCCAGCTTTTTGCAGCACAAGACGACTTGTGACTAAATTTTCACAAGCTGTTGAACCAGATCGAGGTCGTGTGAGGTCTTCATCATAATTATCATCTTCAGTCCTATCAGTTGTTTGTGACTGAAAAATGAGATATCATTGACTCGACTCGAGTTTGAAAAAAGTGACGTGAGTCATCTAAAAAAAACACTCAGGCTCGTATTCAACAGACATATCTCAGTGATTGGCTTGAATACAAACTGATCTGGAGACTCTGTGAACCCGTAACTCAACTTAACGCAAGACTCTGTGTTGGGGGACTCCTATCATTGGCATATCCCTCAAAAATTAAATATATGAATGCTCAATGTGGTGGCTGACAGACGTCAATGGAGCTAATATTTTAGTATCAATATTAGCACCAGTTACTGCAGCATTTATGTGCATAAACTTCTCTATTGTGCTCAGAAACAAAGATTGGGCATTCAAAAAGTAGCCTTAACATAGGGAATCAAATAATCATGAAAATACTACTAAATTACTCTAATTTTCGTTTTGCAAACTTTACATACTTGTGAATATTCGCTGACAATTTCACATGACACTCTATAATCTCCAAACAATAATGCGCTTGGATCACCAACTTGTTCTGGCCAGTATCTTCCACACCTTACTCTACCATCCTCCTGACAATTTAAAATTAAGTGTATATTAGTGTAAAAACATCACCGCAGTGTGATTCATTCTGTGGTTGCGGTTACAACATAAAAGGATCAGGTACACAGACTAATTACAATTAGAGAAAAAAGCAAAAATATATATAAAAAAATTCGCATATGTTGATTGAATATTTTTCAAATTTAATTTTCTTGGCAGAGAATGAGCCATTGGTAATAGCAGTTCTGGGAACATTGCAAACTACTAGATCCAGGGACTTGACTAGATTTAGGTCTTAACTTTATGGGAGATCGAAGCCAGACTCGATACATGGTTTAATAAGTATAGAAGAACAGTAGCCCCTAACTTCTAAGAGTTGTGTAAAACTTTATTATAGTTAATATTCATGTATATAGTATTCAAGTAAAAAGCATTTGACTTACAATTTCCTTTGATATCATTGCAATAATGTTAACTCTTTGGTCCCAGATCATTTCCCAAAATTCATGAAGAAAATCGTCAAGTGGACTTTGGCATGCAATATAACTCCACTTTTGATCTGCAACTTCCACCTTTCAAAAATAAAAATTGAGAATTTTTATTTGAACAATTTGTTTCACTATGGTACACTTATTCATGCCGTCTGTTCTGAACAAGGCAGTATACACAATATACGGAGTCACTAATATCTAACGATATGTGAGGAGCTACTCTCTATTGAAAAGGACAGAATCTTTTGTGTTTGGCATTGGTTACCCAATTTATTAAACCCTGCGTGAGGTGTCTGGCATAGGATTTGAACCCGAGATGTGTAACCTATGATGCCAACATAGTTGAATGCAACGTTTTAACCACTAGGCCATCGTGCACACACAAAATACACTAAATTCTAACAGAAATTAAGATAGGTAGATGGAGAATTGTAAGTGTATTTCATAATTTTTTTACTGAGATTTACAGTTTCACTGGCGTGCAGCACCAGTTTTACTATCACACTTCACAAACGTTATATAAAATTCTTTTTTATTATAGATAGGCTATATTTATATATTTTAGCAAACACAAATAAAATTTCTACACTTTTAAGTGAGGAATGAATTGCTAGTCACTAATCTAATTCAAAACTTTTAACTCAATGCAAATAATTAAAATGTGATTATAAAATTTGCTACATATTTAACTCTGATAATGATAAAGCAATGACCAGCGTTTTTAAAAATCTATGGAGTGAACTGATCAAATGTTCAGTTTTTATCAACTCATACCAATGTCTAATACAGCGGTCCCCAACTTGGAGCCTGTGGCCCCCCAAATGGCCAAAGAGCAGTGGGCACATTGCTAGGCGCAACTGATTTTACTTTTCACTTAACAAAAAAAAAACTAGTTACATTTGCTTGATAAGGTTATTTCACAGCATGTTTTCACTTTGTTGAGCATGAATTTTTTGAACATAATGGAATTTGGAATCCAATCAAAATAGCACAATAAATACCACTGGAATGATGAACAGGGGGGCCCATGAGTGATAAAAGCCCCAGATAGGGGTCCAGGAGCCATAAAAGGTTGGATCCACTGGTCTAATACATACCTCTAACATAGAAGCATTAATATATCCATCATTGTTTCCTGCTGTTTTTGAAATCAAGATTCGGTTATCAGAATATGGCAACACACTTTTAACACGATCTCTTTGACCAGATAAATCTCCAGACAATGCCTCGTTTGTTGTTCGTTTTCTTTGGATTTTTTCATATTCAGTCAATACTTGTCCATCTTCCACCTGCTTCTCCAACTGAAGAACCTGTATGTGTAAAATGTATTAGTATTTAAAAGAGGTTCTCAGTGCTATTACCGCATTTATTCGAGTATAACGCGCATAATTCTGTACTAATTTTCAATAGTGTTAAATTAAGTGTGGGTGTTATACATGGGTTAGGGCAACGGCCGGCAACCAACTTGCCTAATGTTAAACAAGTTCATGGACGCCATCTTGTGCCATATTTCGGAAACGCGAAACAATGGAGTCTTATGGGAAATTTTCGTCGTGTTGTTGTACCGAATCGAATAAGTCCGCTGTTATAAGGGCTAGAATGAAACTGAAGGGTGGATTTTGAACTTTAGGATATATGCTATCTAAATATATAACGCAATTAAGAATAAAAAACTATATAATGCGTTAAATTTGACCCCAAACATAGCGTAGAACCATTTTTGGTCATTTTTTCAAAGATTTTATAGTGATACGCTAATTTGAGGCAGTAAAATGTCTCCGCAACAATCCTACAAGGTCATTTGTTCTTCTAGCGCAGCTTGGAGCTGAGCAGTAGGGCATTATGAAGCTTGACAGACGAAAAATGTTAACCAGAAAATAGAAACGGCCATTGAAGCAAAGTTGGGTCGGCCGGTAATTTCGACGAATAAATACAACTTTTCATCTGTGACGGCATCAGGAACGCCATTGTCAAATGGTTAATTATGACGATTAGAATGGCCAATTTACTTCGGAAGCAACTCGGAACCGGTATACTTGTCTTCAAAGACAATTTAATGTACTAGAAATGTAATTTGGCCAACATGAAAGGATATAAGCTTGTTCGGCTAAGATTCTACTTCAAAACGCGACCCTCAAAATTTTTCCACCTAAAATATTAGTGAAAATAATAGGTATGTTTCAATAATTGTGTTGAAACTTCTCAAAAGGCGCCGTGTTAAAATGCCGAAAACAATAGGCACAAGATGGCGTCCATTGTCTGAGCGTTGCCTCGCTTATATTATATATACGCTTTGGGTTAGGGTTACAAAATATTATACCCGTTTCATTCAAAAATTAATAGAGCGCAATATACAGAGTTCGTGTTTTACTCAAATAAATATGATATATTTTTTATCAAAGTATTGCAACGCCCTTTGCCCTTTTGAACAAAGCTCTGTACAAGCAGGCACTGCTAAGTCGGGAGTTACTATAGTTTGAAAATACCTAAATCTTTCAGTCAAACAATCAGCTTCATAGCCATTGCCATTTGATATAATTTAAAACCCAAGTAATACGCATATGATATATCATTTATCAGCAAAGCCATGTTTGCATGATTTTCGAAAATTTCAAATTCGAACAAAAAAAAAATGTAACATTATTTCAAACAGAGACCAAATGGAATTTTATCAAAATTACCAACTACAGCCGGTTAAAAGTTTTTGGTAGACAATAGTATATTCCTTATATTTGCAAACAAGAACGAAATAGAAAAGGATGACTATATATTCAAAATACTAAACCCTCAAGCCTATTTTAAAACTTTGATTTTAAATTCCACACTTTAGCTGACTATAAATATTGCTTACCCTTTCATCAGGAGCACCAGCTGAAGTTGCGAGATCATTCATATCGGAGCTAGTTGTTGATAATTTCAGAGGCATATTTTTCCTTGTACTACGTCTTGCTTGTCTCAAGTCACCACTAAAGTATACAGAAGTCATATTGAACGACCAATAACTACCATAAGTAGTTAATTAATACTAAAAATAGAATGTAGCGATTTGAGAGCTAGTAGCATACAGCAGAGTGAGTTACCAGTATAAAACCATTGATAACTAACAAAAACTTCTCATATATACTCATCAATATTGTACAAACAGGCAATTCTTACAACACAAATGTGCCAATGAGAAGAAAATGTCAGTATTTTCAATGAAAATATTATTTATTGATATTACTAATAAGAAAGTAAATAGTATTGTTATTTTACTGTGAACGGTCAAAGCCTAATAATAAATATATCGTAATGAGAAAGTTGTTTCGGAAGTTACAATGGTGGTGTGTTTTATAATATGATTTATTTTAGAACCGGGCAATGGACCGTATAAAAAGCTTTACAAGGATGGGATATTTGAACAAAACGATGTTTTCGAACCATCAAGCATGGTGACTGTCTTCCATTTTGATTTTGCGAAATCGTGCGGCCTGAAAGTTGGCGGGTATTTGATACCGGTAACACATGATAAGTACGATAAACTACTTTGTGTCCATATATTTGGGAATCGCTCGGTTTTTTAAACTAATGAAGATCATAGAGAGTATTTTTTTTTCTCATACCTTGTGCTTCCTGTATACTACCACATCAATTATAAGTTAGAAAAACTCAATTGAAATTCCTTTCGTTACCTACTAGCATCTGCAAACAAACTAGTTGCTTCCTTTTGGTTTGCAGTAACAGTCGAATTTTTTCTGTGAAAATCTTCAAAATCAACATCATGTTTAATCACATCCAGATTTCCACCATTTTCAACACTTTGCTCGTAAAATGGGTTATTTGAGTTCATATTTGGGGTATAAAAAGGATTTGTATTACTGAGTTTGGGAGAATGGGGCAGAGGTGAAGGGTGGGGGTGAGGGAAAACAGAAACTCGTGCCATATCACCCTCGTCAAAACTTTCCATCATGTCCGGCTTTCGATAACTTTTAGGTGGGTCATGGTCCTCAGTGCCTATGATCGGAATGGGTGGTATGGGACTGGAAAGGGGGTTTTGGTCTTCTGGGTAAGGAGGTGGAAGTCTCATCTCCTGAAATACGAGAAGAAATATTTTTCGTGTTAGCTCGACAATCGGCACATTGTGCTTAGCGTTGGATTACCCTACACAGGTTTCAGCTTGAATCCCATGAAGAATAGTATGTGTGAAAAAATTGCCAGACTCAAGAGATGGTTCATGAAACCACTGATTCAAGACATGAACTGGTAACTGCACAACAAGCTGTGGTTCGGTATAGGGAATAATATTGTTTCCAGAAACATAGGCTAGCAGAATTTATACCCAAATATTAAAACACTCGGTAATTACTATGCAAATTACTCAGTGATGCGAAGTTCCACTCTAAACAATGTTGTCACCTAGAGATGAAGATCTTCTGGATTATTGCATAACATCTATCTAATACTGACATGGGCAAATTACGGCCCTCGGGCCAAATCCAAAAACCTTGCCCACCCCTGATCTAACAATATGAGTGAACTCCAGACTTCCATGAGCAAACAATGAGGAACAGACATAGTTGAGTCACAATTCATATTACAAAATTACCAATAAAATGAAATAATTGAACTCACATGAGAATCCTCCTCATTGGGCACAAACTGTTGCATATCTTGTTTTGGTTTTGGCGGAACGTACATCTCTGTTGGTTTTTCTCTGTGCCATCCATCTATGGTTGTTAAAGGCACTAAACAAAACGATTACATTCCTAATGTAAAAGTGTTTTAAATGGTGATGAGTTGAAGTTGAATTCTATAGGTATTCAAAAAAGATCTATTTTTAGAATTCATTTCATCAAAACTAACTTGTTCTGAGTAGTTTCCATTTCAGTATAATCATTATTTATGTGATATATCAAGATTTTATTGAGAAAAAGCATCATTTGAAATTTCTGATATTGAAATAACAAAGCAGAATACGAAATCATTTGAATATAAACATAAACCATATATTTTCGCATATGGGCAGACCCCCAAAACGGTGAATTTATAAAAATTCGCATATAAGCAGGCACCACAAAATGTAACACTCCGTAAGCACCTATCACAGCAAATGGTTGCAGAAGAGAATTAATGAAAATGATAACCACAAATGTTATGTTTTACTTTTATTAATAATGGTAACGTTATGCTTGTATGTGCCATATTTTTAGTGCGATCAGAGTTATAAGTTAACCCCTTAGTTTAAAACTTTTTTTGAGTTTCAAAAATATGCTAGGATAGACATACTGGTACTTCGAAAAAGAAAAATAGTAAAGCATACCATGTCGGTAATCTGTCTTTGGTTTATGTTGTTGACCGTCATCATCGGAAGAATAAATTTCATCATCACTGCTACTGGCTTCACTCGCACTGCTATGAACAACCATCGTAACATTTGATGCCATTTGTGAGTGATGAGGTATTGTTCCAAATTCTTGCTCATTTTCCTATAAAATAACAAGGAAAAATAAATCCATCCTGAAAAAGATTGCAGGCTGTGAGCCTTTCGAAATAAGACTTCAGCTGGACCAGATCCAACTTCAGACTTCTAGTTGACTACTGAAAAACTAATTACCTGAAACTCCCGAAACCAAGTTGAAAAAAATTTAGACAACCTTTCCAAATTTTTTCTACTAAATATGACCAGTGGAAATAGTCTTAATTTTAACAAAGTAAAGATTGATTAAGAACCATACGAATAAAATGTTCTTACTATTGTTGAAACTTCATATGCATCTGGATCATCTGAATATTCTCCGTTTTGATCATCAAGTTGATTCACTGGAATGTAAATGACAGGTAAACAAAATTGAATTTAAATTAGCACTTATTACCAGTCAATATACCAGTACATGTCGGGTATGGCAGTGGTTCCGTAACTGTGGGTCGCGAAGATTTTCCTGGGTCGCCTAATTTCTGTCAAACATACGCACACAAGTGAATATAGGATTTAAATGGTCTGCAGGTACCGTAAAAGTGCCTTCGATGCTTTCATCGTAAAAGTGACTTGATCATTTATTGTCCAAACGGCGCCAATATTGCTCAGTAAAACTTTCATTCAGCTGGTCGGCAGGTACCAATATTAGTAAATGTAATATACAGGTACATTGTTCCCATTGAAGTAATTAAACTGATATAAGGTACTGATTTATGAAGTTGCTCAACATTTCTAGTTGCGAGGTCGCGAGTATCTGTAGGATTTGATTTTATGAAAATTGGGGTCGCGAAAAAAAAAGTTTGGGAACCACTGGAGTATGGGATTAGTTCGCCAGTTATTAGTTTTCGGAAGCATGGACTTAATGGTGGAGGCAGCCGTAACCGATCATCGGTTACGTGAAGCACTCTATGGCAGCGAGGAGTCCAGCAATCCATTGCACATAACTATCCCCATGTGGGATTCAACCTGCGAACCCACGCAGGGTAATCAGAGATGCTGCGGCAAGCGTATTCCCAACGCTCTTAGCACTATGTGCCACACCGCCGCAAAATAAACTCAATACAAACCTTGGTTATGCTGTTGCAATTGTGTTGGATGCTGATAATGTAAATTACTGTTGGACCCAGCTGGATGGATGGAGACTTCCGCTCTTTGTGGCATGGGATGTTGTGTAAGAATAGGATGGGCTGCTGGTGCAAGTTGAATGTGTTGTAGACTTATTTGGCTGCCATGTTGTTGGGGTAAATACTGTTGTGATCCATATGGAGAACCAACTGTAATGTAATAATGATATTGAAGTTTGAAAGAACGACGAATTTTTGAAAAAAAAAGATGAATTTTGAAATAAGAGTATTTCGTAAATTCCCTCCATGACGCATTAGGATGGAAATTGTTAAGTTTGTTTGTTACAACATTGTTAAGTTTAGACGGAGTTTCTCATTCAGCATTTCTAAAAAATTTCTTACAGATTTACATTGTTGACTTGTGTTGAGAAATATACTCAATTGTGAATACAATCCTAAAACTTGTAATATAAACTTATTCATGCACCCAGCAGTTTCCAAAATGAGTCGTTGCTCGTCATTTCTAGTACATCGCATTGAATCTATTCAGAAAATTCTGACAGTAAAACAAGTGTTGATAATTATTAGTTATACAGTAAATGTCTATTTGAAAAAATGCCAACATTCTAACTTTTTTAAATATGAAATTCCAACCCTATAATCTTACCTGTAGATGCACTCGAACTAGTCTGAGATTGTGACAATGGAATATTCTGTTGTGGTACTGGTGGTAATCTATTTCGCGGCAAAAATTCTTGCTCTACGACCCCTGTTAACACTGGATGGTTGTGGTTCAGTCGAGGTGGGTATGACACAGGTCTGTGATGTCTGGCATGGGGATGTTGTTGTCCTGGCTGTTTCGTCCGTGGTGGAGTTGGAAGCTGTGAATGTTGTTCGAGTGATAACTGCTGAAGATATGCTTGTACCTGAAATATTTGAAAATTGTTTTTTATTAAAATATGTACAGTCCATTTGCTACACATGTTGAGTATGAGAAACACACTTGTCATATCACTGCTGATTACCCTACATGAGCTCATAGATTTCTACCCTGTAATGGATAATCATGTGCAAGAAGCTTGCTGGGCATTGATTCACGTTAGTTTTCTGTACTATTAGGTCCATATATATAAAATGAATAATGAACAATGAACTGGTCAACCAGTCACATAGCCAACATGAGTTTTGTTATTTTTAAATTGAATTAACGCCGGTTTTATTATTAATTTTTATCACTTGCTGGACACCGGATAAAACACAATTGGGTCACTCTGTGTGTTTCGACATCCCTGCTTTACACAAATAAAAATTCAGATAGGTGTAAGTAAATTGCTGGAAAATATTCCAGGTATGTTCAGGCGTGTCTTCATTTTTTATTAAAGCTTGCTTATTTCACTTGATCCCCAATGCATAAAATATTGTTGGATTTATGTCTCTCAAGTTTATTTTTTCCAACCAGTAAAAAAATAAATAAATATCACGAGCACAAATAAGAGAAAATGATAATGTACACAGTTTTACTGGGGAAGGGAAGTCACGGGGAACTAACGCTGGTTATCGAGCAGCGACACACGAAGTACCACTGTTATTATTAGATGAACAATAAATAGGATGAACACTGAAAAAAAATACATTAAGCAATTGTTTACAGGGGGGAGGGCAATTTTTTTTGATATTTTAATTTTTTTATATTTTTATATTGAATGTAGAGGGGCTGTTTTCATTAGTTTCACTTAGGTAATGAGATTGTGTCAACTTAGCATGTGAGACAGGGGTGACATTGAATTTTTATATGACAGCTAATAAACAGCAGTGGAATAAGTTTCTTTCATGATTAATGAGCTGCCATGTACATGATCTTAACTTACAGATTGTTCAGGCGTTTGCTTTCTTTGTTGTTGTTGAGCAGCTGCATTCATTTCCATCATATTCTGAATAAATAAATCAGAATTAATAATTCAGAATATATGAAAAAATATGTATTTGGATGCTATACTAAGTGCATTTTACTCTGAGAAAATACCAGAAATTTAGTGATTAAATTTGTATGTAATTTATTCTGACTATAGGAACAAATTATGTTTCCAAACTTACAATCCGCTCAGCGGTGTGGCACATCGTGCTCGGCGTTAGGAATACGCTCGCCACTGCACCTCAGATTACCCAGCCCAGCGTGAATTCGCGAGTACGAATACTGTGTGGGGATAGTTATGTGCAAGAGAACAGTCCTTTTTATGTGCTTAATAACTCCTCCCCGCCGTAGGGTGGTTCACGTAACCGCTGGTCGGTTACGGCTTCCTCCACCATCAATTCCATGGTTTCGAAAACAAGTAACGGCTAGCTAATCCCAGACCCAACATGGATTGGTAACCGGATTAAAGGCCATGGTTTGTCATATGATTGAGGTGCCGTATCAGTTTTCCTTCCCCCTCAGGAAATATATGTAAATCTTCCTCAAATCCCATTTTCCAAAAGAAGACATTTCCATATTGAGAATAATAATAAATTCTTTTGAATTTCTTTCTATCACTAAAATCTATTATTTGTAAAATCCTGTGGTCATGAAATTTTGTTAATATAAATTATATATTACCTGTTGTGAATGATGTAAACCTTCAACGCTTGTGCAAACACCTCTGATAACCGACATTTGATCAGATGGCTGGAAGCCATCTTGAAGCATCTAACAAAAAAGTAGGAGAGCAATGATAAAATATAAGGACACAAAGTAAATGAGGAAATTTAGAAATAATGCAATACCCTTCTTGCGGTTTCAAAAATTGCTGGCTAACTAATCCCATACCCCACATGGACCAGTAATCAGACGAGAGGTCGTAGTTCACCATATGATTAAGCTATATTATCAACTTTTCTCTTCCAGAGGATAAATATGTAAATCATATCGTACACTTCTTGTACAAAAATTAGAAATACAAATACAGTACAAAAAATAATACTTGATTATGTTCGGCCAGCGCTTGATAACCATCTTCTGTTAAAGCTGCATGATGTACAGGATGTAAATTTGTCCAACGCTGCTGTCCCGGTATTCCGCTGTATCCTTGGTGTAGATCGGGACTGCTCGCGGAGACAGCACTGTGTCTATGGGCACTTAGATCAGGTGTGCTTGTACTGTTATTACGAGGGTAAGGTGGTGGTGGTTTTGTGTAATATCTCAGCAATTGCATTTCAGAAGCAGAATAACCTTTCGCCTGCATTAACAAAGGATACATTACATGTAACCTGCAGCCCAGTTACGCAGTTAAAGTAATTTTTAATGTGTTCATGAATAAGTATTATAGTAATAATTAGGGCTGTCCAAATTCGAATAATTTTTTGATTCGAATCGAATCGAATATTTTTGCCGAATCGAACCGAATATTGTTGCGCAATCCTGAATCTGTCTCTATTATACAATAACCGCCTACCCTTCAATGTTATGGTAACATATGTGCAGTTACATCTTACTTACTGCTGGTATTTTGCAATACAATGATTTCAGATGAAAGGTGACCAAACGCTTGTATGAACTGGTCAAAAAAAAGTGGAGGACTCCAAAATTTGGGTCTCAAACTGTTGAGTGTTAAGAGTAAAAATTGCACAATTCAAAAATTGCAATCTCAATTCTGATGGATTCAGTTTTAATAGGACATGTAAAGCCTGTAAATGCTATTCTAATCCTATTCACTAGTCTCATGTTTTTTTGTGTAATTTTCAGCAAAATAATAACAACCATTAATATAGATAAAACTGTTGCTCAAATTCAAAATTGCATTTAACAAATTCGAAGCTAGTTTGATGACTATAATATGCAATCAAAATTCAAGAGTGCAATTATTTGTCTTGGTATATAGATGGATAATACAGTGTTGCCATCATAAAAAATTACATATTCCATTGGAAGAAGGTATTGCCATCATAAGGATCCCAAAACACCTGTTTCAGCTTTGAGTTGCCTGTACCATGTTCTTATGATAACTAACTCAACAGCTTCAAATCGATTCTATTTATAGAACTATCGTTTTCTAATTTGCCCTTTTTTCTCCTTGTGTACTCTCTCAAAAACGTCATTACAGATTATAACTCTTAAGTTATTATGACCATGCATGAAATGGTGAACTCTCTTAAAAACGTCATTACCGATTTTAACTTTTAATATATGATGACCATGCATGAAATGGCTGATCACGTGCCACCGGGTGGGCATTAGGAATAACATGTTTATCACAAAATGAAGCCGAGAGAAATATCGGGAAACCAATTAAGCCGGGAGCGAGAGTGGTCTAAGCTCGAAGCGCCGCCACTTGTCCGATGAAAAACGTCCTGCAAAGGTGGTTTCCGCTTTTTGTACCTAATTTTAGTGATTCGGAAAATAGCCGAAAAACGATTCGAATAATTTGCGATTCGATTTGATTTCGAATATTTGGTTCGCTTGGACACGCCCTAGGCAAAATTCCTCTATGGTTGGGAAGTGTTAGCTTAGAGCAGTGGCCAGGAGAGGGGTTCGCGTGCAAGGGCGGTACTGGTACGTATAATCAAGATAATGGTATATTTGTATTGTTAGGAATTAGCATGTGCTTGACCTGTGATAATGATGTGACAATTGGTGATATCTAGAACATAAAAAGAAAGGGTTAAATTATTTCACTCAAGTTCGGCGGTCCATATTAAATCGTTACGCAAGCCGTAATTGGCCCACGGACTACGATTTGGGGACCACTGACCACCTATGTCTTTCACCTTGATCAGGGTGTGATAAATTGGGTATGCAATACCACATTACAAAGATTCCGATACTTCTAAAATAATGGCTCCTTATCTATCAGAGGCTGCTTGCATAGTGCCTTATTTGGAGTGAAATAACTGTTTTAAAAGAAATTGTAATAGGATTTTATATCCGGTTATTGAAAAAATGGGCGTTCCAGAAGTGTGTGTAACAATATGGAGGTACCGTAACTAATTTTGTTCGCCTACTTGACGTCAAGTTGTGTGAAAGGACTAAAACCTGTGGGTAGGGTCATATTCACTTGGCTAACACAGACAGTCCCCGAACTCATAATAGACCTAAAATAAGGAAAATCATAATAAAATTATGGCCTAACCCTAACCTGTTACACACACTACGGGAGTACCAAAAATGTTCATACCTGTTGTACTGCATTGGCAAGTTCCGGAGTGCTTGCTGCAAGTATAGCATTCCCTGGTACAGCACCTGCTCCACCTTGCAGCCTTACATCCTGCATTTGCATGGCCTCCTGGGGGTTATATTGTGCTTGATGGTTTGTGGATTGCGAAATTAAACCATGCACAGGCGGCAAAGATTCATGAGATGATTCAAATTGTCTATGTAGCTGAGTCTGAGAAGCTGGCAAGTGTGTGGCAGAATCTACTCTCTGCGGTGTACCGGCATGGTAATGTAGAGGAGGATTATGAGGTGGGTACAGAGCATAATGGGGGCCGTGAAATGCTGCTTGTTGTATTAACTCTTGTTGAGAGTAAATCATGGAGTGTGGTCTGGGTTTCAGAGATCCATCTTGAATCGCTGCAAAATAATATCACACAGTATTTAAGAACTGAATAGACACAATAAATACCTATAACAGGGGTGAGCAAGGTTTTTGAACCAGGGACCACAAATTTTGCCAACCTAGACTGGCGGGCCATGTAAGTATGACATAAAAAGTTACATTTTACAAACAATATTTACAGTGTTACAAAAACAAAAGTGGAAAACAATAATGCTCGTGCAATAATCCAAAACTAATTCAATCACAATCTCAACAAATTAGTTATTTTTAACTAAAACATCAAAATATGGTTCCAGTTTGGTTGTAGCAGCATTAGGCGGGACAGATTGAATTACAGAGCAGGCAAGATTTGGCCCGTTGGCCGAAGTTTGCCCATGTCATATCTATAACCTGATAAGCGTAAGCCAGCACCATTCTTATTACTTCAAGAAGACAGATTGTGAAATTCATCTATGTCAGGATGGGGTTACATAATCGCCGGTTAATTACAACTTACTTCACCATCCATACAAGTTTGAAATAGTAGTGAAATACCCGCATGTTATTTTAAATATTATGCACCACTGATTACTCCTGTGCGGGGTCACAGGTTCATTTTCAATAGAAGATAATTATGTGTAAAAGGAGCATTGGACACCTTGTCATAGAGTGGTTCACTTTAAAACTGGTCTGCTCACGGTTTTATACAACAATCAAGTATGTGCACAAAGAACAAATAACTGACTAACTATTTGCATACTGAACAGAATCTGGTGCAAACTGGATAAGAGACCATGGTTTGGCATATTTTAAATAGTGTTTATCCGTCTTCCCTGGAATAAATATGGAAATCCTATCCTATTTCTTAGTATATGATAGAATTACAAAAATCATCTTTTATTTTTATTTCACAAAAATGGTATTGTAGCCTATAACATTTGAAAATTAATACATAACTATCATTTCCAGTAAAATATTTATCTATATACCAGCTGCTGCCGCTTGCTGATGTTGTCTTGCAACAGCTTGATTTTCCAGATAACTGCTGTATCTTCTACGCTGCCTCACTGCTTGTTCATAATCAGGTGTACATCTATATACTGGAACACCATTACCAGCAAGATGTCTATCTGAGCTTAAACTCATGTTGCTAAAAAATTTTAAATTTAAGATTAGTATCCAATCAAAAAAACTTCCATTTCGAGCACTGTATTTTTGTTGTAGGATGTTTTCACAAGATTGTCTGATTCGGGTCTAATATTTTTGAACTCAGGTTTCGTGTTTTCGCAATCTCAAACCAGGAATTTTGAGTGCTTCATTATTTTCAGGGTTTGGGTAAACCAGGGGAGGACACCAAACCCAGCCACTGTTTTTGGAAGGGCCGATCAGGGTTTCAAACCCAATTTTATACACTCCGGTGTCTTCCGAAATGATTTGAGTTCCAACCTGGGGTGGAACTTAACACAGCTTTATATATTTCGCCACTGTTTTTGAAAGGACCGGTCAGGGTTCTAAACCCAATTTAATACATTCGGTGAGGCGGTTTGAACCAGAGAGAAATATCGAATATATATTGTTCAAAAAAGAATTATTTGAAAAGAATTAAATTATAAATTATCTTAGCTGTAACTATGTCTATTTATACATTATCTGCCAAATATTTGCCAAATAAATATATCATATGATATATAATATATTCAGCTTAACATATAACACAGTCTCAAATACATTTTGAGTACCAGTGAACCAATAAACGGACAGAATAATGCTCATTTAAAACCAATTACCTTGATGCTGGCGATTTTTGGTTCAATTGTGTTTGAGAATGACCAAGTGAATTTATACTTGGTGAACTATACATGCTTCCACTAGGTATATATCCATTTGCATACCTAAATAAAAAAGTCAGAGTCAAAGGACTTCTTGAACACTACAAAAATGTAAAATCCACTTCCCCATTATTAAATAACATAGAAATGCTAGTTATATATACTAGGTAATTATAAAGTAATTTTACTTTAAGCTGAAAGTGCAGACATTCAAGTCCAGCTCTATTCCGTGATGAATTATTCTATGGTCAATATGTCCACCCACCATAAATGGTAGATTAAATCCTGCCTATGTGATCTAAATCTTCGAGAAAAGGGCTATCATTAGTCTGGGTGATCCTTACCTGTAGCCTCTTTTAGAGGCTCAGATAAGTGATGAAGTGATGACATTGGGATTATGAGTTTTATGACTTATAACCTCCCTAAGCTTTTGTTGACCGCAACTCGACTTAAGCTTTGTCTGATCCCCTACTTGATGATTATTTTTAACCTTATAAGAGTAAAACAACAGTGGCAAAGTCTTGATTAATAAATGACAAGCAGATTGACATAGGATTTACCCCTGGCAAATATGGTAAGACAGCTTAATCATAAGTTAACCACGGCCGATTGTCCAGGTCGAGTATGCATAAGATTAGGCAATCCAGCACATAATTATCCCTTCATGGAATTCGAACTTGCAAAGTGCGAACCCACGCAGGGTAATCAGAGGTTCGGTGACGAGCGTTTTCCTAACGCTAAGCATCAATGCGCCACACTGCCGAGTCCCGCTGGTGTAGGGAATAGTTACTTCCCGGGGCAAGCAGTTGGTAAAGACTGACACATCTGATCATTTTTGTTAATAAGGCACAAAATGGATGCTAGGAGCCCAGGCGACAACTTGGAACGACCAGGTTTATAAAGCCTGGTTATTACATACATATATTATGTAAACTTTGACACAAAAGTCCTCTAAATTTTTTAATTTCAACAGAGAGTCTGTTTCACTGTACAAATACACAAAAGTTCACCTACCCATAATCTTGTTGAAGTCCAGGAACTCTGTTAAGACTGGTTTGAGAAACATAAGCATGATCTAAACTTGTTTGAGATGTGTAATATTGTGCTTCTTGTTGACGAGCATATGACTGCAGGTTTTCTGAAAAATGCGAACAATTCTCATTCAAATCCAGGCTTTTTAAACCTTTTGCTCACACCTCTTTCAATATATAAAATTTTCCGCAACCCAACTTCCCTGATGTATTCTCTTGATATCGTGAGATTTATATTTTGCACTAGTTTTAATAATTGTGTTTCGAATCAAAAGTCTCAAAAAGTACAATAAATATACCGGTAATACTTTGTGTCCTCGTTGCAACCCCTAAAATTTGTTGGGAGCTCCCCTGCAGGTCATGACCCCAAGTTTGGGAAGCCCTGATTTAAACAACTAATGCACACAATTATTATTTGAAAACTGGAATTCAAAAAAGTGGAACACATTTGACATTTTACATAGTTTCTTATGCGTCTTCGTACGCAAAGGTTAAACCACATAGGAATGCAGATATGTAAAATTAGGGTTCTTGCAATAAGATAATAAATACTTTAGTATTTATCAAAAACTGATGTTCAGAGACTTTTTCAAAAAACATAAAACACTCTAGCAATGCATAAATTCAAGCTTAGATAGGGAAATCTTTTTATATGACTTACCTTGTGATGAAATAAAGTCAGCCTGCCTCTGTGATGTGTCGATAGAATGTTGATCGTTATTTGGATTGCCATTATTGATCTCAGGTACAGGCTGTAATACAATCAATCTGATGGCTAATCCTTAATTAATATTAACTATTAATTTATGATTTTTAGAACAATTCAAAATAACTTCATTTAAAAAAAATTATCATTCCAAGCAATTGAATTCTTATAATAGTGGTTCCAAACCGGGGGCCATGGCCCACCAAGGGGGCCATGGAGAAGCTGGTGGGGGACCACAATGCTATTGGGAAAATTTTCTCTCCCTCTGCTGCATTTTCTGAATAAACTTATTGAATATACCTCGACTTGTACATATTTTACGTCGAACATAATCCATTTTAGAATGCATTCAAATTTCCAATTTAAAAAATATTATTGGAAATTACAATTTATTCTATATAAGAGGTTATTGGGTTTCAGCCCTCGCCCTCCCAGCAATAGATACATAAAAGAAATATACAAAGTGAACAATTACAGTGTCTTGAGTTCTTCGTAATGTTGGCCTCCTCTGTATTTCTGATTCTTCTCCATTTTCCACAGGAAGTTTTCTGGAATTTTAAAACACATTTTGAAATATTTTATAATAAAAGAACTACCGTATATCTTTGGAAAACATGATTTATGTAAAGTCAGTTACAAAATCCATGCGAAAAAGTATAGGTTAAGTAAAGGGTTAAAACATCTTGTATATATTTATATATGGAGATATAAACAGAACTTCGTATATAGTAGCAAGTGGATTCTTGTTTCATTATTTATTATTGTAATGAACGACCTAAATTGTTCATCACTAATTCTTTAGTATTGAATGTATTTCACAACATATTGCATTGTCTGGACTCGGACAATACTTAAGTCCAGCCACAACAAAAATAGATTAAATTTTCCCTATTGGCTTTATATCTTTGCAGGGAAACGGTATTGTTAGTTCGGACGATCCTTGCCCGTAGCTCCTTTAGGGGGCTTCGATCAAGCAACAACAAAGGGAATATTAGTTTGACGAGTTATGATATCCCTAAGCCTTCAAGCCTTTGTTAATCGCAACTTGACTAGGCTTTGGTCCGATCCCCTACTGCATGGTTACATTTACTTTGTTTATAATTATAGAGCTTTTTTCTGGTTGGTTGTCAGCTTCGGGGGCCACAAAATCATTTTTGCATTGTTCATGATCCACGATTTGCAGCCACACTAGTACCACGAATGGGTAAACAGTGCAGAACAAGTTGCAAACACATTGACATTATTTTCCATTTATCAAGCTAAAACATGGTAATTATCAGGCATAATAGATATACCTAGGCTAATAGATTCCGCATTCGATTTTTAATTTTCTATGATGCCTATATTGTTAGCATATATTCCCGACCAAAAAGATAGAAGGCCAGATAACAATTTAGACTGCCAAGCACATCATTCAACTTCGCTAGTTGCCTCTGCTAGCTATAAAATTACTCAATTCGGTGACATTAGTGATGTAACTATATGTCAAAAGATTTTCCTGGTTTATTTTCATGATGAAACAACACAAAATGCTATTTTCAATTACCCTCCAGCAAATGTGACGCTGGCCACAGATAATGAAGCTACGGGCCACATGCGGCCCGTGGGCCTGGGTTTGGACCACCATGATCTTACAATTAGATCATCTTGCTATTATTTTAACATTCAAATTACACATGAAATCTTCCAGTTGACTACAGAATAATATGATGCATCATCTCAAATAAAATATATTTTCTATGTATCATCGCTAACACGGCAAACAAAGGTGTGTGTATTTATTGAGTTTTATGCTTATTATTAAGAGTACATTTAAGAGTAAAAGTAACCATGTAAACTGATTACAAGATTACCAACAAAAACTGATCACGCATATTTCAGTCCATCATAAGATTGTGAATGTTAGAGTATCCTTATCATCTTTTTTATAAATTGAATTCTAATGGAAACCACGTTCGTCATGCGTGTTTGTATTATCTAACAATATTAATAAAGCTAATAAAGCGTACGTCTTTAAATAAATATTGTGAATGATGATGTAATTGTTAAAGTAAATACATTTTGTTTGTTTTTAGTTGGAATATTTCATCAATTTTAAACTTTTCTTTTTAAAAATTCCATAAAGGTGGGCGTATTTGCATTCAACCACAATTTCAATAGAATAGTGATAAAATGATACCATATTTGGACAAAATAGGGGAAAACATACAGATTTAGAATAGATTATCACATGATTAAATAAAAAATGATTCTCTTGGAGCATTGCCTAGCAGATATTTACTACCGTACTAGTTTTCAATATAAGATAAAGCCATTTTACCAAATATTGATACAACCTAAAAATAACATTTCACATTGATATGAAAAGTAAGTAGGAGTAGGGTTCAAGTTGAGATTTATCTACAAGATTTTCTCTTCTCCAATCACATCAAATTTACTTACTTTACAATTTGCAGGGATAGTAATAAGCACACAGCTAAATAAATTGTTTTCTACTCAAAATGGAAGAAGTTGATAGAAAACTTTGATTTTTATTAGAACGAGACCAATATTTCACATCCAATTTCTGCAGGTTTTTATATAATTTACAGGCGACATTCAGTACGATTTTGTTGACATTGTGATAGTCATTTGACCTTTGTGTCAAAATATTTGACACTGCTATCATTTCATGGCTTTATGATTGAACAAAAATAGGAATTTAAGAAAAATTATTGGGTAAGAGTTATTACACATCGACATGCATCTAGAACCGGGGTGTGCAACCTGCGGCTCGCGGGCCAAATGCGACCCTCAAAAGAAATTTATGCGGCATGCTGAGAAGTGCCAATTTTGAATGATGTGTGGCCCGCAAAATGAGTTTTCAATTTGGTGTGGTGTGTGCGAGTAATTCCAATCCCTTTTTGTAACGAAGCCTATGAGACCAATTTATCTATGCCTATAGCTTTACAATGCTATAACAGCTTTCTTGTGCGAACAACCATGTTATGAGATCAATAGCCAGCATTTTTGTGCCTGCAATTACTAGATAACCTATGTTAAATAAAGGTGCCCTACTGTATTTAAAGTTGCACACTTCTGGTCTAGAACGATTTGATTTACAGTGTTTTCCTGGTAGAATGCAGCATCCATATAAATACAGCAACTGAGCAAATGTTACTTAAAGTCCTGTAAATATTCATTACAGAATTACAGCTTAGCTGAAGACCATGATTGGAAGATAAAAGCTATGCTTGTGTACTTCATAATTAGCAACATAAATATTCTGTGTAGTGGGTTATAAACGTGGCACTAATGGTTTCCTTCAAAATGAATTATGGTTTGTTTGATGGATGAGATACATACTTTATGAAGAGCAAACATGACTTTGAAAATGTGTACACAGGTGTGTGCAGCAAAGCAGTATGGTGCAAAAAACAAGTATTTACTCAAAATGTCAAAGTGAGAGGTTTTTGTATAGGGCTGCATCAGATGACAATTATATTTGACTTGCATTTCAAGTATGGATGTCCTGATAACGAATTAGCCACAAGAAAATAAAGATTGAGAACCACATTATAAAAGTATGTTCAGAAGCATAAATTTACTATTCTAAATGCGTAATCAGCAATCCAATTATTTGGCTACAAAACCAGACAGAATTTCCCGCTCAATAATATGCTATTGTGTTTGAGTCTGGAATCAGACGATCTGGTAATAGATAAGTGATAAAAGATTTTATCTTCAAGAAAACATACAATGAAAGACAACTGTAAAGTATGCCACAAACATGAACAAAAGGCGCTTGTTATTCTAAAAAATTCCTATTATTAAAAGTAAGTCATTTTATTGCCAATACATCTGCCTGTTTACAAAACAGAAAGGCATCAAAGCCACTAATAAAGTTTCAGAAAAAAGTTATTTAAATCAAAAAAAGATTTCCCAATTTTTGTGCACCGCGCTGTTTAATGTGATATGAGATCAAGCTATTTATATCTTTTCCGTATTTAAAAATATATATTATAATTTCGGATATTTTAAAAACATGGTCATGTAAACTTTTAGGTGCTCCAGAAGCGTGTGTACCAATATGGAAGTAACTAATTTTGTTCGCCTATTTTACATCAAGTTGTATAAAGAGACTAAAACCTATGGACAGGGGGAATAATAACTTGTCTAACACAGACAGTCCCTGAAATCGTAATATAACTAAAATAGGAGAAATCGCACACTACAGGAGTACCAACTTTTGTTTGAGGTAAACAAACATCTTACCAGTACAAGCAAAAATGGGATTTATCAATCCTTCAAGATGTGATAAAATATGAATGTACAGCCAATTTCACCAAGAAAAATCTTGCGACAAACTCATTAAGCAAATAAATTTGTCTCTGCACAGCGAAAGTTACCACAATATTGTTATAAAGCACACAACATAACATATCCTTCATTTAAGGAGGCGGTGTTACATACTGATGTAACCACATTATGACCTTGTGGAAAACCATTATATGAATATACAAACTGATAAGCAATACCAGCTATAACATAAATCCTTATATAGTCAAATGTTTTTAGAAACAATGCAGCGTAAGAGAGAATGTCAAATTCCATTATTGTGTAAATTAGCACAAAGTTATTACTGCAGCCTAGGGCAAGTAACATTAACCACAAACAACAACAATGTTCCAGCTTACCAGGAATTTTTTGCGCTCATGTTTATAATGGTAGATTAATACGAGCAATCATTTTTTTATTAAATTCGAAGGCTTCATACCAAAAAGGCTTACGGTAACTTTTTAAAAATTAGTACAGGTAACTTTTCATTGAAAATGTTGAATATTGCTTCAAACTATGATTAGATTGAGAGCTTAAATACCACCTATTTTTTTGTGATGTTTTTAAAATTTCAATATCCGCCTGAAACTCACAATTTTGTCTATGCAAGACTGTTTAAGAATTCTACTTAGAAGTTTTTTGGATTTTATACAGATTACCCCATTTACTTAAGCTTGGGTTGACATTAGACCTGAGCCTAAACCAGAAATAAAGAAGAGTAATATAGAAAGACTCAACAATTCAAGATAAAGACAACTGAGTTCCAATTCATTAATGGATCACAATGAATCATTTTAGAAACAAAAATTGATCAATGAAATTGAATATTTACTAAAAATTATTGTTAAAAAGCGAAGTCACTCACTTGCTGGTTTGTCGATTCAATGAATAAAATTTTCTTCTCAGTTCAAACATTCTACAAACATATTTTGCTGTTTCAACATCTTCCTGCAAAACAAAACGTGAATTCTGTAATTGATGTCAAAAGCAATTTAAAAATACTACATAAAATCAATTAATGCTAACGATCGGGTTCTTCAAGACCAAATACCTATACTTCTTCTGTGCTTTTATGTTAGTGGATCCGTATGAATATTTATGTATATGCAAATATGCTCTGGCAAAAGTGAATATAACTATTCTAAGTAATTCAAAAGTCTTCCTGCACACTAACACAAATAAATTTCTGTAATGTTTTGTCCGATCATGGTCAGCCTTTCTCAGAGGTACTTAATCCAGCTACAATGATAAAATCAATTGCATGCATTTTATATCAGAAGAAATCTGGTCTAGGTCAGGCAAAACGTTACTGTAAGACTCTTAATTCACTTAGAATAAACTAATCCCACCTTGCGTGATCTAATGTTTTCATTTACAAAGGTGGTTTAAACATAATGATCGGTCTAACATACTTTCTATAAGACTTTGAATTCACAAAACCAAACAAATATTATGATGATCCAGATTTAAACTTGACTTGGCATCGTACGTTAAAAATTCTGGCTCAAATCCAATGCACCTCATCCGGGGTATAATTAATTCGATAGGAAATGTCGTACCAGAAAGATATACGTATACCCTATTGAATTGAATATAACGCGCAAAATTCTGTACTGATTTTCAATCAAAAATTAAGGGAGCATGTTATACATAAAACGATAAAAGAGTAATAAATAATACTGTAAATGTTAATTAAGTAAAGTGAACAAATTTATACAAATTTTCAATCAAAATGTAATACAGCACATTATACAGAGTGCACATTATACTCAAATAAATGCGGTAGGTCTTTCCATAAACAATACTACCTCCTTACATATTGATAGTTATCATTGGCTGATGGTACAAGGCCTTGTTCAGAGTGAAAAAACAAATAAACATTTTTTCCGTGTGATTACATACTTTGATTTTATATTAATAAAAACTAAATCGCTGAAAAAGCAAAAATAAAAGCAATGTAATTTGGGACATTTTTATCCAATTATAATCGAAATATTCAATATACCAATATTCAAAAATTTACTTCTTATATTATATTTTCCAATTTGTATGATTCATATTAATTTTAACAAACATATCGATGCCATGTTGTAGGACCTTAATCAGAATGCCGTTTTTTTCGCGAAGGTATGCAGAACTTTGTTTTTGTCCTGCGTTTGATTTAAAAATACTCACCAATAATTAATATTAATCTATGGTTAAAAGTTTGTATATTTCTGATTATTAACTCACCATATGAAACTGTAATGTTGTATCATCTTTTCTCATGTTTAACTGTATTGCAGATTTATTGCAGAGAACATGATCAATATTATTCCACTCATACCAAGTTATTTTTCCATATGTAAACTGTGGTGATTGACTATTTTCTGCATCTTCATTTGCAGATGCAGGAAGAATGTGACGAGTCACAATCCCAACAAATGAACAACCAATTTCGTAATCTGCGTTTTGCGAATCCTAGAAGATAATAATAATAAACTAATGATGTAAATTATAATACTTACAATATGTGGTGTATAAAACAGGAAAATGTCTAACACTCTCAGGAAATTTTACGCAGTCAGAAGAAAATATTGGGCAGGTTATACCTTATTTAATATTGATTATTTTTTCGAGCAACCGAAATTTATTAAAAATGAAGTCTCGTGACCCCGAAATTTTATATTAAATTTATATTTAGTGTAACTCAATTCTTCAATTTAAATTTAATATATATCTTATTCAAATTCTTTGGACATTCCTATTCGCTAAATATACATAACACTTGATTTTATGAGTAGACTATTTGGGCGTTCAAGACCAATCCAAGCTCATTTAACAGCCAGGTAAAGCCATGAATGTTAAATAGCAGTAAAACTTCGGAGTATATTATAAAAATTTACTTCAAGTCTATTAAACCTGAATTAGATCAAATTTACAAGAAACACAATGCCATCTGCAAACCATGATTTTCACACAAAGTGGCATTGACAGGTCTTGCTGTGGGGACCGCCAGAAGGAATTTTAACAGTGTAAAACATTCAGATCAATTTGTATTAGAATCTCATATAATTTGGGATGGATTTAAAATGATCGAAAACTCATCAAATTGAAATATTATTATATTTTTATACACCTGATAATGCATTTTGATATCATATCCCACAAACATGGAAAAAAATAAGTAAAATTTTACGTGTATTGAAACAAAAGTAAATTTAACACATGTTAAACACTACTGACAATAGATGCTACTATAGAAATTTAAGTTCAAAAAGTTGTTTTATTTAATGTAAACTCTACATAAGGCTCTGGACAAGTATTCTTGTGCAATGCAAATGATTATTCTGGAAACAAACAAGAAAATTTACCAATAAAAAAAATTGAAAAATACTTTTTCAAACCGATAGAAATTTATATTCAATAAATATAAATCACAATTTGCATTCCATAAATATATGGAATAATGAAACAAGCGTGCTAGGAAATTGTCAAGGAGCTCTTGAGCCAGCACAAGTGGGCTTTTGTAAATCATTCCTCAATGGTCATGCTCGACTGAGCAGGCAAAACTGTGTGCGGTAACAACCACAAAAATGCGTTTACGGTCTGGTGATTGATGTACGAAAAATGTGAGAGAACGACACTTTTTTTGTTTGCTTAACTAATATTTTCTTCGCTATCAGTCTGTTGTGTACGTATACTCGGAAAAGCACTCATAAAGTATGTTCATACACATTTAAGAAGTAACATACTAAACAAATATTAACCAATTAAAAGATTATAATCAGTGAATCTATGATCAAACATAATGCAAGCCTAAAATTCAATCTGCTTTCATATACCCATGCTTATAAAAGGGCAATTTAATAAAAGATTTTGAACTGCAGTTCGAATGACGCAATGAAACTTAGAATAACTAATAGGAAAAAGGTTATGCCCAAAGCTGTGAAAGCTAGGGTGTCAAAAACAACAGATAGTTAAATCAATTTATGTTTAATACTTCAGATTCTTGATTTTAGGAATAATTTGGTATAGTTTTATTTACAAAATAACCAAGCAATTTTGACAATACGACAAAGAAAGCATTTAATTTCTGGGAACTGTAAAAAATAGGAAGCCGAAAACATGAAAAAATTTACCACCATGCGTTTAATTGTTGAACAATAGAAATAATTCATAATCGAAGGTAGTTTTAGGACATATCCGAAATAGTAGATTGTTCAATTTTGACCATTTTTCATCACTTCACATTAGTTATTAGGTACGAAAAAATTTCATCAAAACACAAATAAAAGCTAAGAAACGAAGAGCATTCCAAAGTGGAACTTACTTTAGTCACATAGCTTTCCTCTCCATAACCTTCCAGATGCATAACTTTCAATATATAATTGTGTTCTGCATCAGGGGGTGTCAATGGCCTGAAAAATTATGTAAAATTGTAAAAAAAAAATAATTTATTATTTTTTATATGAAAAAGTGTGTGTGTTTCAAAATACAACTAACAAATGACTAACATTTCATTTGTGATTGAATTATGTTATTAATAGTTTATGAAATAGTCTTATGAGGAAGAAAAAAATCAAGAATTAAATTTTGAAGCAACAGTGATCATAAGCATTTAATAAAAAAGGATAGATATAACTGAATATCAGTTAAATTCCAAATTGAAGTAGTCCATTACATAGAATAGAAGTTGTATGTCCAAAAACCTTCACTAGGAGTCCAGGACTAAATTAAGTTATTATGAATATAAACATATTAAATTTATATACATTCAGGTATTTTGAATGAATATAAATATATTGCAAAAGATGGGTAAAAAAAAATTTGATCATAATTATTAAAGTTTTACAATTTCTAATATGTAATGTGTTTGATCTTACAAAAATTGAAACTCAAACAAGTATGGGCTGATATTAGATAAACCAATCGGGCTCAATTTATCAATGTCCCATGCTTGGATGAATGTAGAATAAAAATCACACAAATATGAAACAGTCATTATAAATAACATTATTATTTGCTTTTATAAAAGATGGTGAGATGGTTTGTTTGAACTCTTTTATTATTTCATTTGCTTTTCGCATACCAGTGATATTATGTCATCATATTGGTGCATATAATTGTCAATAACAATTTTAAGTGTGTTAAATACATTGAAATGTTGAATCACTCTGACTGAGTAAGGTACTAACATTACAATGTAATTTCTAATAAGCAAAATAATAAATTAATATAAATAAAGATGAAATTGTAAATCAGATAGTGATAAATCACCCAAAGAGAGCCCACTAATATGCAATAGGCTGGTATTTTTGGAAAAAAAACAAATCTTTTTGGTTTGACATTGGGTGTCCAATTTATTAATAAATTCTAAGTAAGATTAGGGGTTTGAGTTATTATATAGTTGTCGTTGTGTTTAAAGCATCAAAACTAAAACTTAGATGAAGTAGCATAGCAAACACGCTTTGCATGATACAATTTTGATATTTCAATGGGGATCAATATTTTTATGTCAGTAAAAATGCATCAAATCATATTATTTTTTTTTCATGGTTGAAGCTTGATTTTACCCCACTTGAAAATACAAGAAAAAAAGTTGAAAATAAAAGAAAAAATTAAATAACCAAATTTTCTATTACTTGTGGTCACTGTTAACAAGGTTCTATTCTGCTTACTATTATTAAAAAATTAGTAAGCAACAGTACAATATCAAATAACACAAAAAATGTTTACAAAACCCAGAACTCCAAATGAGAAATAATCTTGAATTGAGAACAGTAAATAGGACTTATAATAACACATGAGACAAAGTTTTGAATAATTTAAACCTTATTTGAGTTTAGAAAATGAAGGGATTTTTCGTACAAATTGCACCATTTTAATATAATATTATGTTCTTTAATTGTTGTTCAAATTGATAAATAATGTTACCGAACAAAGCATATCCATATATGGACCCTACATTTCTGGCAAAATCTTTTTGAATCTGTCAGTTATATAGATTAAACAGCTGGTCACACCCACATACTTGGTAAGTTATGTAAAATGGGTATTTAGCTAAATCATACTGTCAATATGTTACATACCATTGTTATGAAAATGATGAGTCATACATGACTGAAAAGAGGGCAAAGTGGTGTGACTATGAAATGAATAACAAAATCACCTGTGTCGCTGATGTAAATCTAAAGTCTCTTTTGTTAGCGAATCAAGTATTTCTTCATTTGGAGCCATCACCTAAAATGATAACAAATTATTAGTATTTTTGAATATGTGATTTGTTGAAAAATTAAAAAAAAATTTCTACTTACCTCTGGAAAGAGTATAAAATCCCGAAAATATTGTACAGTGTGCACTTCTGGATTATAGTCTCCAAATTCAGCTGCAAACAATGAAAAAAATAAGGGAACATATCAACAAAAATGAGCAAATCTCACAACAACAGCATGACAGAGGCATTTATTTACTGCCAAATAGAGCATTGCTAAAATTTTCAAAGAGTCAAAACAAATTCAGATTGAAAAGTTTTAGAATGAAATGTAAAAAAGCAGTAAGTTTTCAAGTCCATTTTCTGAGTATTTGACAGCTGGAAATTGTTTTTAATAATCAAAAACAAATTCAGATGAATTAATTAAAAATAAAATATAAAAAAGCAATAAATTTAAATCTCATTCCAGGGTAGTTAACTGTTGTATATTGTATTAAATAAATATCCAAATAATTTGGCATTTATAATTTACCATTACTTCAGATTATAAATATTTAAAATAGATCAATGTACCCAAATTATTATAATATATACAGTGATCAATGTCAGGGTGAAAAATAACAACTTTCATAGAAAGAACATTAATTTTGTTCACACCGCCAAGTCTGATTACAGCAATGGTCCAAGTTAACTCAACCGGACATTTTTTACTGACTGAGTGGAATCCATCAAAGACCCAATTCATTGTCATTGTAACTATTCCTGCATTCCAAACATTTTTGCTCAGTTATTACAGAGCTACAGAAAGTAGATAATTGTTAGGTAAAGAACAATAAAAGCAGGGTATAGGTTGTCAAAGCATTGGTTAGAACTTAGAATAGTTATTTAAAAAAAATTAAAAAACAAGAAATTACTTGAAAAAGCTTGATCATACATGGCATGGTTAATAGTGAAAATATATTTTCCAAACTAAATCTGCAGATGAAATGCCTTCACATAATGAGGCATAGATAGGAAGCACATATATGATACAAGCAACTAACTGACCATATTGGGTTTTTATAACTGGTACAAGCTTGATTATAAATGGGCAAACAAATTCCTATTGACCACGCTTAATAAACTACAACAAACTTATTTTGCTTTGATCAGTTTCAAACCATGTTTGATCTAATGATATTCAAACATAAAGGAAATCAGCTTTCAAATATCATCAACTATTTCCTTTCATCAAAGTAATAAGGAAACAATGTAAATTAAAACATAGGAAGTGACCAATTAATCTACACTGCTCTTGTTTCAAGATAACTTAGCAATAACACTATCTACCAGGAAATCAAAACATCATTATATGAATAAATCTAACAAAATAAATGGAATTGGAGTATTATTTGAAAAAAAATTAAAATACACAATTTAGCCTAATTTAAAACTTGATTGAAACAAAATTTTTCGTCAATCAACTCTTATATGGTCAAAATGTGTATTTTTTTTCGACCCCTATATCTCCATATTCGAATCCAACCAACTATGTTTGATAAAAGAGATAGCATCCTCAGGAACATCAAAAAATTTAGTAAAAACAGGACTACTTGAAGTGAAAGCTATTTGAAAAATTTCTTTTATTGAGAGAACTCATTTATCGCAATTACTGTATTTTTCAACGCTTAATCGCGACAATTGTCATATAGAAATCGTTGTTTATGTCAAATCTCGATAGAAAAATATAGATAATTTTGCAGCAAATTAGGATTTAAATTATTCAATTGGAAATTATTTTCAATGCAAACAACCGACTGCAATACTCTTCAAATATAGATATCCCTAGTAATGACATAGATGGCACAAAACCAAATGCCTAGGCTAATTGGGGCTGAGAGAGTATAAAGGGATTCTTAAAACAGATCAAATATTTGAATATAAACAGAATAAGTAATACTATATTATAAATTTTAGATAATATACCGATAGATAATTTTTCAAACGTTTCATATGAAAATTGTTATTTTGAGCCTAATGAATGCTTACAAGACAATCATTTAATTTTTGAAAACTGTTGGAAAATATAAGTAATCAAATCTTGTTTATCTTCAAGTTCAGTGCACTACCAAATTCAAAGTCACAAGCTTCAACCAGTTGCCTTATTTACTGTCTATACATTAATTCCTCTGTTCAACATTGATCAATTTAGTATACATATTCTACGTTTGAAAATATTATTCCCGAATGTATTCAGAATAGTAAATTATTCAATTTTAGTCATCTATGATTAAATATTATAGCAAAGTACAGGACTTACAAATCTTAGTTTTGCATGACATTTTACGAATGACGAAAGACACGATTCCCCCAAAGAATGTGTAATACAAACAATCGTTATAAAAACATGACATATTGCATTGTACCTTGTAACATATAGCTCGCTAGTTCAATAGCCTCTTGTGGACTTCTGGGTAAACAACCATCAATTACGTTATTCTTCAGTTGTAAGTAGAACAAATACCTATAAAAATAAAACACCTAATAAATATCCAATACTTATATTGAAGGAATAGAGCATGGGAGCTTAAACTATTAGGCATGATGGTGTCGTAGTAAGAGCGCTGGATCTAATTATGTTGGCATCCCAAGTTATATGCCCAAAATGTGAATAATAAAATATATGATATGCGAAATTTACGGTGTCCCCAAAATTCACATACTATATGTTAAAATAATGGTGCTCCAGTGTGTGTACCATTATGGAAGTAACTAATTTTCTTTGCCTAAGTACTTTACATCAAGCTGTGTAAAGGGACTGAAACCTATGGCAGGGAGTATATATGCACTTGGCTAACACAGACAGTCCCGAACTCGTAATAGAACTAAAATAAGGAAAATCGGAATAAAATCATGGCCTAACCTGGTACACACACTATGGAAGTACCGTTAATTCTACTAATAGGTTAATAATAATGTCAAATATCAAATCCTCATTAAATATTACATTCGCTCAAAACATTATTCTGGTTATAGTGACAATTCAATCATTAAACTGTAATAACTATCAAAAATTAGGTATGCTAAATTAAAAAGTTGATTTCCATATTATTTTAAAACTGAATTTAATTCTTACTAACACTTTAAATGAAATTAATATTCTAAATATTTAAAAAATTTCATTATTGTATAATGAATCATTTCCATAACATTCCTTAAATAGTTTATATTGTGATAATATGTTATTGTATAATTATATTATTCAGAATCATTACATTCTATAAATAAAAATATGGTTCGTTAGAAATTAATTCAGCTGATTGATTTGTGATGAGTGCTGAAATAATTTAACAATTTTTTAGTAATGTAACATTGATACTTGGCTCTGAACAATTTTCGAAATTCTTTTTATATGAAATGAATTCACAAAATAGTGTTAAATAGTTAATACTTCAATAAATAAAAATCTTTCTGGAACTGAATGATTGAATGCTTTAGAAAAAACTATTTACTAAAGCAAAGCATGTGTGGGTGTTGAAAAGATCATTGTTTTCAAGGTAACACTTATGATGTCAAAACTAAAAAAGTCTAATTATTTTGGATTATATAGTAAAATGCAAGACAAATTTGATTGAATAAGGTATATAATCATGATTTTGACACAAATTCAGGTCCTTTCTGCCCTTTTATTTCATTAAAAAAGTGAATGAAAGAAAAAAATCAAATATTTAATTTTATTTATCAGGAGAATTTGACATATTGAGCTTTTTCCTCATGCTCTATATATATTTCCTTCCGGTAATGAAAAAATAAGAAAAAGAAGATTTAGTTATTAGGTATTACATATTGTATAAATCTCCTACGCTTAAAATGAACCAATATTATAGAATTCTAGCTTTGTGAGTTACCATGTAAAAGAACAAGTTTTCTATTCAAGCGTGAATAAACAATTCTTTCAATATATGATGCGGAATGTAATATGATTCGTTGTAGGTAACAAGAGATAAAAATTCCTCGAGTGAACTCTTTTGACCTACAGACAATTGTCCCCCAGGGCTTTCACATTTAATCTTTGTTTGAGATGGGCTTGTAAATAGAATATTTGTGACATTAACAAAACAGACTAGATATAAAACAAGACTATAAAAGTATGTACAAATAAAAAGTCAGTCAACAAATTTAGCTCTATACATTGTACTATATTGTACAGCCTTCAGTTTGGATTCAGACCTGAATTTTGTACATAACAATATTTTAGGCCTTACAGTGTTAGGCCGACAAAGCAAGCAAATTACGCACAACAATATACAATACCGAAATTAAAATCAATTAAATCAATTGGCCCAAATATGCAATAATTGGTATTCAAGTGGTAGTTAAGTGAGGATTTTTATTATGATAGTCCACACTGGGACACATAAATCAATGATAGACAAAATCTAATATTAAATCCTCAAATGTATTCAAAATCATGTCATGTTAACAGAGAAATCAGTACAATTTTTTTGATATAATGTATTTATATGCCTTTAGCTCCAAGCAAGGCTCTGCACAACAGGGACTGCTAGGTAGGAGAATCTATAGTTTGGAAAGAACTACTCTATTTAGTACACGCTGGGTGAGGCGAAGGGCACATAATTTATCTCGAATTCATCCAAATTAAATATGGTAATGCAGAATAGTTGAAATGAACATTATTTTAATTTAGGAGGTAGTCTCAGAAGTAGAATGAATTTCCATGCTTATAATCATACATATCGTATTGGATCTGTTTAGCTGTATTTTTCCATTTGATTACATAAGTGAAATACCTCTTAGTAAGACAAAATTTGATAACTGAATTCATTGTTTTCAGTAAATGTCTCTTATGCACTAAAAACATAAATCTAGAAAATATGAAATCCAAAATAAACATGAAATAGCTGCAGAGAAATGATATATCTTGAAATTCCTTCTCATCAAACAATTCTACCAAAAAATTAAAATGACAAATTCTCAAATTTCCTTATCATAATAGAAAACATCATTTACATTTATATGATTGAAGTCAAATTGAATTCACCCAAAACAAAAATATAAAATTACCTTGTTATTTCTTGTTGCAATAATTCAAGATTAGCAACATAATACATTACTCCAAAATAAAGAGTAGGATCATGTGCATTCTTGTCCACTTGCTTCTTTAAAGGCTTATCAAGTTCCACCCATCTAACTGCCATTTGTTTATTGCAATATTTCAACCCAAAATATTGCACCTAAAAACAAAACAATCAATATTTCAAAACAAACTGTAATAACTGATGTATATGGAATTTATTTGTATTAGGTTACAAATTTTTAGATTTCTGAGATATCTGTTAAGATAAAAGCACACACACATACAAAATATAGGATCTAAACATGTATTATTCTAATGAGGTATAATCGCAGGTTAAAAACTATTATTTGAAATGAGAAAAACAACTCCAGCTATGCGAATGAAATGCAAGCTTGAAGCGCTTGAACTCACAATCTGCGCCAAATTGATGTTCGGAAATAAATACATATACATACCGGTAATACATAAATAATAAATACATCATACAGCAATGTCAAATTATAAATTTTATTATTGGTTCTTATGTTCTTATGACATGGTGACACGGTTAACACGCTGCCCAAAAATTTGATATAAAGCTCTGAATCAGGATAATGTCATTTTCTAATGGTCCTAAATAAATTAGCAGAGCAGTATAACAATGGATGCAAGTTTGCCTTTACTTTAAACATTGTTGAATAGGCTGTAACAGCATTCAGAAAATAAAAAGCTCCACGAGAAAGTGGAAAATAGCAAAATAATACCTTGGTATTATATTGAAAAGCATAATTTTAATATACCATATTATTACAATTTGGAATTAAATTATACATATGACACATAGAATAATACAAACCTCCTTTAAATCTAATTTATTTGCAACTGCATGCAAACAATCATTTCCTGTATTTTCGACAGTCAGTGTACATTCCATTATTGTGTTATCCAATAACTGCACACGGACCTAAAATGAGAAGTATGTTTATCTATATGAGAAATTCACAATTGGCCGTAGATCCTAGCTTTGGTATTGTCCTGTTATTACATCACCACCAATTATCTGTTCTTTTTGTACATCATAGGCTCGGTGGTGAGGAGCATCTTGCTAAGCGTTAGGAATACGCTCACCACTACACTTCTTATTACCCTGCATGAGTTTGAAGATTCGAATCCTATGCGGGAATAGTTATGTGCAAGAGGATTGCCGAACTCCTCGCCGCCGTAAGGTGGTTCACATAACCGCTGGACAGTTACGGCTTCCTCCACCTTCAAGTCTATGCCTCCGAAAACAAATACCTGGTTAACTAATCCCATACCCAACAGCGACTGGTAACAGGACGAGAGGCCGTGGTTCGCCATATGATTAAGCTGTTTTATCGACTTTCCTCTCCGCCGAGACAAATATGGAAATCCTATCCCATCCAAGTTTGGTGAGTAAGGTATTGAGTAACATAAGTAAACATAGAAGGGTACGGTTAAATGGAACCAAAGAAAATTAGTGGCTTTTTGAGTATAATTTATTTATATTTAGATAATTTTTCCCAATCCATCCCAACATATAAATGTGCAAATACATTGAAAGATGCAAAATTGTTGGTGACAATTACAGATAATATAATGCAGAAAACTTTTGAAAACAATGTGGACAAAATACCCAGAAATCACGCTCATAAGTGAAGCCAAATGAAGTCAACTTTATTTGAACCATTCCAAAAAATAAAATTTTTGTATGCAGCAACTCTCTTGATTTACATAGAATAGTTATCTTCCAATTTTGCCGCAGCATCCTTGCATCATATGCATAAAGATCAATGATAAGTGTTGGTACCGTAGAAACCCAATCTATGGCACAGTAAAAGGTTACAATAAAATGCTATAAAAATTACTGCAGCACTCACCAAGAAAGAATTTTTATGTGAGAGTATATATCTCCCTTTTCTGCTGAGTTTAATTCCAAAAGGCATGACTGAATTTAGTGCCTTTTCGAGCATCTGAAGAATTTTCCAATTTGATCCTTTACTATGTTCCCCAAAGAGTGTCAGACATTACAAAAAATTAACATTTCATTATATCCCAGACTTATTACCCAATAAATTTTATCACTAACGTCAAACCTATAAGCTTGTGATTTGAAACAAATAAAGTCTGAAAGTAAACCACAAGCAGACAGAGGAATTTTAGACATTTCATTGTTTGCAAACAATGTGCAAAATGAAAGACCAATGACTTTGTTTGATTTAAGTTTTATGAACAAGTAATTTAAGATGTGAATAAACCAATGCAGCATTTATCAGATATAATCCGGAAAACAGAGCTGTCTGGTTGTCTCGTACATACATGGGGAACCAATGTTGAAAGTCATATAATAGGGGCGTGTCCATATGTACAGTGTGAAACCTCAACATTAATAGGATAGATTAAATCCAAGCATCATTTGCTCTGGATTGGTTGATTCATCTTGTATATCTACTACAACATCAACCCTGCTGTTTATAAGGCATCGCAAAGGACTTTTTTTGAGAGAGCTATTAAAATACTACCTTGCAATTTTTACCTTTGCAGAACATAACCATTTTTCCTACTAACCATATTATGTAGTCATACCAGTCAATATGAAACATTCCAAAATAGTTCCAGTTAGTAAAAAACAGCCAAAATTGAAGATTTGTATACTGTGATACTAATTACTAATTCAGGAATAGATATATATAAAGTTATAAAAGTCATTTGAATGGACTCCTCCACAGAGGAATATTGTGCTCCCATATAAACTAAGGGTTTTATTTTCTATACAACTGTACAACAATGGCATAATAACATTTACTGATTTATCTTTTTTTCAAATCATTATATTTCAGTATTCAGTGGAAGAAATTTAATTTTTCTCTTATTCAGAAAATATTTAAATTGGTCAACTTTTTCTGTTTCATCTTCTACCATTAAGGAAAACTATGCTGATGATCTTTTACACTTCAAAATGGACATAATCCTAATTTTCAATAACACGGTAGAAAAACAATGAAAACCTATTTTCTTGTACAACTATAACCAGATAACTATCGATCTACTGATGTCAATACTTCATCAATACCTATGCTTTTATTAAAAAAATTCTTGGGTGAAGTTTTGGTCCAATTGTGACATGTTTTTACATAAAAAGACAGAAAGCGCGACAAGTAAGGATAAGTTTATTTATACATCTATAAAACCATGGACAGATAAATGCTCAAAAAATAATAATCAAAAAGTAGTTAAGTTATTGTATCACTATACAGCTATAACTGTATAACATTTGGCAATTGAATGTCTGAACGGTGGCCACAGTTGTTCATATATATAGTGTTATTTCATGATGGTATTATAATATTAAACAGTAACATTGAAAATCATCAAAGATCTAAAGATATCTTGCCACTATCTGATTTTCAAGACTAAACAGCCAGACAGCTATACCTGCTGACCTGTATACGATATTCATGTTTTCAAATCTTTGGCAATGTAACTACTGTCTGACTATATAACTGATATATTCTTTAATATCTTGATTACGTTTTGTATTCTTGTTTCTTATCTTTCAACAATAAATCGATTGTGAAATAGGTTAAGATATATCCAATTCCGCACTTTGTATTTTTAATCGCTCTCTAGTTACCGTATCGCTGTATCACCTGTCAGATTGGGTAATAAATAGCGTTTTCAATTCCACATTTAAACCAGATCACAAAACTCACCCGAAATAAACCACAAATATGTCTAAATTACCTACTGATATACAAACCAGCTTTAAGTCGTTCAGTTGTTAAGCGCAGCCCAGCTTAAACTCACTAAACCGCGATTTCTGAATTCTCGTACCCATCGTTTGTGATACATAACCTTACTTTGCGTATCTATGACACAGCATGCGGAATCGATGCTACATGTCCGCCTACAGATCGAGTCCCACCCGCTGGTATACACGGTCCAGTCTAAACCACAAGGCAATACAACTATAAACACATTGACGTAACGTTTTTGTGACCAGTCCAATCACTTAATGAGTGTTGTTGATCTCATTAAGGTAAAGAAACTGCTCGGATCAACGAGACCTACTATATATCTCAATTGTACTGTTTCCATTTCGAAGATTGGTTACTGTACGAATTGCAATAAATCAATAGCCCTTGTGCTCGTGCAGCGGTCACCGAACCTTGAATGATAACGATAGACTCCAGTTTAATTCTAGAATGTACTTACGGCCGCACCGCTGATTGCAATTCGTGGTAACGCAATTTCAAATGCAAACAAGTCTCTGTACAACCAGCGATTGACCCGTTAGGAGTTACTATATTTGGGAGGATCAGAATCTTTCGGGATAGGCACTGCTTACCCAATTCATTACATCCCGGGTGATAAGATTAAAAAGTAATTTGAACCTGGCTCAAACCTGCGATAACAACATAATTAACTATATATTATCCTGTTGAGAGTTGTTTCTTCGCGTGGATAACATCGATTCATTTCAATTCAAAACAATTCATTATAACCGTTCACTGACATATTAGGTGCAAATCACCTTTATACTGTACAATTTATTTAAAAATGATTGGTCCATCGCAAATTTATCTCCCGTGACGTTTATTTCAAGGATATCACGAACTGTATTGGTAAAAATCAATTAAATATAAAAAAGTAATCGAAGTACTAGTATTGCTGATTATGAAAATTTGACAATGATTAGTTCAGAATCAATTTCCGGTCGAAATATATTGTTCACCATTTTACTGTAAGAGCGTCTATTCAATGTCATTCAACAAGTGCGAATTTTGGGGCAGAAATATAGCATATCTACATCTTTGGAAAGTAGTGACGATTTGAATCAATAATATTTCCGGTCGTGTTGTATACACTCTCTGATAGTACACTCGTATTACGTCGTTCGGAACTAATAGAGCAAGTAGCTCCTGATCGAAGTTGATGCTGTTTTCCCCTGTGATATGTCAAGTAGAGGTTGCACATCGAACACTGGAAGTTTTGTCACATAAATCACATTTAACAACGAAATCGGTTTTACTAAAATACTTTCATACACCCGATATAGGCTGCATATTTTATGCAGAAGAGCGGCCATGAAACCATCACAATACGTGAATAATTTCGAGCAATAGCGGGATAGGATCACGCGAAATTGCTTGAAACCATTGGGACGTAGAAAGCTTAAATTAAAGTTATTACGTCAAACGCCACGCTGCGGTTAATTTTACCCGATTAGGGTTAAAGGTTTTCCCCGAAATTCCCAACCTTGATCATGAACAATTTTAAACAACGTATAAATGTCTACAAAACGTATGCTCCAAATTTTACTAACTATACTAGTATTCGGAATAACGAAAATATCAGGGTCTCCAGTGTTAAATCTCTAATTTACTTTAGATCCTTTTCCCTATGGAAATGCGTTTTGCACCGGATTATTATCCTAGCGTGAAAAGCTATATATTTCTTTCCATATTTCACAATTACCCCGAGAGGAAAATACCGAAAATCAGCTTCACCCCTGCAACTGCATTATTTCAGTTTTCGACATCAATATTTTTGTTTGCACATGGTTTTGTATTTGCATCATAAAAACACATACGAAAATGTCGAATCGTTATATTAAACGAATAAAGCATACGCAATTTGAAACATTAAAACAAAGATATCAACTCTTATGCAGTTTCAATACAACTCTCTGTTGTTTCTGCGGGTGTTTCGAATCGGTGTTAAACAAGTCTGTGTTGTGTTTACGTATTGTCAGTCCAGTCGAGGGTGAAGGCAGAAAATTTCTTCTGGTCTTCGTAGAAGGTTGAATCTGTTCACAAATTTGCTTCAAAGCATTGATTGATCTTCGAGGTTTCTGAAGACGTTTATAGAGAAGTCTGCTCGATTCTCCGCTGTCTTGTCCAGGATTTGGAGACGTGTAATCTCGAGTTGGTGATCGCGGATTAGTGTAGTCAACGTCGTACATTCTACTAGTTTGTGAAATTTTTTGCTTCCATCCATGTTCCTGAAAATAAAGCAACACAATACGGCGCTGATTAGTCGACATGGATTCGAAGGTCTGAGTCTCGGGGAAAATGATCACATGTTAGAAGATTACTGAATAAAATACTTTCACAGCTCAAAGTTACCGCTGACCGCCCACAGCTTTCTCTTTATTCATGAAACTGTAACAATTGGCTGACTCGATGTTCGAATTCCCTCAACTAAGCATGTAGGTCGTGATTGATCACATGACTAACCCCGTGTCGGAAGATACACTTCAGTCGTATTATACAAGGGCCGTGGTAGGGTTGTTAGGTAGTGTCAATCATTTTTAGTAAGGAAATGACAGATACAACGTTTTGGATGTTGGAAAAATTCTTGATTAGTTATGTATTTTTAGTCAGGCTATTAGTTTTATACATTATAACTAATTCGACATAATGAACTGAAAGGTATGTAACAGTGTCTTTCGGAAGAAATTTCGCCTAATTAACGAAGAAAAAATTGTTATTCATCTATAAAAATGGGAAAATTAGACGTACCAGCTTCATTTGGTATTCTGGATGATCGGTGGGAAGGTATCCATATCCGATCGGATTTTTAGCATACAGCAGTCGAGAGGAACCTTTCTCTTTTCGGATGTAAGCACCATGTCCATAATCCCCTCGTCGTACTTTATAACTCAAAAGTTCCTGTGGATTCATACAACGTTCAAACGCTTCCTGGTATTTTGTTGGGAGCTGTCCGGCATCTGCGGGATTCGGATGATCATTTTGCGGCAAATCAGCAAACTTTTTCACCATAGTTTTTTCTTGGGGCCTGCACCATTCTCCAGCACCGATACCTTTTAATTTCCGAGAGAATGGTCGGACTTGAATTCTCCTACCATAGCGATCGTGAGTGGGCGATGTAGAAACAACTTTATCTGTTGGTTCCGAATGTTCGCGAATCTTATTGGATGAAAGATACTTTACAGGCGAAGCACATTTGACAGAAATTTTACATGGAAGCTTAGTTCTTGCTACGTGTATCGACGGAGTTGTAGGCTGGCAGTGGGTTGCAGTTAACTGGTGATTTGTTGTGGTAACAACAATGCGCTGTGACTTGTTATTCTCGGAGGTTTTCTGTTGAACATTTTCTGATGGCTGCAGACTACCTGTTGAACTATGTACAAAAATAATAACTTTATATTTGACTACTATTAAAAGTAGTGATATGAAATGCAAAACCTGCGGTTGAGATACGCGGTTGTCTTTGCTCATTGTTAATTTATTTCGAAGTTTCTCGTTTTCTCGAAAGAAAGCTTGAGAGCAACCCCTTTAATTTTTGGGAGTCATTCTCATTTTTCAGGATGAGCAATACAAATTTTGAATTTCTTACATCTTAGACGTTGTAGTATGTTTGGGTCGTGAAATGAGTACCAAATACCAGGATCATGCAATTGCCCACAAAATGGTCACATCGAGTGGCTAACGTCGCATTGATCTTTTTTTTAAGAACTTTGAAATATATGAACTGTGGTGCAATAGACGAAAACATTTGAAATCAATCAAACAAGAAGTTATTACATAAAGAATTGCGATTCATTGGTAATATACATTTTGCACAGCCCAATAACCGTTTGCGGAGGAGGCTATTCAGGTAAGGACTGGAGTCGAGACTGTGGATTTGAGAAAGTTTGTTTTGACTCCGACTTCAGTTCCGAGCTCTGAGAAAATCACATTTTGACAACAAAAGAGCCTAAACAAGCCTTTACTGATAGCCTCTTAAGAACTCAGTAAATTTAATGCTTTTTGAGCTTCTGTAGAAAAGTTTTTTTTTATTTATAACTAATGGAAGTCTAATATTTCAACTTCTACTACAGTAAAGACATGGCAAACTCGACGGCTTCGATTGGGGCCCCATATCCATCCCCAAATTTAACTGCATGAGCTACGAATAGAGTAGCGCTATGGACTAACAAAAAATCCTGTAACAATACAAGAGAGCGATGCTCAAATATATGAACACGACTTGGTACGGACATGAGAATTTCAAACCAATTGGTCAAGTGGTGAATGTGAAAAGCAATTTTTTCGCAACAAAAAGAGAAATAAAATACCAACATGATGATCAACAACGACAAAATAATAAAACGATTCATAGGTCTATTTCGTATCCAAAAAGTGAGTGGTAATTCAGATACATAGCATGGAAGTAATACTCACGGCTTATCTTTATTTTGATGTGTTTGAGAATTCGATCTTTTTTGTTTTAATATTGTACCAGTGTCACGACGTTCTTTACCTTTGCCGCACTTCGCCTGTCTCGGAGATGTGGATTTGGCTTTAACTTTACCGCCAGAAGACAGACCGCATTCTGTTACACTGTCTTTGTTTTTATCCGGAAGATTTACAAACGTCATTGTTTCGGGTGATTTTTTAACAGACTTTGATAATGGGGATTTGGATTTTTTGTTTTCTGGTGACAACGGCTTCAGCTTGCCTTTGTTTGATTGCCCTGAAATATGTTTGTTGTTTTTCTTGTCGGCATCTTGTTTGAATTTTACAATATCTGTGAACTTTTCTTTGATCCCGGTTTTTGCGCTTTTTGATTTTCCCTTCAAACCTATTGTTTTCTGAAAGAAAGTTATATTTAAATAAATATAAAAAAATAATTGTAACATATTTGACAAATTTGAACTACTTTTGACGGTACTCCAATAGTATGTGTACCAGGTTAGAGTTGGGCCATAATTTTAGTCCGATTTTCCTCATTTTAGTTCTATTACGAGTACGGGGACAGTTTGTTTCAGCTAAGTGAATATCCCCCTGCCCATAGGTTCCAGTCCCTTTACACAACTTGATGTAAAATAGGCGAAAAAAAATAGTTATTCCATGTACACTTACTTCTGGAGCACCCCTTTGACGATCCTTTTACGCATCACATGCGTTGGAATGGTGGGGTATGGGTTAAGTTAAGTAATATTCATGGTCACGTTTATTTTTATTTTTTCATTTAATAAAAATTCACTTACAAAACTATGAGTTATGTCGGGAAGGGAAGCCAAAGATGAATATCAAGTAGCGACGACCACAGAAAAATTCCATATTTATGCTGTAGGAAAGGGGTCGGCAACCTTTTGTCGCTCGCGGGCCAAAATTAAGATTGCAAGTCATTGGCGGGCCGCACATATTTTCAGAAAGTTGAAAAACCGAACGGATGATACTTTTTATAATAAAAATCAAGCAGTTATACATCTCTCGAATAGAATATAGATTTACTTCCTCATTGCATCTCATAAAATTATATTTGAATATTTCAGCGCCATTGAACCCTTTGCACTTAGCATCAACTTTTCTGCGTTTTGTTGCCATTTGCTTAATTATAATTAAATTATATGCTCATTAAACGAGTAATTGTGAATTATATAATTGTTAGGTTATAATATAATTTAGTCTAGAGAATATATTTGTCAAAACGGATGTTTTGTTACTATAATTTGGTGAAGCGTCGCGGGCCGGATTATAGTGCTCCGCGGGCAGGATCAGGCGGGCCGTAGATAGGGCTGGGAATTTCGAATCGAATATTCGAATCGAATCGAATAGTAAATTATTCGAATCGGTTCAGAGCTAAATTTCGAATCGCCGCTATCTTGTTTTCATCTTTCCGCTAATGGTCGAGGTGAATTCCCCAATTTTTTTTCTCATCAGAGTCATATTTATTCAACAAAATTCTAACATGTGACTATTTTCCGTAGTGAGTTATTGATAAAACGTGTTTGTTATTCTGTGTGAGCGCTCAGTAATCTATCTGGGGGATTTATTCTATGTCTTCAGTAATTCATTTGTTGAGTGGATCAATTACTATAATGAAGTCGCTTAAAATTATATATTTTCATGTATTCGAGATTCGATTCGATTCAAAAAAATTATTCGATTCGATTCTGAAATCACAAGGTATTCGAAAATGCCCAGCCCTAGCCGTAGGTTGCCGACCCCTGCTGTAGGAGAAGAAAGTCAATAATACTGCATAAATATTCAGCTATAAGATCTCGCAAGGTCCAAACGCCAAACTAGGAATTTCAATGCCCAAATCTATGAGAGGCTGGGCACAGCAATTACTTTATTCTCTCGTATAACCTTATTTTTTCATGTAGAAATCGGGCACTGACTTCAGCCAAATAGAAAAAAAAACTGCACCAGTTGTCGTATGAAGTAGGCCTACTGTCCTCGTATTTCATATAAAGGCAATCAAACGATTTATAGATACCCTTGGTGTTTAATACCCATGAGTTAAAAGATACCTGATTTACTCTTTGAAATTCTGTATATGTTTTCGAATTCAATTCTACAACTTGATCTATTCTGATGTTTATGACATTCGGAGACGCGGTCTCTCGCGCAGTTGATGTTTTCCCGGAGGTCATTACAGCAGCCGGGCTATTACAATCACCTCTACTCGACATCCAAGCTCTCTGATGGTAAGAATAATCATCCATTTTTCGCCTTTGCATCGGCACCGGAATGGGCTTGACTGGTTCTTTTTGTAATGGTGGTTGTAGTGTCGTGACCGTGATACCTATACGAAGGTAGCCAGTAAATGTTCTGTACTCTTTTAATCATTTTATTGTTTGTTTCCACTGCTCCTGAGTATCGGTATATGATCCTGTACCGGTACCGTTTCTGTGTGTTTCTTTTGTGTGTTTTTATTTTTTTACCACGGCATAGTTAAAAAAACATTATTCATCTATCAAGTGTATTGATAGGATGGGGATTTTGAAACCCACGACATCATATAGTTTCTGAACTTTACCCACATATTCAGGTGGTACTGAAAAAAATGGTTGCTCCACAAAGAAAACACTTGACCGTTTAATTGTATCAATATATTCCCAAAAAAATATTCTTACCTCCAATTGGTGTAGGTTTATTCGCTGTTGATTCATTTTTTTGGACATTTTCTTCAGTTTCAACAGTGATTAAGTTATCTGGTTGTATTTCGACGATCTTCCTTTGCATTTGCGGACGATGGACGCTTTCTTCTGTCGGGGAATTATACTTTGGAACATGTATTGACCCTAACTCCGATGGTGGGAAGTATTTCGTGGTTTCTGTTTGCTTTGGGACAAGATCGATAGTATCTTTCGCTACATTTGAAGATTCTTTATTTTCCGGGCGACCAGGCATATTCTCGGAATCAGGTATTGTCCATTCTTTACATAAACTTTTGCTTTTATCAGTGATGTTCTGAAGTTTGTTTGCTTTTGCCATCCTACTGGGCTTCATTTTGTTGCATAAATACTGGGATACGTTTTTGGGATCGTCAAACTGAGCTGAAATTAATGTAAGATAAGGTTATTTATATCCACCCCAATACAGCGGTTCTCAGCGGTTTTGGTTGATTTATTTGGTGAAACGAATATTGATAGCAAGCCAGGAGAAATCAATTCCACTAAATCGTTCAAGAATAGAGTAGAATGGTGTTGGGAAGGGCCTAGGAATTTATGTCTCGAAACTGGCCCCTCAGATCTTTCTTAAAAATTAAAAATTAAATTCATTATAATTGGGAAATGTATATTGTTTGAGGACAGTGTGCTCTGATTCGTGTTCAATGAGAGGGAACTTATTCTAACTATGAAAAAAATTTGTGGTATATTGCTTACATTCATATTCATCTTGATTGCCTTTCGTCATGTCACCAATGGCAGTAAATTTCTGATGACTAATGTGTGGATTGGGCGAAGGAATCTGAAATGATATAAAAAAAAAACGATCAAATAAAAAAGTACCTTGTTATCAAACATCAGTCAAATGCTCTGTGTCCGAATTAGCCAAAATGTTTTGAAACTGAAGATCGTTTTAAATAAGACCATAATTTAAATTACCCGATAAAGGAGTAATTTTTACGTTTCAAAGTAATTTCACACAAACTTCGAAGAAGGTTTTATAAAAACAAATGACACACAAGAGAGAAGAGTTTCTATATAAACGCCGGTCCCACTTCTCAGAAACCGATCTGGCGATGCTCAAGCAAAACCACTGCAATATTTTTTGATACTTGAAGAAATACCTGCAAAGCAACAGAATTGTCCGGATGTTGAAATTTTGTTACCCATGGATGACATAATACTTCGTCAATTGACAATCTCTTCTGTGGTTTAATTCTTAACAATCCACGGATAAGTTCCTTGCATTCTAAATATAAAGGAATCTAGAATAAATGGTCTCAAAACGAGACTAACGAAGGTGACAGAATTAACAAACATGCGGCCCCCGAATAAATTTTTTGTGGATTGCAAATTGAGTTGACAGAATTAGTCCTCTTATGTTTTTTTGCATGGTAAAATCATCGCCCATAGGCCTTACCGTATCGGCACCGATACACAACCCCGCGTGACCATTCTGGTTCAATTAAGTTGGGCTGAATGAACCTTTTTAACGGGCTTTCATTACTAATAAAATTGTATGCGGAAGAAAAGTAAATTATCTTATGTATGTGCGAAATTTTGTGTACATTTCAGTAGGCTACTATATGAAATATCACTTTTCTCACCTGTTGATAAATGATTTTTGAAGTATACAGGTTTTTTCATGGCTGTTAAAACGGCCTTTGCATCCGATTCTTTGAATGGTAGTCCTCCGTTTACCATTGCGAATAGTACGACGCCTCTTGAAAAAATTTCAAACTTATAGCCATTGATTGAGATAGAATATATATATATAAGATATGTCCTAGTGTTAGCAGGAGAGATGAATTTGATTTCTGCTGGAGACCTATATCCCTATTAGAGTAACCTAGTTTTTTAGTAAACGAGTTTTTTTCATCGTCAATAATAAGCAAACTTTATATATCTTACAACTAAATACTCCAATTGGTTGAAATCTGTCACAATGTTAATCAAGTTGCCAAATACAGATGTGCAAGTAATTCTTCAATATTTATTATACAATCAATGCATCGCTAAGCCGATGTTATGATCATTAGCCCAACTGAGCATTGATATAAGCAATATATGACAAATGCACGAAGGGAAATGACGACAGCCGTGGTTATGATGCATACGTTGAATTCCTTGAAGTCTTACTTTGTTCAGTATTTTTGAATTCCAATTGCTACAAATTGTATTACCTTATGCCATGTGTGTTTATTTTACCGTGTGTGTTTCACTGTTGTTGGTGAGAGAGTCAGTGTTTTACATTTTTTACATTTTTATCACAAGAAGTTATGCTCGTCTCCCAAGTAACTCCACATTATGTTAGTTCTTGTTTTGCTTTACGCCATAGGGACCAAAATTAAATGATTGATTAATTGGTTGATTGTACTGAGATTATATAAACAGTTACTATACGTGGTCTTAGCCAAATGGGTCGGAGTAAGTGCTGCTTACCGGTGAATGTTTATGAATAAATAATTCTAAATGGACTGGTGCAAAAAAAAAGAGTAGTTCCATCACAACTTATACATTCATACATAAAGATTATCTGTAACATCGGTAAATTCATGAACGACTTGAAACTCTAGAATCTAGATCCAAAGAATGAAACATCGGCATACTAAATTCAAAATTGACATAAAAATCTCATTAAAAATAAATAAATGTAATAAATAAAGTAAACATTTCTCACAAACTCCAAAGGTCTGCCATTTTTCCATCGTACTTCTGTTGACGAAGTATTTCCGGTGAAGCATAAGCGTAACTTCCGCAATGTGTTTTTAATAAATCTAACTTGTCACTTGTATCGATGGCAAATCCAAAATCACTTAATCGTATGGATGTTCCATTAGTTAATAACAAATTTTCACATTTGAGATCTCTAGAAAGTAAAATATGGATTACTTTAGGACCTTCAGGTGACTCAAAATATCCACTCGACTTGAGTAGATCTGGAAGTAGCTTTTTTAGAAGCTAGAAACAGCTATCGTCGTCTCATCAAGAGTGGGTGAGCCTCGGCAACATTTATCTTACATCGTCACATAAATTCATCTTCAATTATGCCACATTATATATTATTTTATTATATTGCACTATAAAGACCTGTGTGCGATTCCTCTTCGATGGATAAAGCGCAATCCTGCTGATATTTCAGTAAACATCGATCTTGCAATGTTCTCTGGAACGCAATGAGGTGAATTCTTAGCACAACATCGGTTTATATACGTCAGCAAATCCCCAGCGGTAGCAAATTCCAGGACTAAATACACTCTTTTGACTGTTGCAAATATATCGTATAGTTGAAGCTGAAAAAAATCTTCCGCTTCAATTTAAAACTGACTTATTTTGAATCACCGTCCGCCACGAAATTAGGCATGATATTTGGGAAATTACAGTGTTTTTAATGTTGAGTAAAACACAAAGCTAGGATGCGTAAAACATGTAACCTCTCTAGTGAAACAAGATACTGTTTTATGACGAATATTGAATTCTAGATTCGTTGCACAGCAGAGCAGTTTACAACGGAGGTGCAAACAGGCTCTCACTTTAGACGCCCGAGACGACAAGGGATCAGATCGACTCCACAAGGAGGCAAGTTGAAATAACGAAATCAAAAGCATTAATTCAGACTTGATTGTGGGGGACAAACTGAATTCAAATCAATGCCCGATTCCAAATCTAACTCGCAAACTAAGTGTGAAAATTCTATATTATGAGGTGATTCCCCAAAATTTACGTAGGATATAGTTTTGGAGCCGTAACTTGCTTCATAAGACCAGGCAACCACAGAAAGGCCAAATCGTTAATGGTGAAATCACAATAATGTCACTCACGTTATAATGGAGAAATTGGAAGTATAGTTGGTTATTATAAGATCGTGCCAGGCGACACGAAAACATTTCATAGGAAAAATCGTCCAAAAATTGTTGATATTCGAAAGATAAAAAATATATTTACAGCTTACCACATTTATATGTTTGTAACATCGATTCATAGTTGCGATTTCTCTTGGCAAAAATTTCGATATATAAACTTTCGGCGCAGAATCGGCACAAATTATTTTGATTGCGACCTGTATTGAAACGATAATATAAAAATGAATTAAAATTAGATAGTGAATAAATCCATTTCGCTGCAAATTTGTTTAATGAGAAATTAGAATTCAATGTGGAAGAGATTCGCTGGGAAAAATCAAGACGGGATTATGCGATAAACATGAGAACACGCGCTCGCTCACCAGCAAAAGGTAAATCGAGGCAATAAAAGCAGCAACGACCATTAGAATGTACATATTTATGATAGTGTCAGAACAAGACTAAATTGCACGAACATGTTTTGCACGCCTCCTAATAAATATAAATACAGGAATAATGATAACTAAAAAAGAGACCCAATCTCGATGGCAGCGATATGATTTGTACGCTACATTTACTGTTGAGTTAGTAAATACAGTAAAATAGGAACGAAAACACTTTGAAACAGGAATTATAAAGATTTCGAATGCAGTTGCTTCCGTCTTATACTCATTTATATATATCCTATCAAATTAACAATTCATTCGATAGAAAAACGCACTATGCTTGAGCGGGCGATCGCATCCCCAGTCAGGACGGATGATTGGCTGAGTGTAAATGTAGAATAATTACTCCGACATAACATTCACCTTCAAGTCTTTCTGACCTGGTTGTGCCGCATTCCAAAGTTTTGCGTTGGAGTTGACCCTAGCTTGAGTTGCATGACCTAAGTACACCTTAGCATATGCTCCTTGGCCTAAAAATTTTCCAGTAAGAATATATCCATGACGGCGACATTCTGCCGCTTCTAATTTCAGATCAATATTTATATTTGAATCGGCTAATATGCTAGAAGCCGCACTAATATCCGGCATACCGTCCCTCAACTTGTTAGAGTGCAAACACACAAAATAAAAAGAATCAATATTTTGGCATTGCAAACACCTGATTTTATTGAGTTGTGACGTCATAATAGTATTTAAAACTAGTGAAATTAGCATTCTGTAAGAAGCCGAGTTAGATGGATAGTTCATTTTGAAAATTTTATAGTACACACAAATTGAAAGTTCTGGAGACCGGAAAAGAAGAAAGTTTAAAACATGAGAACCAGCACACACTCAAAAAAAATCACAAAAAAACACAAACCTTGTTAAATGTATGTTTAAATAGAATAAAAAAAGCGTAAAATAGCAAATGTAATGAACTTTCGGTCTGTTTTACTATTGAAATACCTATGCTAATAACTCAATCTGATACAAAGATAACGAGTGTGACAAAGATTGGTCAAAAGCCATGAAAAACTACACTGATTGGGCATTGGTGAAAAGGCGATTAAGTGGTTTGAGATACATACAAACCTAAATTAAAACTATACTGGAAAATTCTGTGCACGAACACTCATAAAAACAATTATCAGAAAAAACTTCCATCACACGTGAACAGGTTTTGTATTCGTAAAACAGTATGCACACAGAACAAAAACAAAAATACGCAATTAAATTAAGATTACCATATTTTCTCTTTCTATTTATGGTCTCCAAAGACCATAGCTGGACATTAAATTTATTGATTTTACATTTGGGGCCTACATTTAAAACCATCCCGGCTGTCTTCATTGACCATATTGTCATCGAGAGTTCATGCGCTGTCTGGCTAAATATCGGTTTCAGTTTGAAAAGTAGAAAGGAATTTTCGTTAACGTTAAGCACCCTTTTGACGTACGGGGTTTACACGTAACAAATTGTACCAATTATCTGCTAACATTGTTAGCGGAAAACAACGAAACAAACAAAACCACGCATTCACCTTCAGTAGATGGGCTAACGGTACGCAACACAGCAACAACAGTATCGAGAACATGACGATTGCTATTGTTCTTGTATTATGCTGACTGACTGAACGCCAAATCGGACTTTTGGTCGGGACGCCGGGACAAAACGTTAAAGAGTGGGACTGTCCCGCCTAAAACGCGATGTATGGTACGCCTACATTAATTGGATGTTCAAAACCGTTGCAAATTGGCATGGTCATATCATGTTACCTTAAAAACTGTTTAAGCATATATAGTACCAAAGGGATTGTATGAATTTTTGTTTATTATTTGAGTAAGATTGGCAAAACCGGTAATTGCTTTTTCATTATTTGCTGAAGGTTGAATTTGAATTCCATACTCTTCTTCATAATTCTTAATTATTATGTTTCGATTCTGGTATGTTGCCTTACTATCCTTCCCACTTTTACATCGTCAGTAGTCTCCTTGTCGGTATTTCTTCAGCGCTGGTTCATTGTATCATTTTAGTCCTCCTGCATCGTCGAAAACGCGACCACACCCGATGATTGCAAACGCGTGATCAATGTCATGTTAGTCAATGTCATGAATAGAACAATGAAGTTTTTAACAAAAATACTACTATTTGGTATTTGAATTAATTTGAGTGTTGTAAGTAATCTGAGTTTGATCTGTACCGAGAGGTTATATTGTGCAGTGCGCAAGTTGCAGTTTTTAGCTTAGCATCTCCTCTGATCTGGTATTGTAGATTGCGACTGACGACAATATATATGCTAATTTTGAAATTAGCTAACGCAAGTTCGATTTTTCGATGGTGGTTTTTATTCTAGTATATTAGTAATTATGGTAGTTTCTAGTTTGTTTACCTAAATATGCTATGAACTGCGTTGATACGTCTTTTCATCAGGTCGTGGCGTAAGGTGAACGTTGATTTGATTGAAAGATTGTTTGTAAATAAATCGTGAATTCGGTGCTATTAGAATATGGAAACGGGTAAAATCTTTGAATCGTCACCAATTTAAAAAAAAAGAAACCAAAAAGTCACAGTTGAAAAATCAATCATGACATGTTGACATCCATCATGCAATTACTTTACACAGGTCAAAACAAAATAGATTCCGAAAAAACCAAATAGCTTGTCTTCAAAATTTACACGGCTTAAATACGTCTCACATCTCTTCGTTCGCCATTTTGCAGAATCAGGAAAGGCACGAGTTCGAGATATGGCAGTCAACCACGACGGAGGATCACGTAAACACACACAGTCGCCACCTGCGAATTTATAGACATTTTTACTAGATCGAAGTGGTAACGTTTCCTGTGGAAAATTAACTGCTTGAGAATGTAAACACAACTCCTGTTAATCGGCGCCTCCTTGATATGTGATGCCGTATGTAAACACATCAACTGACTTCCAATTTCAGTTTCAAAAGCTGAACAAGCAGTCCAGCCCATTAACGATCTTCTTCAGTCGTACAGATGCTGGTTTCGAAATATTGGTTAGGGCTTGCTAGCAAATATTTTTATAGTAACAGAAAATAAGACTGAAGTAGCGACAAACCCATGTAGCCTGCGCGATTGTAATGGAACAAGGAGCTAATCTGGTTGTAAAAATTGCCTTGACAAATCATGCCATTGCGAATCATACACATCCGGTGTCATGGTAACGAACTTTTACCTATTGTTGCACCTGTCATTAGATATACATGCATTCTGTTGAATCACTTTGAATGCTGATACTTTCTCAAATATGACATTCATTTTAGATAATCGAAATCAATATCGAGCGATTTTACTACAGTTTCAATTATATGTACACATATATTTATCAAAATTACTGACCAGAATCGCTTGTCATTTTGATATAAACATGAATATATGCAACCACCATTTTTTCGGTATCCATTAACAGTACCGGTATGTATGCGCAAATTACAAACATGTTACATACTGGCGTCGTAATAATAATAGGTGGATTACTAAAAAATGTGATTCATGGTTTCAAAATGTTATAGAATTTGGCATAAATCATTATATAGTTGCATTCTTGACGATTGTAGAGGTAAATCATTAATTGCATTGATTGGAAACCTTAAAATAAAGCGTTTTCGAACATAATTAATTTCGAATTGAAGCCCACAGCTCTCAACCACCACGCCCACTATTACAATCGACAAACTCAAATGCTATTTACTTTATACATAGTTGTTAATGAATATAAAGAAGCACAGTTAGATAGAAAAAAGCACTATTGGAACTATAAGTAATAAAAAGTAAAATAGTAAAAATGAAGAAAGGATGTTGGTGACCGCATACACTTGCGGGACAGTGGCCAAAGTTTTATTATTGTTGCAATATTTACGGCGGATGAATATATTCGGGGAACGCAAAAATATTTAAAACAAATAATGGCAATTCAATTGCTTCGCGTTTCACGACCAATAATTGAATATTTCGTGGAAATGACTGCAGTTTTACATCCGAACCTAGCAATTTCTTGATGTTTCTTTGCATTTCCTCGACTTCAAGGCTCAAGTTTCAAATTCAAACTATTTTTTGACCGATGAAGTGTCCGAAAACGGCGGAAATCCCACAAAACGTCTATTTTGAGACATTTTAGTATTTCTGCTTGGAATGCCAGAATTGAAACTAATTGAATCGGTCATTGATGAGACTTTGCCTAGCTCGGGTTCATAATCTACCGGATAATCGGCTTGCGTGGTTTGTTTGAATATCGTCGGCATTGCTGAAGTGTCCGGACTGCTGGGAGCTTCCACTTTTGCGACCCCTCTCCCATCTTCCGATGATTTATTTCGTTCTTCTTTATTTTGTACCTAAAATGGGTAAAAATTGAGTAATATAGTCGAAATAAATACCTGCAATACCCTATGCGGCCTGTGGATTACATTTCAATTTCAAATTTTTATTGGGGATATGCTTTTTGCGAAAAGCTGATGCAAGTGGCCATGTACATGTTCCATTAGTTGGTTAATATGTAGAGAAATGTGCGTGATAATGTTCTTTTAAAACTGTACACATAAACAAATTTATGTTTGTTTTATATTTGAATTTATAATTAAAATTGCTGTGAGTGCTGTTATAAATAGCCTTATTCTTGGTCGCTGAGAAACAAAGTAATTGCAATCTGGATATGGTTGATTATTACTGAGTACGTATTATAATGTGATTTTATTATTATTTCCAAATTTTTTAAGTGATTTTTCATAATCTTAAGTATTCATTAGCTTGAAATAGACAATTTTGTTAGGTGTTAAATTGAACTAACTAGAAAATTTTGTTATACAACGATGTATATATATATAAAAGAAATGAATAAGTTTGAAAAGCGGCGAGATTTTTTAATAATATAGAAAATGTTTGGGTTCAGCCAGTTTTTTCTATTGTATTCATATATGACATTTATACTACATCAAAGTATCATATTTTGGCGTCAAAATGGCCGACGCATTTATGCTCATTCAACCGTGAAATTATTACATCAAACGTTACAATATGTCTGTATTCTTCAATTAATAGGAACATAATTGAGATTTATTATTTGATGGTAAATTAATGTACTTCATCAAATAAAATTTAATGGATACCCAACACACTTCCATATGCACTGCTATAAAAATTTGTAAAATATACAAATTATAGCTATTTATCTGAAACTTCTAACCTATCAAAAATTGTAATTATTAACTATCACTAGATCATGAGCCGATGCTTTTCAAATCTATTTTCAGGTCTGAATGAACATATACCTCTGATTGAATAAAACGCGCTATTGCGGCTATTTTGTCTATTTTGTCACGTATTTTTAAACAGCACACTCAAAGCTCCTTAGAGATAATTAAGTCGGTAAAATTAGATTGGAATTAGACAATTCTATCGCAAATTAACGTGAATAACACACACTAATGACAAAAGTTATCATACGGTCTTTCATCTTAAGGCTTTAATCTGGTGATTCAATACATTGCCAATGAAGTGAATCCATATGAGTTGCGAATCAGCTTTTTTAATTACATAAAAGAAGGCGTTTAATGTTCCAAATAGGAAGCGTTAAGTTATCTAATATTTACTCGATTTTTTGTTTAGTTCATTATTCTGTGATGAAAATTAACACTAACAGGCAATACTATTCACTTGCTGAAGCCGTAACGGCTGAATATATGTGTTTAAAGGCGAAGATGTACGTAGTTACAAATCGGATGACGCACACCTTGGTTGGTCCCCTGCTATTCCAAGTCTAATTTTTTCTTATTTTACATTTTTAATTAATATTTTAATTGGGTTTCCCTGCTACCAAATCAAAAAATATATTTAAAAGAATTATCTGGCTTTCAAAAAAATAAAAAATTGAAGCCGCCACTTAAAGATAGATACAATACGAAATGTTTATTCAATGAATGAAATATCTTGCATCGGATTTGAACTGGACTGTTAATACTAATAATAATAAAAATTTTGTGTAAATTTGTTGCAAAATAGGTAAATGCACAAACAATGTTAATTGCTATTCGTTCGTGTTTTAAATGAAGGTAATATTTACCGTCCGTTACAAAAGTCTAATCGTATATTTTTCAATATTTTAAATTTTGGGGATATATATTATTGATCATTGATTAAATATTGGGTTATCGGATTTATTTTTGTAATTCAATTTTCATAAAATATTTTTTTGTTTCCATTCATATATAAATCCTAACTAATACAAATTAAAACAATTATCTGGAAATTACCTGTTTTTTCCATTTCATTCTTCTATTCTGATACCAGGTTTTAACTTGAAGTTGAGTTAAACCAAGAGCTTCTGCAAGTTCCATTCTATCAGGAGTCGAAAGATATTTTTGTTGTTTAAATCTTTCTTCTAAAGCCATAAGTTGCAGCTCGCTAAAAACGGTTCTGCTCCTAGAATCACAAAATTTATATTGTGTTTTACTGTCTTATTTCTTTCAGAATTACGACCTGTCCTTTCACGTTTTCTGCAAGAAAGTTTGGAACATCCGGAAAATAGCGATAGATGTTATTCATATAAGATCAAAGTATAAAATTTGATAATCAGAGAAAATCTTGGTCATTGATGTTGATAGAATTATATAATAAAAAATAGTTCATGAACACACAATCCTTTATACATTTTGATAGTATTTCATATAATGTGCATTTTGACGCAGTAGGAAAATTAGGAAAGTGCTATTTCACTACGATGTTACAAAATGGGTTTACAGCATGGAATATACCAACATTTCGAAATTAATTGCAAATTTACTAGTATTTTACTTGTAACTTTGACGCTTTAAAACTAATTACTATCTTTTGGTCTGTAAAACTATAGATACCAACTGAGATTTATTAGTAAAATTGTTAACTCTTCATTTTCTTCATTTATTTCTGTCAGTCTACGTAAACGTGAACGGTTATAACGTCGAGAATAACGACGGAATGATTTATATTAAACTTTCTCTCACTATATTTAATTGGGCTTAAACCAAATAGACCATTTTTCTACCGAATATTATCGTAGAATTGTATCATTATAAACACATCTATTATCCTAATGTGCAAATGTTGGAAACAAGATTCAAAAAATTGATGAATTTTATTATACCTTCTACATTTGCGGGATCCAACACTTCCAACATCTGACAGATTAAAAAATCTGTTTCTCATGTACATATTAAGATGAGGATGATCGTATGTACCATGCATAGAAAATGGGACGGAAAGAGGTGGTATAACACAATTGGCTGACATTAATTCTGCAGCTAAAGGAATAAAAAATAATGTATTTCATAGCGATCGATTCGGGAAATTTATTTAAAATTAATATTCGGTACTTTTATGAAAGATAAAATTCATTAAAACTATACTGAAAACTGTTTTTCACCAGTACCAACACGGCGCAACGAATGCGGTAGTTTGAGCCGGAAATAAGTTTCTGGCTCTTCAAAAACAAGGACAAAAATTCAGGTACCTATAGGGCCCAATCACTTTTGGCGAAGTCAGGGTTTAGGCGTGTAACCCTTCATGAAAAACTTGTAAAATTCCAAACAAACTAAGTTATGTTAATCTATTTATTGAAAGGAAAAATTAGCTTCCCAAAAGATTGAGCCATTCAAAGTGTCCCAATTATGAAGGGGCGACTATTGAACATAAATTTGAAAAAACGTGAAATTTAAAATTTATATATCAGCACGTTAAAAATCAATAAAATGATTCTTTTATACGCTTTAAGATAATGTAAATTTAATATAAAGTCAATTTGAATATTGACGATCACACATTTAATACCACGATGGCATAAAACTAGTAGATTGCATAGTTTTTCGTCCTCACCTCGGTTTAGAAGAAATCCGTTGTCGCCAGGAGGAAAATTCATCCCAATTTTAAAAAATGGATTGATTCTATTCGCACAGGGAATCGGGATATTTGCCGCAGAAGGATTGAATAAATCGGAAAATAAGAATCCCGGTCGCATACGATTCGTAGGTATGAAATTGTAAGGGTTATTATATGGATTCTTTCCTCCGAGCTGAAAACGAGAATGAATATCTCCACATGATGTAAAACCCTGGAAAAAAATACAAAATAAAAATGGCGTTTGATTATTAATTTGAATTTTTGTACACACATTTTTATTTAATAAAAGATACAATTTTGTAAGTCAGCAACTGAGTAATTAATTTATACTCCAATATCTGAACATAGGACACATCTGTAGCCCGGTGTATTTAGAATCGTCAATGAAAGACCAAGCATATCAGCGTATACTATAACATTTGATGTTGAATTTGTGAATATTTTACGAAACGGTAATTGAGTGTCATAAAGACATCAGGGACGTTTGCGAAATCAAATTAGTCCAGAGCGTAGATTTATTGTAGTATCAAAACTGATGAAAATATTACAATCAGCTCCCATTCCCGACACTTCATGTGTTAAGAAATTTTTTATTTTAGTTCCAAACCACGGAAAAAATCATTTTTTTTCAACAAAGTCTTTGCTATACGCAAGCTTTTTTCATTAGACTTTCAAGTGCGATCAGTAAATGTTTTTTCTGCGGAAAATTTAACTTCTCCCAATCACGACTAACAGTCCGGGAAATTCTCCTCCGGGAAATTCAGAATTTTGACTCCCGATTTCGGAAAAATTGAAATTACAACTTCGGTGAAAACATGCCAAACTCCGAACCCCAACTACGACTCTTACTTCACAGCTACGATATGCCGGTTTGTTCATTCATTTATAAGGAAACTGAAATCACAAAACGGATATGTATAGGCTAAAGCAGAAGATGAAACTTTGTCAAATATCTAACCAGTGAATAAAAATATAAATGTAAACAGTCACAAACACTATAAAAAGAAAAGCGACATTTTGGAGCCACTGGTCTGAATATATAATCTTAATTATAACTACTAAATTATTATTTCAATAAATTAATTAATAAATACCTTGCTTCCCTTTTCCGGATTTTTCCGATTTTGTAAAATATCGTTTATCATAAAAGACCTTGCGCTATTATTACTGCTGAAATTGTTTGTTCGTCGAGTCATCTTGCTAGAAGTTGATGCCATAACAAGTAACTTAATTAATATGTGTTTAAATCTTCAATGATGAAAAAATAATTATGTTGCATGTTTAATATAAAAAGGGGGGATAATTATGATTTCTTTATATTTCAGAAAACAAATGTAAAAAAAAAACGAAAAGTTGCATTTTAATTTACAAAATCAACATTTTCAATTGATCAGAAATAGCGTTTTAGCGCTGAGTGTGTTAGGCTATCAAAAATGAACAAACGGGGCATTTGGAAGTATCTGAATACCAGTATATAAAATTTCAGCGCTTAAATTTCAGATTTATTGATCAAATATGTTAAGTGTATAGAAATATTTGGTAACTTCATACAGAATCAAAACAATCGAAAGCATTGAACGATAATACTGTTTTAACTAATTATTTTATGGCATTTGCATTTAATAAGCCTTGACAGACTTTCTCTAAGCACGTTTTCCCATAATTTTTAGCACTTTGCAGTCCTTAAGAGTTCTATAAATTGTCCCCAAATTTGAAAAAGATAAATATACTGCACACAATTCCATAGTTTCAATATAAGTCTAACCACTTCATAATAAGACTTAGAAAGAAAACTATAATTACATTCCTCGAAATAAATCTAATACAAGTTTGTCCAAAATATCAAGATAGGTGATACATATACACCCATACTATCTATTTATAATTTCTCACTAAACGACTAAATTTTATTCGGCCTATTTTCTATTTAAGTGGCCTTAGACCCTAATTGGTTAAGCACTCGCTGAGTGTAGGTTTTAGACGGAAAAGTTCAAACAAGCTATCGTCGTCTCTTCAGTCAATGAACATGAATACTGAGTGTTTCCTTCCTTTCGTTTCAGAACCGAAACCAAATTTGGCCGAGAGTTACATCATTATCTTTCACCTTTCCCGTAACAAATTGGTTCATTTGTTGAATGCAATTGAAGTTTTCTTTGTTATTTGTTTCCTAATGTCCTGAGTAAGACGAACCTTTTGGACAGATGAAATGTGAATATCTGAAATTATAGCGCTATGTTGGACAAGTATATATGGATTTTTCCTTTTTACTTTATATCTAATTGGTAAAAATACGTTATACTACAAAAATCATTTTAAATTTGATAAAAAAAAAAATTAGATTGGCAAACACGAGATTTGGTTTAAAGTTCAACTGCTGTCTTGGATGCAGTACAAGAATCCAGGCACATATACCTACCTACCTAAAACGAAGACAAACAAACTTTTCTTTTCTATTTTTTGAAGTTTTAGGCGACTACATTTTCTGGTCGCCGTTTTCAGATTATCGTGAAATACCCTATAAATTGATCCAACTACGGTTCACAAACAAACTTTTTTCACAAACTTTTTTGATGTAAACGAGTATTTAATAAAGAATCATCTGTCGGAATCTGAATACACCAAATAGTTCAAAACTAAAATTTGAACCAAAAGGCGCGCCGTGGAAGAATCAGTCATTAGCGGCATCAGCAAACTAAATTATGAAGTTGAAAATAAAAAATTTCTAATTTTTTTTTTTCATTTCTTTGCAATATGCAGGCAACTGCCATTATTTTACGAACATTTGAGACCATGTCCCAAATGAAGCTTTCTTAAGTAGCTATAACTTAGCACTGAGAATAACAAAGTCTACCTTACTCCTATATATTCTGACCTTTTTCTTGTCATTTTCATGTGATGACGAGATACAGAAATAGATTTTTTTATAGAAAATCTATCCAAATTTTTTCCTGCATTTCTAACGCCACAAATTCGGTATAAAACCACTTTATGTTCTATAAAGCCATTTTGTTACGACACGCGCGGAATCAACTAAATGGGCGACTTACGTTTATATATATATATCTTATATCCAAGGAATAAAATGGCGGGCTCTTAGTGGAAAAGGTTAATAACATAACAACAATGGCGCGAAATTGCAAAACAGATACATTTCAGTTTTCATTTTAAAAATGCCAACGTTGTTTTGCAGTTGATTGTTTGGAGTCGCGGTATGTGGTCGATAATTCGGTTAAATGATTTCAACTTTCACGTCGTGCGCCAGTGTTTACAAACCTGGCATCCGGCAGAGCATGGTTATCTGTACTTCAATAGAACTGACCGCCGTGCACACACCTGGTTTAATCAAGATGGCATCAAAGTTTGAATTTTGAAACAAAGTAGCGTGTCGAACGTTCGTATTGAAAGCGAAACCGGGACGATTTCTGGAAAGACAATTGTTATTGTAGGGTGAAAGAGCGCGTGTCCAAACAATGAAGATAAAAAAACGATTTCGATAATGCATTTAATAAAAGTGTTATTGCGACTAACTAACTGTAAATACAAACTGAGCACCTGCGCTTCGGCAGTTTGTTAGTTTTTCGCGTGAATTGAAAAGCACTGCTAAAAATGCGTAAATTAAACTACACTATTATATAGTAGTTCGTCAATTTATATTAAGATAAAGTGTTTAGAATCTATTTTCGGACTTTTTATGAGTTCCTCGAGATATTCGCGTATGCAATAATCAAATCCTGCGAGAACTATTCAAGCCATTTAGTAATTAAATTACAAAATTATTACAAAGTGAAATGATAGGATATCGCAATGAGGGTTGTTTTATGTTAATCGGCATTTCATAAAGTTTTTATTGGCGCTAAAATTTATTGTGTTAAATCAAACTTTCTAATTAAAATTTCGGCGCTCACGTGGTATGTGAACCAAGATGACGGATACCTAAACATAGTATGTGTACCAGGTTAGGGTTAGGCCATAATTTTATTCCAATTTTCCTTATTTTAGTTCTATTACGAACGAGTTCGGGGACTAGCCAAGTGACTCCCGTAGTATTTGTAATTGAAATTATGACCTAACTCCAACCTGGTACACATACTACGTTCCGGTGTCCGCCATCTTGGTTCACATACTACGGGAGTACCCAAATTTCCTTGGTTTAATGATTGAATTATATGAACCGAATCCCCTTAAAATGACTACTCCTCAATAAAAGACGCAATGTGTATCCTGGTTCATTGAGAAAAAATCCTATGTTCAGCGAAACTACAAGTGTACGTGGAAGGGACCCACCATCATGTCTATCAATTCGTTTATGAAACAAGAACTTATATATAGTGTTCGATTCGACTAGAATAACTGTTTAACAGCATTCTACAGTCATGTAATGAACTGACAAACATTAGCGGAGTGCTTATTTTTAATAAAGCAAAATATACATCATTTGTGTCGGGCAGAATAGGGTAAATGAAGCATAGACCAATGAGTTAGGCGAGATCGAGACCATCACTATTCCTTAACAAGTTTATCCTCAATTTTAGTTGGATTTCGAAATTTTTAGATGAAAACTCATTAGAAAAAATTGTTTTGCTATAGCTTCCTTTTTAAACTACGACCGCTGACTTCCATCAATAGAATTGTTTTTGTATGCTTTTTGCAATGCAAAGAAAAATTTAGTTCTTTATATTAATACTTGGCCAAGATTTCGATAAAAGATTGCTCAGCTCAAGGGCGTGCAAACCGCGGCCGCGGGTCAAATGCGGACCAAACGGGAAAATTGTGCGGCCCGCAGAGGAGTGCCAATTTCGAATGGTGTGAGGCCCGCAAAACGAGTTTTTAATTTAGTTTAATCTGGTATGTGCGAGGAATTCCAATCCAATCCCTTTGTATTGCGAAGCTCATACCTGAGTCAAATTTATTATCCATGCATATGACGTCCCAATGCCCCAAAGCTTGTGCGAAGCGAACGATGCATGTCATAAGGTCGATAACCAATTTTTTTGCCTGCAACTTAACTAGAAAGTATATTTCAAATAATAGTGCGGCCCGCGGGTTCACCCAGTTATTTATATTTGACCCTCTTGTAATAATGGTTGCACACCACTGGGCCCTAGCATAATAATGTCTGCTTTTTATATCATCGCTGGGTTAAATAGCTAGTATTAATATATGGTATGTTTGAATTAAAATATATATATGAAAATATTTTAAATTCAAATGATTGGTTCAAATTAATTCCAAATCTATGAATCTTTCATTCGAATGAACATTCCTGCTTTGTCAGTTCGGTTCAAATTCAATCATTTGAAGCATAGACCAACAGAGGATATCGTCAGGCTAATAACCAAATTGCGTAATTCCCTTTTTGGCGGTTTTGAGTTTTTATACAATAGTTATTTATGTAATACTGCGCACCTGTCAATTAAAACAAATTTTATCCCAAGGATTCCAAAACACATAAAATTGGAGATTTATTTGACATCCACATTATTGCAATTGTTACGTCATAATAAATCTCACGCAATCACTGTGACGTCACAAAGGCAAATAAAATCGCGGCGTATTTCTCGAGTTTTTGTATCATAGATTCTAGCTTCGTGTTTATAAATTTGAATTTACACTACGACATAGAAACTTAGGCAATTGTGATATCCACTTTTGGGTGCAATTCATATTGGTTGACTTTTATATAACGATTCATTACTTTTTTATTCTTTTCTTCATATTTAATATTTATGGAAAGTCTTGTTTTCGTTGGCGGGTGTGCAGAGCGCGTTATGTTGTTGAATGAAATATATATTTTAGACATAAAAATAATAGGCTGATAAGCAGATAAGCTGTTGTGGGGATTAGGCATCGTAAATAATGTAAATTACATACGTTTTTCGAATGTTTGGTTTTCAGGACTGATGGGTATAGTCAAGTTGCAAAATTGCGTATGTCCCCATGCCATACGCACATTTCTGCTTAAGTCACAGTGCGCCATTATGACGTCACATGCCTACATCTTAAAAATTAATTTAAAATCCGGATACGGCTAAAAAATTAAACCATGAAAAATTATTTTCTCTCGATGGCATAACAATATCATTGGGAAGTTTTTTACGTTTTTCTCAAACTTGCTAAATATGACTTACGCAATTTGGTTATTAGCGTGGCAATATTTTAATAAGATTTACAGCTAACTTTGATGCTCGTTATCTACCCACAATTGTATGGAACAAGATTATATTATTACTATGCTTGAGAATCGAACTAAGAAAGGCTTATCCAATTCCGATGTCCTATTTTTTGCTTGAGATCGGTATGTTAGTCGTTGTTCCGAAATATGGTAGCCTAATTATATCCCGAAACAAACTCAGATGATTCACGATTCATAGACACTCGTTATTTTATGTTTTTATACAATAGTAGTATATACAATACATGATATTCAAATATTTATCGATAAAATATCATCACAACAGATTCAACCATTTGACGAGTGGTTGACCAGGCTCTTGCGGCGCCATAGCCATCCCAATCCATGGAAGCAAAATCCCCGCAGTGCCTGTGACTTTCTGCGTGGTTACTTGTTCCGCCAATGCACTCATGTTCAACGTGACCAGCCCCTGCCTTTATTTTGACACCAGGACATATTGCAAACGCTCCACGTTCATGATTAATCGCTCGGAACTGAGTAAAAAATATAAAAAATTATTGTATCATTACTAAGAACACAATGTTGGGAGTGACCCAGAACGATTAACCTTTTTCCAAGGACTCGAAGTACACTTATTCTCTGCTATTCGATAAACAAACTCAAGATTCGATTTCGCATTCATTAAAATTAAGACTCCGATCTTCACTTTACTGTTGCTTGGAAACGCCAACATTTTAATGCCCAACTATACCTAACATTCTTACCTGAATGTATCCAGCATCGGTCTCAGCTCTTGCATTCGGTGCAGTATTGGCTACCATCACACTATTACTTCCTTTATCCCAAACTATAGCTGGGCTAGGCCCATTGCCAGATGTCTTATGATATACTCTATCACGCAGAGGATAGTGATCTTTGAAGAGTTTTTGTAAATTTCCACCATAATTACGAAGAAATCCCGATGTGGTGTGATACATCATGAAAGCACTATAATATAAATATTAATATAAAAACTATGATGCTTTCAGCCAAGATTTCGTCGCAAAATCTTCCAAGTCACTTCATGGAAGATTGAAAAGTAATGGGTCTCGCGCCTCCCCTCACCCTAAAGTACTATTTGTAATCCTTTAGGCGTTGTTTATTCATAAAGTGTACTTTAGTATCGTGGAAAAATAAACTACTGCTTACTGACTGATATGTATGACCATAAAAACTGTCAATTCAAAAATTTAGGCAACTGTTAAAATGTGTCCTCAACCACTAGCATACTTATTTTATTATCAGACTCACTTATTTTTATAGCTTTCCAGTGGGGTATTGTTAGGAACATGCCAGATCATAACATTCGTCGCAATCATGTTAAAATAGCCAGGGTTTTTATAATCATCACTAGATGCCGACTCTGGAGCGCCAAATGTGACCACATTCTCCCATGCACCATCGCCGTGAGGATGGGCGGCGTTATTACCGTGTTCACTTGACCAACGGTCTCCAGCGGTACATTTACCGGCCAAAAAATTCTCGTGAACAGAAGCTACTAGAGTCCATCCACCACCTCCCGTTGTCATATCGCAATATGTCCGATAAACCGATCCCTGTTGAATAAAAAAATCAATTCTCAAATATGTGAACACGAATGTCAAATGACTCCCACGGTGTTAATAACATACACTTCGTGCCTTTAAATTATTTCGAAAAGCCGCGAATTGATCACAGATCACATTATTTTACCACCAATCGCATTTTTTTATCCCCTCCAGCCGTTGTAAGACAGAGTTTATACTACATCAAAACAACACGATTCAAACAGTTTGCTACTCAAACAACACACATTTGGCAACTAGTTCATGGATTCTGTGTAACCAATAAAAGGCCGCGATGTGGCATATTCGTGCGCCTGCTACATAGGCATAGTCGTGGAATTTGTTTTGGGCCCTCGAAGAAGTCCGCGGGCCATTGCTACATATAAATATCATAAAATACTCTGTTGCTGGTCGCATAAAAATATTATTTTGCAGAAAAAAAGAATGTAGAATTTTTATAATTTTGATTACTAAATTTATGCTTTATTGTATTAAGCCTACTTAGTTTCCATAGCCAATCAGAAACACAGGCGCGGACCGCCATATTTTCGAATCGTTTTATCGTGAAAATCTAATCCAAACAATATAAAAATAATTTTCGATCTCACCTTGTCATCTTTGATGTCGTAGAGACCGTTTCCTGCATTACTATCGCTTTGCTTGATTTCTTTGCAACTTGTAAATGTCCCTGTCAAATATTCAATCGAATTGAAACTAGCAAGATATATATATATATATTCGCCAATAAAAATAAAAATTGCATGGTTATAAGTAGGCTATCATATCTTACTTTGCTTGTTGTCAACATATCTCTCTATGCGACTGTAATCAACTACGCCGACTGGTCCGGCAGGTCCAGTTGGTCCCAGTGGGCCCGCGGGTCCTATGGGCCCAGCTTGACCTATGGGACCTTGAGGTCCTTGGCTTCCTTTGGGGCCAATATTGCCACGAGATCCTTTCGGTCCCTTTTTACCGCTTGGGCCTTGAATCAGACTGATATTTTTGTTGGACAAAAACACGTCGTCACCGATCTGTAGTACGGATTCGGCTTGTTTGCAAAATAGAAGACTATTGTTTCCAAATGACTTTTCGATTGTTATAAGTAATACGCAAAGTACTACTGTGATTTTGAGAATCATTTTCGAACTTCTACCATTGATCGTCAACGAAATCAAAAATCGAATGCTAGGCGTTCTGAAGGATGCATATATTTATAGGCTATTTTTGTTTCGCAAACACGCTTCAAATTATCGTCCCAACCGCATATTATACTTCAAGAATTTTGAAAAACAAAAACATTTTAGTTATTAAAACACTGGAATCGCTTTAAAACCGAATCATAGACATGATTACAGTGAACAAAGTGGAAGTTCTTGGAATTGACAAAAAATTGATGTTTTCAACATTGAAAAACACTCGAAATCATTCACTATATAAGCAGACGCCAATTAGAGAAGTAGCTTTCAAAAGATTGAATAAATAGACCATAAAAATGCTTAGATGGCGAAGATGGATGTTATTTCGTTTCAAGATTACAGAACGTTCGCATTTTAAATTAGGCAGGCAATATTTTGGTAGTATTTGGCTTTCCAAGTGAAGCACTAGGATAGAATCACAAAAATGGAAGTAAAAGCAACTCAATTTGACAGAGTACTCAAGAGAAGGGTAGACTATTTATTTTGGAGCATAGCATTCGTAAAACCACTGCGTTGCACTGAGTTGAAGTGGTTGTCCAGAAGGGTAACGACGGAGAAATAATTATCATAGATTTAAAAAATTGGGCTATGATCCTGAAAAATAATGATTTTTACGGAAGCGAAAGCCGATAGCACGGCCCGCCGTCATTGTGAGCCCAGATAGGATATGGGAATAGTTAATTTACTAGTATAGTGTCCCGTGACTAAGACGGATGAGAAAATCGTAACATAGGGAATATGTCGAGCGATGATTCCAGCAATCTTCTCAAACATAATTACCCCAACGGAAGTGGTTTTCTATCTGTCCGGTGGATAGGAACCCCAATGAAACATTCGGAATACTCGGGAACCCTGGCGCAATAGTCTGATTGCATTCTATTGTCTTAAGTGAATAGTCCATAAAGTGGCAAAACCAAAAGGTATTCGATGGAACCCCTCGACTGTGCTTGCGAAGACCCGGTTGAAGACCACTTCCCTACGTTTTTCTTACAACTTCAACTACTTATACCCCGTGCCTTTGTAATTCTTCCTTTATTTCAGGCAAACTCTTTGGTATTTTGTGCCAAATTTTTAATTATTCAGAGATTTCGATCGTGGAAATATTCCTTTGGTGGTAATGAGTAACTTTAAACCTTTGTGTACTTGTTTCCCAACCTCCACTCAGAGTCAACCTTACGTCTTCACGAATGTAGACAACGTGGTATCACCCAAGATGCTTCCAGCCATGGCTTTGTTGCCCAAAATAGGGCTCACAATGTGGAGGAGGGGATTGCAAAAGAGTGTGTAAACCATACCGTTGCCTTTTATGTGACTGCATATCGGTTATTGTCAAAATTTGGTTTCCTAGGAGTCACAAGCTGAATTTAATATTCATCCTATTCCGGAAGTCAGAGCAATTTTTGAATGGCTTAGCAGTTGGAGAGTGTTATTTTTCTACGGATAAAACAGCCCTTATTCCCACCTACAAATGTTTCTATGTATGGCTTGGCTGAGGTACATATAGGTAACCAATATTAAATTTGAACTATGTGGAAAATACAAACAGAAAAATACATCTAACTTCATACCTTATTCGTTTATTAAGTAATTCACACCGTATATTGTTTAACATGAATACAATTGAACAGAGACCAAACCATATCTACTTTCTAGTTAAAGTTTGAGATCAGATCTCCAAGGCATCTCGATTGGTGTTCATTGTGGCGTACATTTTTATTAAAGAAAAATTTGACTAGATTATGAGTTTGTTAACATAAATATGCATTTTATAAAGGTGGTATATATAAGTAAACAGGCAGCACGCGGCTAAAATACAATTCCTTTCCAACTTTTTGAAATGTTTCTTCAACTTAAAAAACTTTTTTCAAACTCACAAATCAAAAAACAATTGAAGAGATCAAGTAAAAGGCAATAGAAGATATCAAATTTGCATTTTACTATTTTAAAGAATTTTCTATTTTCAAAAATTTTTTTTTTGTCATTATGACAATATAGATATATAATATGATTCGTGTGTATACAAGTTAATATATCAAATATATCTTCTTGGAAAAAGAGATACCATATATTTTATTTTATTACAAATATCTCATGTTTTAGGCTAATATTATATCACAGTTTTAAAATGAAATATTCCCTAAACACAGTGAAAAATCTGGGTTTATATTTTCCTATGTTTTATATCAAACATCAGATCCATCGGAAAAATCGTCATTCTCTGTATTTCGCATCAACATATAGTTATCCATGTCGATAGAAATACAATTGTGTATTGCATAACGTAATTTTTCAGCTAATACTTCTTGACTAGAGTACGAAGGTAGTCGAAGTTGGAAAAAGCATGTTTGACTAGTGGGTAGACTGTCAATTGGCTGCAAAAAATACAGAAAAACGTTACAATTAATGGCATTGCAGTGTAATTTAAAGAAGATTTTTAATCTTGATTGCAAGTATTATGTGTAATGGCTCAAAGACTGGACGAAGAACGTTTAAACCACTTCAAAACGGGCTCTGCACAAGAATTCACAAGTATGTAATAAGCCACTTTTCATATGAACCCAAAATATGTTTTATTTGGGCATCGCTCACCCAATCTTTTAGGCGCCCCAGAAGTGTGTGTACCAATATGGAGGAAACTAATTTTGTTCGCCTATTTTCCATCAAGTTGTGTAAAGGGACTGAAATCTATGGACAAGTGGGTATATTATTCAGTTGGCTAACACAGATAGTCCTCGAACTAGTAATAGAACTAAAATAAGGAAAATCCAAATAAAATTATGCCCTAACCCCAACCGGTACACACACTATGGGGGGACCATTCTTCACACCCTGGGTGCGGTAGCTGGAATGGATTTGAAACGAAGATCTTTAATATGCAATACCAACAATGCTTCAATTATTATGACATCACATCCATTTTCCTAGAATCCGATATGATTACAATAAATATAAATTAAACAAAACCCACCCTTTCAATTTTTGTGATCTGAAATTTCTGTGGTATGTCAACTACATTAGCAGGAAGTCTTGATCTACCAGATACAAATTTTAGAAACAAAACTCTCTCATTATTACTGAAATCTTCTAAAGCTTGCCATAGCCATGTGATCAACTTAGAATCTTCTTCTACATCTCTATATCTGTGCAGAAAGAGATGTAATGTTTCGATTATTTACTGTCTTTTCGCAGACAACACTCTGCTCAGACAACCACTGATATATAAATAACTACCCTTTTCGAAGTCCCGAACTATTATTTGTTCGGGTTTGCCTACTCATTTCATTACATCAGGGGTGTGCAACCTACGGCTCACAGGCGAAATGCGACCCACAAAGAAAACTTATGCGGCCCATGGTGGAGCACCACTTTGAATGGTTTTGGCCTGTGAAAAGAGTTTTTAATTTATTCTAGTATGTGCTAGTAATTCTTTGCGTTGCAATGCCTATATCTGAGCTTGTGCAAAGTGAAAAACGCATGTCACAAGGTCAACAACCAAAATTTTTGTTTCTGCAACTACTAGAAAGCCAATTCTAAGTAAACGTGCGGCCCGTGGTTTCATCCAGTTATTTGTATCTGGCCCTCCGGTGTCAAAGGTTGCACATCCCTGCATTTCATCATCACACTGCGGGTGAGGCATTGCATTTAACACAAGATGTGCAATGTAAAAAATATTCACCCCCAACGATCTAACAACAAGACCATCGTGCCACGCCCACTAAAGTTGCAATTCTCTATGTTGAATGGAATTCAGAGGGATAATCAGATTGACATATGTACCACATAATTTTATGACTTCTGGAATAAGATATGCTATTATTCAAACATGATTTTTAATTGTCAATTTTTTTTGGCGTATTTTCCACTTCCAATTTGCCCTCCCAAAACAGCTTTCCAAACAAGTTTCGCTAGTAATATAAAAGCAGAGGTACCATGAAGGGCTTTTCTAATATCAGCAGAGATAAACTATACCGAACCTTGCAATAACTTTCAACATATGTATATCCACATATCTGGCTCCACAGACTAAAACTTCCAGTTGATCGTTTGTTAAAAGTGACAAAAGTGGAACTGGTATAATACGAGACATTCCTTCTCTTATAGCAGCAACCTGAATAAAGATATGTAGAATGATAAAACATTTAGGCTCTTTATTGATGTCTGTGGCACAACTTCCTAAATCCATCATTTTCAAGTCATTTTTAGCATACCCTGATTGCAGAGCAAATCTTTTTTGTTTTTATTGTGTTTATAGAATAGATTAGAACTACCATAATTCTACAAAAATGCAATCACATTGGAAAAGAATAGAAAAATTATAGCTATAATTGTGTTAGAGAAACAGTGAATGGCAGCTATTTGGTCCTGTGCAGTATACCCAAATTGTTTTGACCACAGGATAGGATTTGCAGGATTTGCACATTTATCCAGGGTAGGGGAAAGCCAAGGAGATGGCCTAAATAGTTAGGCAGTTATTTTTTTTCAGATGTATGACCTTGATGGAGAAAGCTGTAACCAACCGGCTTTTTAAACTAACCTGCGACTGTGAGGAGCCAAGCAATCGTCTCACACATAATTATCCCTGCATGAGATTCGAACCTGCCAGCCCTCGCAGGATAATCAGCAGGATGGCGAGCGTATTCCTAATGCTTAGCTTGATGAGCCACACAGCCATAGCTTATAAACAAACATATTGTTTATTACATTACCTGTTGATCAAATTCATGAATTCGGAAATCTGTCGCTCGTTCCACATATTCTTTCCTGTTTTCAAAAGTTAGATGAATACCTTGACCACCAGGCATAATTGGAACAAATTTTCCCTGAGAATTTTGACCGACAAAAAATTCAAGCGGAATCACCTGTGAAAAAAGCTCAATTTTTAACAATATACAGATCATATTGCAGTTGCCAATGATTCCAGTAGGAACAACCACTTGAATACACAGAATATTAATAGATGATAATGAATTAGTTTTTCTTTCATATTCAAGATACTATTGAATACTATATTACAACCCATAGGTTTCAAAACTTTTCAAACTTGCCAGACATTTACTTTTTGTAATAAAAATCAAGGAACTTTAAAAAAAAAAATTGGCTACAGTAAAAATGAATTACCTGAGGAAGAAAAGTTTAATTATATGTACACAATGAAAGTGATGTGTAAGCTTGTTTTGTGAACATAAACAATCATAACGCGCCTGAATTTCCGATATCACCAAGTGTAATTTTCTCTTTCTCTAATTGATCCATTAAAATTTGAACAGGTTTTTCAAGTGTGAGCAATAAAAACAAATATTTAAGAAATTAATTGATAATGCATGTTTCAAGTCCATGCTTCCAAAATCAAATAAATAACTGGCTAACTAATCCCTCACTCGACATGAACTAGTAACCAGACGAGAGGCCATGGTTTGCTATATGATTAGGTCGTCTTATAAATAAGTAAATCCAATCCTATTCTATATTATCTTTTGATGCACAGTTTCGGAAACACTGAGCTGACGTTACGCACAAGACAACTTGAACTTAATTTGTGAATTTCATCCAATCCAACATTGTAGCAAAGAATACCTCATGAAAATTTTGTGCAGTAACACCAGATGAATCTATATGGCTGATTCCTCTCAATGTTTGAACGAAAAGTAAATCAACTCCTTCTATATCTTCTACGTTGGTGGAAACACCTGCAAAATTGTAATGATTGGGTCAGTGGTTCTCAAACGATGGGGCGCGCCACATAAGGGGGATGGGTGAAGCTAATTAAAATATTTACCGGTAATAGATTTGATCTTGCCTCATTTTGGATATTTGTATTTCTTTATATGTCCACATATTTTCAACGTGATTTTTTAATAAAAATACTTTCGCTTTACCATCTGTTATCTGTAGCTTATTGTTAGCTAGTTATTTTTGAGGTGGGGTGCGAGACTGAAAAATTCCAATAAGATGTGGTATGGTAATTTCAACCGTGAGAAGGAGACCATTTTCTATACCATAATAGAAATTCCAAATCGTTCAGCCTTCTTAATGTTTAGTATTATGAGCTTACCACCGATGCTTTTCACCTAACTCAATAATGCCGAAGCTTCCATTTGAGAAGTAAATAAAAATAATAAAAATATGAGATTTGACACTTCATTTACACAATATACATTATCTATCAAACCTGCAATGAGTTTCCACAACAAGGGTGCCAGATGTAGATCCAGAGGTTTCTTTGTTCTTATTGCAACACCAAACAATATTCCGATGAAACGAAACATCGAAATTTGTTCTTTCGATGTCAGAGAAGTATTGAGTAAAAACCTGAAAATGGTTGAAAATAAATGTAATTTGTATTTTCATTTCAACGATAGGAAAATATAATCAATATTGTTGACTATGGCAAAAAAACTGAATCAGATTCTAAATAATGCGTCTTATCTGAACTTTAGTTCAGGACAAATTAGCCAGTTATATTAATTAAAAAGGACAGTATAGGATTTTCATAGTTATCCCTGTAGGAGGCTGATAAGACAGATTAATTACATTACAAACCACGGCCTCTAGTCTGGTTACCATTCTATGTTGGTTATGGAAATGTTTGACCAGTTATTTGTTTTAGATGCATGGATTTGATAGTGGAGGAAGCCGTAACCAGCCAGCCAGCAGTTACACAAATCTCACCATTAACCATAGCAGTTTTTAATTTACAATAAGAATTTCAAAATTACTTCAAACTGCCTCCAAACTTGATATCACCCAAAGGGCCGTGCCCAAGTATCACCATCAAAAGGGGGGTAAACAAGTATTATTTCAAATGTTTAGGTCACAGCGAGGCCAAATAGACTTTGAGAGGTCAAAATGAAGTTAAGTCCCTAAAGTAGGAAAATATAAGGGTGAACTAACAATTACCTGTCAAGATTGAGTCCGACACCAGACACACTGTTAGGAGTTGGTATAAAAAGATTCAATACACCGGATTCCAATTCCTACAAAAATACACAAAGCAATTAAATAGGAGCATAGGAATATTTTTAAAAAAAGAATTCCCATCGGTGGAATTTATCTAGCACCTAAAAATTTTTGCACATTTTTTTTTCCTGAAAAACTGAAATTTAGTATATACCAAATTGCTTAGATTTTGCACAAATATAACACTCAATCAATATTGGAATTTGCGACCTTGCAAAAAAAGTAGCCCCCTATGTTTCCTGTGGTGTTTTCATGGAGCATTACTCGAGGGAAGGTATGAAAATGCCTTGTAAAAATGGTATAAACTTGAGACAGACTTAAGCATTAATAAAACTTTATTAAACAAATTGAAAGTTTGTTATAGATACGAATACAAAAACTACAACCACGCTCCATTGTTGGACACAAAATGTATCTATGGATGGTTTTGCAAAATTGTTGTTGTTGTGGGTATTGGAGTTGCAAAAACTGCTTTACTCAACAATGGAGCTTTTTATTTGAAATATTCAGTATTTAAAGATGGAATAAGTCGTTAGAAGGCTAATGTACTTTTCATATTAGTCCTACAGGGCTCGATATTTCACCCCAAATTTTGCTGGTTTCTATAGCCTGACATTTAAGCGGCCGCAATCACTCTCTTGTTCAAAGTATGGTTTGTTTGAATATGTGTTATTGATTGCTTCATGCAATCGAATATTTTTACAAAGTAGGTTATACCTTTAACAGAGTTTTTTAAAACTGTCCAAGCTTAAAATTCAAATCTATAATAAACTAAATTTGGTTGAAAATTCTTTCAGTACTTACTTTACACATTTCAGTTATAGTATCGTCAAACACACCGCCAGCATCATCTGCCCCTTCACCGAGTAATTTAACTTTCCATGCTCTTGCAGGAAGTCGAAGTTCTGCGGGATTCAATTTTACAACCTAAATCGAAAATATTATGAAAAAATAAATGAAAAAGAACAAATTTGAGGCCAAATTATTAAAAATTTGGGTACTCCCGTAGTGTGTGTACCAAGTTAGGGTTAGGCCATAATTTTCTTCCGATTTTCCTTATTTTAGTTCCATTACGAGTTCAAAGACTGTCTGTGTTAGCCAAGTGAACATCCCCCTGCCCATAGGCTTCCGTACCTTTACACAACTTAATGTAAATTAGGCGAACAAAATTAGTTGCCTCCATATTGGTACACACACTTCTGGAGCGCCAAAATTTGAGAGAGCTTGTCAAGGCCACTAGATTCAAATTTAATTTATAAAAGTTGGAATGTATGTATAAGTCAAATACACTGTTGCTATTGAATAGTAATAACAAAAAAACTGGGCATAAAATAAATCAAAAGACAAAAATGGATTTAACTACCTGTTTAGAAATCTGAGAAAAGATAGATTTACATCTCTTTCCATTGAGTGAGAATCTGCGTACGGTTATATGTGGACCATAGTTCCTGCCTTGCACCATTGTTTTACCTATGAAAGAGAAAATATGAAATAACCATGCTATTAATCATGTGTGAGAGGATTGCCGAACCCTTTGTCGCAGCAGGGTGGGTCTCGCAACCGCTAGTCACTTACAGCTTCCTCCATCAACAAGTCCATGCATTTCAAACTGGCTGACTTATCCCATACCAGACATGGACTGGTAACCGGATGAGAGGCCGTGGTGAGACATAAGATCAAGTTGTTTTATCAGTTTTTCCCCAGAAAAAATATGGAATTTCTGTTCTAACATCTTCCTATGCATCTTGTGATAAGATTTCTTGACATTTTTTATATATTACCTCAAATGTATGGAAAATTACCATGGACAGAATAGGCATTGGATAAGACTATGTAAATCACAGTATATAACAACGATAAAATAAAAACCATATTAAAAATAAAAAATTTCTCACCCAATGATCTCACCAATGCTAGTGAGCTGACTTTTGAAGATAATAAAGGTTGCATTGAACCATCTTTGAAAGCATTTGTAACAACATTGTATTTTGAATCTTTGTTGACCTGAAACAAAAAGCATTATCTAAAAAAGAAATTATCAAAAAAGTTTGCCTTGTTCATTTCAGATAAAATTCTTTGATTGATCAGTGTTGTGTTTTCCTGACAACCACCCCTTTATATCTGCCTATGTGTTAGTGCAGTGGTTCTCAAGTTGATTTGCCGGAGACCAAAATTAGAAGCTGAAAGATATTCACGGGCCAGGAAAGAGGAGCGCAAGGGGCCGGTACCAGTACGTATAATTAAGATACCGGTATAATTGAATTGTTAAGAATATACACATGCTCTTTAACTGTGATGAAGACGTAATAATTGTCGGTATATAGAATGCAAAAAGAAATAAACACGAAGTATGAAACTATTTCACTCAAGTTATGTAGACCATATTAAATATTTATGTGGGTCCCAATTGGTTGCGTTAGTGGGTCTGTACGCACTGACTGCAAGAATACTGTAGCAAGAATGAAAACAGCTAAACGGAGTATTTGTAAACTACTTGTCGAAGAATGTTTTGCTTCGGCACAGGGTTTTTCAAAGTGGGCTCTCAGTCCTCTTAGCCACAAAGTGGGATTTATTGGGCCACAAACAAGAGTCTTCGCCAAGTACCATTCACAGTGGCCAAATTAATTTACCGTTATTTGTGATTTGCTCGCATCTTCAAATGTAATGTATATATTCTTTTTCTTTTATATGTTGCCTTTATAATTAAGCATTTTTATAAATAGGGCCACAGGTGTTGAATGTTTTCGAAAAGCCACGAATTATGAAAGTTTGAAAACAACTTCTTTCGCCAGACCAAACATTACAAAAAAAAGTTGTGAAAGTGTGATTGGAACACTCAGCATTTTGTAACAACATAATCTCCAATCATAGAATTTGACTTACCCCTTTGGATGACACCAAATTAAAACTTCGCCATGAAGTCGCCATCAGGTCAGAAAAGTAATGCAGAATAAGAAGTCTTGATCGAATAACTTCAATTGGTAGATGAATCAAATGATTGTATTGTGCCGGTATATTGTCTGGTGTTCCCATTCTAAGCGACCGGGTCTCATGTAAATGTGACGCAGAATCTGACCCCTTTGGGACTGTTCCCCCAGTTCTATATAAGCATGAGTATAAACAATTACGCACAGTAGATTTCTTTGTAATGGTGTAGTTAATATTATGACCTGGGTTCAAATCACATGTCCATCACCTCACCTGGGTTGTAGTAGGCAATTTAAGTTCAATTATAAGAAAAAATTCAACAAATTCAGTTATTTGCCGAACAAATTTAAAAACCAAGAATATTCTCTCCTTTACCTTGTATTTTTTGATTTGATAACAGGAGCAGTCCATGCACACGTATGATTACGACCTGCTGATATTTGAGTTATCTTTTTTCCTGAGAGTTGTTCACATAGTGTTGGTGCTCTCACACACTCAGTGTGGCCAAGTCCAAGCTGAAAAGAGAGAATATTTGTATTATTATATACACTCGAGGGTTCAGTTAACCATAATGATTTCGGAGGATAAGATACACTGGGTCGATATCAAAGATGGACAAATCGAATACCGTACTATTACTTGTTTCGATTCCTTGATTATTTTGTCACGGCCTCACTACTATGACTTGCAACCAACTAACCTGGCTATCTGAATTTGATCCCCAAACAAACACGAGTCGTTCCGAAGTTAGAGCGACAGTATGTTCTGCACCGGTACAAATATCGATAATAACATGTGACATGAGTGCTGGTATAAGTTGAGGTCTCGAAGTCGATCCCCGATTTCTACCATCTGGTTGTCCTGTCAGTCGATCTAAAATAAAATAATTTTGATGATATATAAAATTGAACAAATTCGAAGAAATGATATTTAGAAGAATGGAATAAATTCTGTTATAAACACAGATATTAATTAATTATCATAGACATATCATAACGGCCTAGTCCAGTGGTACCCAAATCTTCATGATCTCCATCTAAAGCGGGGGTGTACATAAGGGGGCCCACGGGCCACAACACGGCTGCCAATGGGTCACAACCTTGTAAACACTCAAATTTTTTCCCATTAAGCATAAAATTCAAATCCGATATATTAAGTTTGAAAGAGCGCTATGTGGGTGAAAATACATAATGTTTTCTTGTTCTTGTCATGGCGTAAAATCTCCGACTTTTTGCTCGGTGTCTTTATTACTGTAAGGCTAAGCGATAACCGCATTCTCTTCACTTGCCCCTGATGCTCTGGTTGTCGCTAGTGCATTTCATAATTTTTGTATGGCCCAGCTGGATGTCCGGCAGGTTGTACATTTTCAGTTCCAATTCCATGCCCTCAATTTCACTCACTCAAGTGGGCACGGTACTCCCACGCGCACAAGGGTAGAAATAAGGTGGCCAGGCAATTATAAAGCACTGATGTAAACATACATTCAGTAGCTAGCTACAAGACAGAGCCTTGTTTAGAGCTAAGTTCGTGAAAAATTGCATAATATATATACATTTGGACATCTCTTTCACCAAAATCAGTCGATTTGGCTTGAACGAACATAATTCAAATAAAAAATAGTTGGAATTATTCATTTTTAGTAGTTTACAGCAGAACTGATCAAATACTCATAAAAAAATCCTTACCTTGTCCAAAGCTGAGAACTTCGCCTGATTTTGTTAAGATGACAGAGAATTGAGTACCAGCGCAAATTTTCTTTATTGATAAACTACAAGCTCCGTCCACTTTATTTGGCACTAATTTGGAACTGGTATTACCAAGACCAAGCTTTCCATAGTCACCATCACCAAACGCCCATAGTGTTTCACCATCCTGAGATAACGCTAGTGTATGGTTTAGACCGCAAGCAACCTGTAACAAAAATAAATTTGTATTGTAATAAGACTAGATCAGGGGTTCTCGAACAATGGGTGCGTCCCACAAGGGGGGCATACACAATTTTTTGAGGAGACATGAAGCTAATTAAGATATTTGTTAGATTTGATCTCGCCCGGCTTATTTTGGATATTTACATTCCATCCGCGTATTTTCAATGTGATTTATGAATAAAACATACTTTTGCCTCACTTCTATTATTTGTAGCTTATTGTTAGCTATTTTTTTTTTTTTGGGGCGCGAGACTTGGTTTAACCCTAACCTGATACACATACTACACTCCGGTGTCCACCATCTTGGTTCACATACTTCGGGAGTACCAATTCATAAATAAAAAGACTGTATATTTCACAAATTAATACCATACCTGTCCTATTAAAGCTCCATCAAAGCCGGTAACTTGTTCTGGAAATTTTTTATTAATGCTACTACCATGACCTAGTCTACCATAATCTCCATATCCAAACGTAAATAATTTTCCATCAGAGGTTACGACAGCTGAATGCTTGAATCCACATGCAACCTAAAATTAAAAAAAGGTTACAATTTGAGAATAGGACTGAAAGAATATGGAGAGCAATAGTTACTGACATAAATACTCTTGGATGGTCAAAGCCTAATATTGTATTATTCTGAAAACAATCCATCTAATTATTGTCAGTATACCTCTAGAACAGGGGTGTGCAACATTTTTTGTGGGCGGACCATATAACCAACTTCAGACCTCTAGCTGGAACCAAAAAAAAACATTGTTTTTCAATGTATGCAAGAAATTACAGCAATAAAAGGCACAAGGCAAAACAATGAAAGATTTAACGCAGCACCAAGAGCCAAAAATCATTATGTATTTTACCAATGTGAGCGCATTTTTAAACATGTACTGTCAGGTTAAGATTTTATGTTTGATGGTGAAGTATCTGAGTGTTGACAAGGGCACAATAAATGGCTTGGCGGTGATAGCACTGGCGGAAACACTTTTCCTGCTTTTCCATTTCTGACATCACAGACTCGGGAGATTTGATTCTAATCCTTAACCGGTATTACTCAGATTTGTTGAATCCCTGTAATGCCGAACTCTTTCCATCCCTAATAACTTTTGGAATTTTAGTAGTTGCCCATGACTTTGCTTATTAAAGAGTCATTTTTTTCTCCGAGTAAAACCATGTGGCCCTTTTTCAGAAAAAATAACGTCAAAATGTACAAATTTAGATGGAGAAAGCACCCTTCTATCTAATCCCCATAGTAAATAAATGAAATACATATAAAGCACTGAATGTACCTGTATAACAGATTCTCCTTGTAAAGCCTCGATTTGTCTTGGCCTTCTTTGTCTGTCACTATTTCCATGTCCAAGTTTCCCATAATCACCATCTCCCCATGAAAATACTTCACCAGATTCAGTAAGAGCCAGTGAATGACCATCACTACCAGTTGATGTTGCAAGTTGAGTCACCACAAAGCCTAGGTTATTAAAAATTATAGTCATCATATAATAAAATTCAGGACTTCTATGATCAAATGTGTTTGATTGGTATCTTGGACACTGATCCGAGACAAAATTTTCCTCTGATTCATAAAAAAAAGAAAAAAAATCTTTGAGTTTATCCATATAATTTGTTCTGGTGGAATTATCAAGGTGTAAAATATAAACAGATGGCCATTTTGATGTATTTGTGGGTATGCTTTGTCACAGAAATTATATATTCTACTGCACCATAAATATAATGAAGAAATCACTCAGACATTAGGTTGAAAAAACCTAGTTCAAAAAGTTTCATTTCAAGTTTTCATATTTATACACAATTAATAAAATTTAAATTTCAATTAAGCAATTCTATTATTTTTACAATAAAATCATAATTAGAATATTGAATATCTAATTTTGCAAACCAATTTGAAACGTCGAAAACTAAAAGAATTCAAAATTGATGAATTTGAATCATTCCAATTATATAGATTTTCTATTTCGACATATTAAAGAATTAATCAAAGCTCGACTACTATGAAATACGCAGAGGCAAACACAGTATTTTTACCCTATGAGAGATAAATGAATAGGCAAACGATTATCACATCTACATATTAAAAAAAAAATTGTAACCTCAGAATAACAAAAAACAATTCCACCTACCTTGCAAGGCTGTAACTACAGAAAGTGTATTCAAGTCATCAGAATTTCCTTGACCCAATCTTCCATAACTCCCTTCACCGCAAGCAGAAACACTGCCATTACTTTGTAACATAAATGTGCAATTTTGTCCGCAAACAACCTGAAACAAATACCAATCGAATACTTCATATCTCCGCGTAAACATCGCACCACAATCATAAATCGGCACTTCAGACCCTTTCTTTAAGCGTCAAAGCCACGAAAAATATCATTAATTCGTCACAAAGCATTTCAGTATCATTACCAGTATGAAAGATTTTATGATTGTCGCAAAAAAAGGGAAACTTCGCCATATTTGAACATAATGTATTTGCCAAATGTTGGGGTTGGCCCAAGTTCATGCCAACTCATTTCTGGAATGTTGTGATATTCAGCAAACACAACTTTGTTTTAGATCATATGTTGGACAAGGGCTTTCCAGACTTAGGTTCGCCACCCCCTAAGGCGGTGCACAACGGATTTGAGGGGTCGCAAAAAGTACACCAATTTCACACAAAGTACTACCATAGTGTACTTTTTTTTAGCAAATTGACCACAGCAAATTGGTAACATGCACCACAGCTGATGACTAGCATTATATTTGGCGATTCGAAAGTTATGTAAAGCGTGTCACGTTAATGCAGCTTACGTACATTTTCTGAAATGAGGGAACCTGTTGTTAGTAAGTTCAATACAAAACAGGACCCGCTTTCAAAATTTCGTATCCGGCACTGAATAACATTTTCATCGTAAATACGAAACACAATTTGACCATTCCATTACAACCCTAACAAACAATTATGGCAAAAAACAAAGAGTCATTTGGGACCTCCTGAAGTATGCGCACCAAGATAGCGCACAACCTGGACATAGTATGGGTGTACCGGTTAGAATTAAGGTTGTGCGACATCTCCGTGTGCATACTTCTGGAGCACCGTCATTTGTATTGGTACCTGTTGTGCCTGCGAAAAAGATTCTGCTTTCGTAAACAACTTAATTTCTCTTCCTAATTCAGCGAGTTGTCCACTTCTACCTCCACCAGAGAAATAAACATCACATTTTCCACCTGGTTGCCAATCTTCCGGTCTTTGCATTGCCCACATCATAACTTGTCTGTCCATATTCAAAGTCCAATGTTGATTATCCTGTACGACACAGGGACAGAATTCTTTTAATGATAAATTGGCCTCATGCTATTAATATATTTAGTATAAAAAAAACAAATAAATGCTAAAGAATGAAAAATAGACTGCATAGACGATATGCTATCATATAGGCTCACATGCAAGTTTTTAATAATTTACCGTTTTAGGGACATTTCAAGGGGGTGGGCTTTTATGCGAGGAAATAAGTAGATATCTACTAATGTTGTATCAAAAAAATTCCATGCCTACCATTGCCTAAAACGTAAGTTACTGTTGTGTAAACTTTACCAGTTTTTGTCAACAGCACAGAATCCTAAATGATCATGTTTAAATGAGCATGATTCTTGCATAAAGATAAAGAGTATATGAATTAGGCCTGGTGAATTGCTATGAATGGCAATGGTGGCATTTTTCGTTTTTTTTCATTTATGCCTTGATTGGAGTAAAACTACGTTATATAATACATACATGAGCTGAATACTTTATTCCTTCATAAGAATCCTTGTTATTTCTAGATGAAGTAGGGATATCAACATCTTCTTCTAATACTTCATTTTGATATTTTTCTGAGATTTCAAACTCAGGATGAAACGAAGTCCGATGGTATAATGACTTCACTGCTTCGGTACAAGTATGCAAGTCAACTAACCATGTCCAATCCTCTTTGACATTGTCTTTGTTAGGGAGCTAAATATAACGTATTATTATCTTATACTATTAAAAAAATTCAAAAGCTAATCTAGAATTGTACAGTCAAATCGAATCAGAAACAGCTGTTCGACAGTTTTTTTTATTTGATTTTTCTAGCGCATGAAAAATATATAATAATTAGTTTTATAAAAAAGATTGATATCTGTTTAAAAATAAGAATATAGTCTGAAATTCAAAATTGAAAAAAAAATAGTTCTATCCATTTTTTTCTACATAAACACATACTTTTGTGATCTTTGGAGATAGCGGATATGAAATAGTTGAAGTGAGATCAAGTCCAATACAAATTGCAATAAGAGATTGTAAGAAAGAGGAATGAACTAGTTGATTCCCAGCATCAATTTCACTCTGAAAAAAAGATGTAAAATGAATAGAATTTCATGCAGTATAATTGGTATAAGTAACAAGTAGTAAGATATACAAGAAAGAACAATGTATATATGCAAATATTGTGGTACCCTCATCGCTTGCTTGGTGCGACCATTAGCTTTATAAAAAGTTACTTCATTCGAAGTGCAGTCATTTTACAGTGCATGAGAGTATTTTAGATGATTTGTTTTTCTTTACATAATCTCTTTCATATCTTTTATTCGAGGCAGGCTATAGATGTTATGATATCATATTTGATAACAACCTGCAGATTTCGATATGATATTCTAATACAAGTATTATTGAACAAAGAATGAGGGGGGTGATTATAAGGATGACGCAAAATATCAAATTTCAAAGTTCCCATCCTTTATATTTATTCATAACATTACTGAAAAAAATATTTTTCAGAACTCTCCCAAGTGATTTTCATAAAATTAAAAGTTTTGTAATTGTTTAAGGATTATAATTTAAAATCTAGTCCTAATCTGTTGAGGTGCAGGTATCTAGAAACACACCTTTTCATAGTTGTATTGTTCCAATATTATCTCCGGAAATTTATTGATAAGAATCTGAAAGCAATCAGTTGTACCAAATCCACGGACCATATTCTGGCGGAGAAGTGAAGTCCGAGCTTGTGATAACAAACCATATTTTTCAATCCACGGTTTTGGAGGAATCTGTAAAATCATCGCAAAACTAATTTTTTTGCAACTTGAATTTTTTACAAGTTTCCATGCATATACTATAAAAAAGGCTGATGCATGCATCTGAAACAAATAACTGGATGAGTATAGTCATAATCGACAAGGGCAGGTTTCCTCATACACTTACCATTGTTTCATTATTTCAAAAAAGCGTGCCTGTGGCCGTCTTGGCACATACCGGTTACAGTCTCTCAAATCGATCACAGGGGGTTACAAATATCTGTATACTAATCATTCAGCAGGCCACGCGGAATGTGTCGAAGCTGATTGTGTCCAGAGTGCTAGCGTTTGATGTATCAGTCGTAAAAAGTAAACATTTCATATTTGTAAACTACACCAACCTGCATTGTTGTAATTTCCCGTGAATTTATTAAACCAGTTACAAGAACACCTTCACCAATCCATTGTAAACAATTCACTGATTCAGACTTTTCAGCAACATGAGTTTGTAATATAGAACCATTCTAAAACAAATCGAACTATTACAAATGGCAGATGCACATAATCATGGTGAATAAAGTGTTCACGGGTTGTGAATTAAATATTATCATGGTGAATTAGAATTCGTTAGTCATGAATTGAACGATACATATATTTGTGAATCAGAATCGGGGTGGTGAATTGCATGATACATAAATTGGAAAATGAAAGTGGTCAAAAGTCGTGAAATAAAAGATACATAGAGTGGTCCCGGGTGGTGAATTGAATGATACATAATCACAGTAAATTGGAGAGGTCACTAGTCACGAATTGAATATTATACAATCTGGCTATGGGTGGGTAATGGTACATAAACATGGTGAATTAGAAGTTGTGTATTTGATGATACATAGGGTGGTCACAGTCGATAAATTGAATGCTACATGGAGTAGTCATGGGTGGTAAAGGGTGGGTACATAATTTGGTGAACTGAAAGTACATAATCATGTGAACTGGTGAGATCTCCAATCATGAATTGAATATAGCATAAAGTTGTTGCGTAGGTACATAACATCGCTGATATACCGAAGCCACAGGTAGTAAATTGGCTGGTCCATCACACAGACAAAATCAACCACTGAATATGCTATTCCATATAAACAGTATAATGAAACTAATTGTAGCCAACCCAATCATGAATAGCAATATGACATACCTGTAAAGACCAAATATTGGTCCAACCTTCTTGGCCACCACTACATAACACAAGTCCAGTTGAATCAATACATAATGCTGTCACAGGGCCTTTGTGACCGTACAAAGTAAAAACTTGATGAGCACTTGAGTCCTTTTCATTACCTGATGGTGAAGTAGTAATTACAACATTATACAATAATGATTTGATGCGCATGAAAATCATTTTTAGAAATTCGAACACTAGAAATTCCTGTTTCGACTTCAAATTAATCAAATTACGTCAAATTTATGAGAAAATTTATAATTGACCGAATTTTATTAGTTTTTCAAAAATTTGCTTGATGTCTTTATGAGCCACGTAAAAATCATCACAGGCCACAGCTTATTTACCCTCGATTTGGACAGCATGACATATAATTACTAATTATTTTTCATTACCTATTATAGCCGTTTCACTTTTTGACAATTTTATATTCTTCTTGATATCTTGAACGCTTTCAGATTGGTTTGCACTCGTATCTGAAGCGACTGGTAGTAATTGTTCATCATCTTGAGCGGTGATATCTTCCTCAGATTTCGACGTAACAGACCAAACGTGGATTCTACCATCTTCGAGACCACTGACAAATTAAAAGCTTATAAATTGGAAGTGCTCTTAGCTGTTCAAGGCTAGGCAGTTTAAACTTGGTTGAGGTGTGAATAACCTACACCGATTATGAAGCGATTGGTTTGAGTAATTTAAATTAAGGGTTCGAGAACCTTTAATACAAAAGTGGGAGTAACTAAGTCAAACCGCGGGCTGCAAGTTTATTAATTATATAGGTTTTCTTGTAGGTGCCGACACAAAATTTTGGTCATTGATCTTATGGCATGCGTTGTTCGCTTCCCACAAGCTAGCTGTTAGGGCATTGTAAAGTCATGGGTATAGATAATAAAGTACAGGTACATAAGCTTCTCAACGCAAAAGGATTGGAATTACTAAATTTAAAACTCGCTTCACCGGCCCGAACATCATTTAAAATTGGCACTTCTCTGCAGGCCGCATAGTTTTTTCTTGAGCTGCAGGTTGATCTCTGACTTGGCACATTATTGACGTTTTTATAGTTGATATAATGGAAAACTTTAAAGATACAAAGTTTTAAAAAAGAGAACAAAATTAGGAGTGATTTTACACAACCACAATTTAGATAAAAATCGTTTCATATTCATTAAAATAATCTAAAATATACCAACCATGCCACTAATGTAGATTTGTTGTCCAATACTCGAGATATAGATACAGATTGTACTGACGAAGAATGCTGAAATCTATGAACAGCTATCCAAATATCACTGCACATTTGCCACAGCTTAATAGTTGACTCATTTTTGCCACCAGTGAGTAGAATAGTGCCTATGAAAAAGGAAAAGGTATTTTTTCTCATTTATCTCACCACTGAATCAAAATAACACTATAAATACTACTGTGATGAGAAACAGGGGGGCCCACGGGTGTTAAAAAACTCTGAAAGGGGGCCACAAGCCATTAGAGGTTAGGAATCACTACATTAAACTTGGATGTGTTGGCATCATAGGTTCAAATCCCAAGTCAACCACCTCATTTAGGGTGCGATAAATTAGATAGGCAATGCCGTACCAGAAATATCCCAGCAGATTAAAAAATCGCGATTACTTACATTTTGTCGGAAATTAGTTTCTGCTTGTACAGAGCCCTATTGAGAGAGAAAGGTTTTGTATAAAAAAAAAAGTAGTCATAACCATAAAGTTACCAAACCTGATGCATTCCATATGAGTTGTGATATTTCATTATAATGAGCGTCAATTGTTCTAGTGTTGTTATGCATCGTTAAATTCCTCATTCCAAACAAAATTTTTCCATCAGAATAACCGGCCACAAATGCCTGATCTTCATGATACCATGCGACATGAGTGACAGCGACTAGAAACACAAAATAAATTTTAAAAACGACAATAAGCCAGTTTTTGTAGTAAAAAGTTAAATTCAAAATATGATCGTAAAAAAGCTTATTCCGAATGAAATGTGTACAATGATGACACACTATTTGGTTATACTGGAGTAAGAAATAATCAAAATCATAACTCTAAATAACTTTGGATGTATCCAGCTCAATGGATGGTTTACTGACTTGAACAGAGGAAAAACATTACTATAACAGTATTGGACGCTTCGGTAGTATGTGAAAAATGATGGTGGACACCAGAACATAGTAGCCTATGTGTACCAGGTTAGGGCTATGCCATAATTTTATTTCAATTTTCCTTATTTAGTCCTATTACAAGTTTGGGGACTAGCCAAGTGACTCCTGTAGTATTTGTACCTGAAATTATGGCCTAACCCTAACCTGGTACACATACTATGTATCGGTGTCCGCCATCTTGGTTCACATACTACAGGAGTACCCAGTATTGTTACCATTCAAAAATTTTGATCAAATTTTGTGGGGTATAATCATTTCTTAGTGAGTCGTTCAATGAATTACTATTTGAAATCAACTTACTTCACAATTACATCCCCGTAAATGGAAACTAAATAATCAATGTCTATACTTATACCAAACTTATGTTATAACAAGTGCTTGAAGACTCAATAATCCCCACATGACTAAGCCATACTTTTTTTTTTTCGCTGGGATATGAAATCCTATATTTCAACTAAAACTCAATAACAAATGCCTTATTCATGTATAAAAAGTCTGTTTTGAGTCTATAGTTCAGCCAATGTCTCTCATAGCTTTTTCTTCTTGATCTGCTTCTTGTACTCAGCATTTTTCAGAGCAGATTTGTTTGAACTACAAGAAATTCTGGCACTCCAGCAGTATGTGTACCAATGGAGGTAACTACGGTAATTTTGTATGCCTATTTTACATCAAGTTGTGTAAAGGGAGTGAAACCTATGGTGAAGGGGTTGGCTAACACAAACAGTCCTCGAACTTCTTAATAGAACTACCGTATTTTCTCGAAATTACGCCTATATCGCAAATAGGCCGACTCCCTAATAATATCCTTAAAACGACGATTTTATAAAAAATCGCACATAAGATAATTCAAATATCACTTTGTCCTCCTAGGAGTTTTAATTTAATTGCAGTAATAGAAAAATTAGTGTAGAAACAGATGTGATAGACCAGGCTAAAATTCTTTACCGGTAATTAAAAAAAACAGATTGTTGTTTGCGATGAATCATAAGGATGATTTGAAACAAATATCCCATTTTACTAGAAACCACTCTTAAAATAAACCCCGAAAATTAGGCAATGGTATAAAATATAATAAGAATACTTTCAGGTGTCAAAGGTCGGGGAGAAGTCCATTACAGCTTCTCTGTTTTATTCAACAAGTATTCCTTAGTTTAGTATCCACACATGGTTTTAGTATATATTTTATAGACATATGTTTATTTAAAATATGTCAGCGATAGAGAAGCCCGACCCGGACATAATGATTGCCATTTCAGCCCCCATGAACGTAATGATTAACCCTTTCCGGGCGCCCAACCCGGACATAATGATACAATTTCACCCAAAAATAAATTTTAAATAGAAGCGTATAGAGTACTGAGAGCAAAGTTGCAAGCAATTGTAAATGCATTAGGTGATTTACAAGTATAGCCATCCAAATGTTATGAATCGAGAAAAGTCAAATTTTAGTTTAAATATTATTTTGAAACCCCTAGGGAAAACAAACTGAAACTTAATCAAAATATTATTAACACGGCCCATGTCCAACAATTTATATAATAGAGCATCAAATCAATATCTGGAAATCAACGTAAAAATCTTGAGACAGCAGGTGCTGTAAACTTACGATTAAATCTCACAGGACTAAATACTGAGACATACATCATCTTACTGGTATGCGAGTTCGTCTTTGAAAAAAAAAACTGAATAATAGAAATAGATAGAAAGTAAATTTCGTATTTCACTAATACCTGTTATACTAAATTGAATTGGTTTAAATCTTGCATTAATTATCCTTTGCTAAGGCTTTATTCTACATAATGATTTTATGATGCCGGAGAATCTCTCAGCGATTTAGTGGGTTCATTGTTTCAAAGTGAGTACTCAATTTTTTTTGAAAAAAAAATGAAAATAGCTGATAACAGATAAGACCTTGAATCTAACCACGATTCACATTTTATCAGTCTACAAATATTCGAATTGACAAAAAAAAAAATTTATTATATCCGACGTGATTCCGTTATTATTTTGAGAATTGAGCCTCATAGTAAGCCAAAAAAGGCTTCATTTAATTTCTTATTGTCTACAAATTGCTATCTGACCCCAGTCATTGAATATTTCTACTGGTGTCGGCGAAATTTGAAGCTGGTTGTTATAGCAACACTCCCTGTGCCTGGTGCAAAACTATCATTTGCCAGGTTTCTTACGTGTGCAGAAATATTACTGTTTGTGGTCTTTTTAGGGACCTCCAGAAGTATGTGCATCAAGATGGCGCACAACCTGAACATAGTATGTGTATCAGGTTAGGGTTCAGGTTGTGCGCCATCTTGGTGCACATACTTCGGGAGTGCCCTTTTCAGTATGTTTTTTTTATTTTTTGACAACACACAATTTTTGCTCCAAAGAAGTTAGATGGCCTAGTGCAGGGCTACTCAACTGGCGGACCGCCAGGGCTACTCAAATCCGACCCTTTCGAGTATTCGCTTCGGACAGCACCTACTTCTTTATTTTGGATCATTAGCCCTACTTTTAAAGTTTCATTTTATAAAATGACTTTTATTGTTTTGAATATCTATGAAACGAACTATAACACCATAATAAATAATCTTGATGGCCAACTCCCTAATAACATCCTTAAAACGGCGATTTTATAAAAAATCTACAAATCGTTACACGCCTGTTCTGTTCTTAATTATGCCGCAAACTGGCAAGTTCAGAAAAGACTCAGTGAACGATACACACAAGATTTAATACAGCATAACAAAAGACTTAACTATAACAGTATGACCGAAACAAAACAGTACCGCACGTCAGAGAAAACATTCGACAAGTGTGTGGGCGGATCGCGTATGAGTCTGGCAGTTGATTACTTTCTCGGGACTTCTCGTCACATGTAAACAATGGCCAGACGCATATACAACAACGCCGGACGTCTCAAGAAAAACGTAAAAGGGGACAAAATTACTGTAACGCAAACATTTCTCACGTTTATCGTTTCTGCATGTTAGCGAGTTACCCGTAACTCTTACTTGTTAATTTATTTTAATAAAGTCTATATTGCTTTTCAATCCGCCGTGATTGTGTCGGGAGTTCAAAATAGAGTTCCTGAATCAGCATAAAACAATTTCCTTTGATCGCCACAACGACGATTAATTTCGATTCTTGTCCGTTCCAAGGAAAGAAATAACGCTGTATTAACACATTCGTATAAATCGCTACAGATCTTAACACGCCAGATGCCTTAAGGAAGACGCAGAAAGAAAACAACAACAATTGCTGTAACACAAATATTTCTCACGTTTATCATTTCTGTTTGTTAGCGACGGCCGTAGATTCTTACTCGTAACTCTTACTTGTAAATTCATGTTAATAAAGTCTATATTGCTTTTCATGCGTTGTGATTTGTATTAATGGAAGGGATTGTTGTCGGGAGTTTAAAAGAGTCCCTGAGTCAGCATAAAACAATTTCCTTTGATCGTCCACAACGCGGTTAATTTCGATAAGAGTCCTTATCACCGCCCCTTAACGGATTACATATCGCAAAGGTAATTAAAATTCGCGCGCCGTTAATTGCCTCTACGGCGATAGCGCACCAAATAATAACGTTTTCACCACGAAACAACTGGCCGTAAATCGACACTGTTGCTGTTAGTTAAAAGAAACACAAGCGAAAACAAACCAATCACAGACTGTACAAGCGTCACGCGTTAAACAACCAATCACAGACTGTACAAGCCATCAGCTGTATGATAAGACAATCCACCTTCACAAGCGATTGTGTGTGTGCGTGCACGCTTTTTATCGTGAGAACTTGGTATGGTTCGAAGCTTTTGGAATTACCGACAAGTCAGCATAATATCATCTCGTTGCAAGATCAAATTCTGATGCGCGAATGAGCCGATTTTTTAGTGCAATCTGAGTTATGCGCGAATAAGACGGTCCCTTAGTTTGGCAACTTTTTTTTTGAGTTTCAAACTCGGCCTATTCGCGAGCATATACGGTAAATTAAGGAAAATCGGAATAAAATTATGGCCCAACCCTAACCTGGTACACATACTACAAGAGCACCCAAATTCTTACCATTTCTTCTCGCACAATGACTGATTTCTTTTCTGTGAAATGTTGAAGCATCAAAAACATCAATCAAACTCAGAGTTCCGTTGCCGCATCCAACTAGTAATGTATCAACTCCATGTCCTGCACCTCCTTCAATAGGACCACGATATGTCGGCCAACACATTGCAGTTACCTCACTTGGTAAAATTTCAAGATGGCCAACAGAACCTTGTGAAAGATGTCAGGTGATTAATACAAAAATATATTCACATGAATATATATATATATACAAAAATTTTTGAAAAGATCTGGATGTCATACAAAGCTGTTCTTTTCATCGGATTTTTCCTGAAAGTGTGGTGCAGTAGAAACAGGGAAAATGGCTGCTTTGAAAAGTAGTTCCTAAAGCTAGACAAAGAGTGCTAACTTAAGGCTATACGAAGTAGTATAATGCCGTAACTCAAAAATGAATGCCACTGGGATAATTAACAGTCTAACTATGACAACGGCCAGCGGAAAAAATCTGGCCCGCCGGCCCAAATTCGGTTCGTTGGGTAGATCAATATGGCCCGCCTGATGCTGCCATAAATTTCTGCTTTAAATCAATTCTGCATGCACTGTATAGTTGTTATTGAAATCTGTATTGTGCAATAGACTTGCTAGAATATGATGTAGTCTGTGTGAGTTTTAGTTTAGGTTGCCACAGGCTTTCAAGTTATAGGGACGTTGACAAAACTTTCAAGTCACACGAAACCTCGAGATTTATTGTAGTGTCGACAAAGTTTTGTTAATGAACCCATATCGCTCTCTTAACGTTCTCTTTCGTCCATAGCTTACGCATTCTTACCATGTGATTTAGTAATGTAATTATCGTTTTTTGTTGGTTTCTAACAATCTGTTGCTGCATCCATTTTTCGGCACCCTAATTCATGAAAATTGATAGCTAAATTATTAAAGACGAATTTTTGTTCCCCGGTCCAAAAGCCTTGTCCACCTCTGGTCTAACTACATATTTTTGTTGACACCAAGACCACTAGAACCTCATCAATAAAAAAAAACATACTTGCGGTTGGCCAAACATTAACAGCACTATTAACAGAGGCAGCTACAAGTTTTCCGTTTGCATTCCAACACAGATTCCTAATTTCTGGTCTCAAATTTTTCTCCTCTGCGTTATTTTTAACTTCTGCATCCTCTAATCTAGGCTTGTTCTCATCTTCTTCCTCTCTTTCCATCTCCTCATCGAGAGTTAAAACGACTCTATCATTACCGGATCTCAATTCAGGTCGAGTGAATTTACACGTATGTTGCAATTGAAACAAGGATGCATCAGATGATGATTGACTCCAAAATAAAACATGTAAGCCCGTTCCACTGGAAAATCAAACAAAAGATATTAATTTTAAATGCATTTACAATTTTTTTTTGGTGTAGCAGTGCTTTTATTTTGTCAGAATTTGACCCTACCGGGAATTACATTAAACACAATCAAATTAATAAGGCAAGAAATTAAAAAAATTACATCACTACAAATTGCACTACAATGTCACAGTGATGACCCGTCAAAAATATACTGATTATCTTTCAAATCGCACAGACATAACCTTGAAATCAAGCAAGCTATTTTTCTCGTTTACTCGTCATAATAATTCCGATATGTGAAAGATCGCTGGCGTTAGCGAGTTCGTTATTGTCGGCGAAGATGCCATTTTGGGCGATCATAGCTTTTCTTTGGCAATCTCCATGACGTGATTGTGATGTCATAGTGACATCGTTTTTGGATGACATAGCAAAGTGGGGGTTAGTAATAATATATGCAAAAACGTTTGTGCCACGCCAACTAGAAGCACTTACAGCGTTTAGTGAACATGCGCAATAACCTGTGCAGCTATTTTTCATATGGATAAAATTCATCGCAAAGGTTGAAAGACATTGTTTAATTTCCCCCTTATACACCTATTCAATATACCTAGTTGCTAGCATTTTCCTCCTTGGATGCCAAATACTTGATGTGACACCATGATCATGGACACGAAATTTTGTCGTTGGACATTGCGGCAATTGCTGTAATGTGTCGGCCATAATTAGACTGGAAGAAGTTGTTTGAGCATGATTAGCTAGCATTGTTACGAGCGATTTCGCAGCCCAAGTTCTAGAATCCTGAGGAACTTTGGCACTAAGGCAACATGCAGACAGAGCATCCATAACAAGCATTTGACCTGGAGAGAACAAAAATAGGCGCTCCAGAAGTATGTGTACCAATATGAAGGTAACTAATTTTGTTTTTGCCTATTTTACATTAAGTTGTGTAAAGGGACTGAAGCCTATGGGCAGGGAGTATACTCACTTGGCTAACACAGACAGTCCCCAAACACGCAATAGAACTAAAATAGGGAAAATCATATAAAACTATGGCCTAACCCTAACCTGGTACACACACTACGGGAGTACCCAACAATATTCGACAGAATATGTCGATGATTTGAACTAGGTAAAGGTTTGAAAACATGAACAGACCTCCGATGATAAGAGTTTTTTCGACTACTTAGGTTTGTGAAAATGCTGCTGTCAAAGATATATCGTAAAGTGCTTCAAATCTCACATGAACCCAAAATTTGAATCACAATAATATGAAAATATCATAGTATTCATAATATAATAATTCACAAAGGCACAAAATATATAGAATATACTATAGGTTGCAAGACTTTAGATAGATTATCGTTTGGTAGAGTAAGCTGGCATTTCGAAGAAATACCACTATTTCCACGATCACAATTAAACTATTTCTTTGTGACTTTATGTAGGGAGGCCTCCCACAATTTAAATAAAACAAAATGTCTGTAGAATACAGTATATATTACCATTTCCCTTTTCTAAATCAGCATCTTCTTCATTCAAATTAGCAATTTCTCCATTAGCAAGCAAGCTTGTGAGAGACTGTGCAACTGCTATTCTAGAAGAATCAGAACTAGACAGACCAAACGAAGCAGCAAATAATTCCTAAATATAACATTTAAACCTTGTTACATAAATTTTATAATTAAAGCTTATGAAGTATAATTTGATCTCTTACTAACACAAATAATATTTAATTGAAAAATAACAGCACTGGCAGTGGTCTGTAAGGATGGGATTATTCTGTCTGACCACACTCCGGTGATTCACAGAGGTGAAAAACTAGTAACAAAGTGGACCAAACAATTCCCTGGTATCCTGCCACTTAGAGAAAGCTTCAAGAATGATTTGGTGAAAATTGTGTTGCAGGAATGGAAAATTGAGAGTTCAGGAATTCACCAATCTTTGATTCAATCGTCAACAGTCGTCTGTTCCATAACGCATATTGCATGGCATATAAAATTAATTTTTCTGTATACCAAATGTATCAGTGTTTTGGCAAAATATCTTGTCTAATGCCCTCTTTGGAACATCACAAAAAAAAGGTGATAAGGATGGCAAAAGAAACGTAAGTAAAACACCTATCATATTATTGTATTAAATATATTACATTATTTACAAATGAATAAAACATACTCTTGTGCTTATATCGAGTAGAAGCTTGGCAGCAGATTTATCGTGTGAGATGAGAGCTCCGATAGCAGCACTCATACTTTGTAAACAAGGTAATGTTTGGTCGACATCCTGAAGAAAAATAGAAATCGAGAATAATTTAAAAACACAAAAACTTCCCAATTATTTATAACATATTTAAAAGTAACTAATACCTCTGAACTTGTTGAATTATTTTCACCAACAGACCCATCAGAAGCAGTCAGACACATCAACTTCACAATCAATCTTTAAATAAAATAAATTCCGTTTAATACTTTAGAAAGCATTAATTATAATAAAAATGCTGTTATTGGTTATTGTTCACATCTAATAAAGAAAATGATATACTATTCGCCCCAAAATCTTTTCGGTTCACACTGAAAGATGATAAATTTCTGGGTTTTATGAAATAGTAATCTATTTATGCCAGGGGTGTGCAACATATTTTGTCAGTGGGCCACATAACGAACTTCAGACATCTTGCTGGGCCACACAAAAAAGTTAGTAGAAAAGGCAAAAAAGAAGAATGCGGCTATCGCTTAGCCTTACAGTAATAAAAGCATTGGACAAAGCGGCGAAAGATTTAATGCCACACAAGAGAAAAAATACATTATGTATTATTAACCATGTGAGCGCCTTATCAAACAAACTGTCGGATTAGAATATGAGTGTTGACAAGGGGATACTCACACAAGGACCTGTTGCACACCCCTGATTTATTGTTTGTATATACCATATGGCCTCGCTCTCAGAGTGGAAGCATGGAAACAGATTGAAAAAAATTGTTATTATTGAACCGATCGCCAATTTATAAGAATTACACACCCGACGTCATCTAATCCAAGAGCGGAAAGGCCGCCAGGGAAGTCACATGATGAACGGCTTGATGTAAGAAGAGAAAGAACTTTTGTAATCAATCTGCGACATAACAACACTCTCATTGTTGTGACAATGTTATTTCCAGCCAATTCTCTTTCCTGAGAAGATTTTAATCTGAAGCAGAAAATATATTGATAAAAAATAATTTCTATTGAATTTAGAATTAATGAACAAAAAATGGGCGCATTTACACAAAAAAAATGCTGATTTTAAATAAAACTCAATTTTGTGATCATTGATGTGTACTTTATATGCCTTTCAGTTTGTAAACACGTATGCCTAAGGAATAAAGGCAAAAGATCAACTCTTCTTCCTCATCTCTGCCTGATTTTTCTTTTGAAATGTTAAAAGAAATCACTCAAAAAACTAACTCAGTTTGCTAAACTCGGTTGTTACGTAACAATGAAGGCAAACCCCATATGTAACAGAAAGTAAATAAATATATTGATTCATCAACACAGCATTTAGAATAAGAAACAATAAAACATTTATAATAAATACAATATGTCAAATATTCAATCCTATTTTTAGGCATGTTTAACACAAGTCTGTTAATTGTCGCAGCGCACTTAGCAACTCACCCTTTTGGAACCGCTGCCCTATAATATACAGATTCGTGTCTTTTCCCTCCCCTCATGAATAATTATAATATACTATCCAAACTTACATTGCAACACCATGAGCCAGTGCATAGGACGGCCAATTAGACGACTTCTTTTTATTGTCATTGCTGCCACTGAGAGCTGCAATGCTGCCTTCTAACGAAGTCATATTTTCATCTTCAATGACTACTGCGGATCCAAGAGGGTCAGGTGATGTGAATCTGAAACAAAAAGGGAGAGGACATGATAATATTCAATGTTGGTATTGTACGTTAGAGATCTCGAGTTCAAGCCCCAATGATCATTAATTACGGAGTATTTCATCTCACTCAGGATGTGAAGGCTATAGGGGTGGGGGTGTGCAACAATTTTTGTCGGTGGCCTATATCGCCAATTCAAACATCTAGCTGGGCCACTCCAAAAAAGTTTTTTCATGTACGCAACAAATTTAAAAACTATCGAGAGCGCCGCGGAAAAGGCAGGATAGGAGAATGTGGCTATCTCTTAGCCTTCTAGTAATAAAGGCACCAGGCAAAACAACAAATGATCAACACAGCAACAAGAGAAAAAATCCCATGCGAGCGCCTTTTAAAAATAAACTGTCGGATTCGGATTTTGTGCTTGACGGGAAAAAAACAGGAAAGTAATGACAAGGGCCGTACTAAATGGCTTGGTGGGCCGGATTGTGGCGGCGAGCCGCCTGTTCCACTCTCCTGCTATAGACGGTAGGCTGTCAATATCTTTTTTATCAAGACTCATCACAAGTTGGGCAGTCCCTTACAAAATTTTAATATTCAATAATTCGGTCAGGCAACCCTGACAGAATTGTGTGCACCTTAAGTTGCAAGCAATTTTCGAATTCATTCTTATTAAATTTAATAAAGTAATGCTGACAAAAAAATAAGCTTACTTCAAACAAGGTGGAATTTGTTTCTGTTTGTTAAAATCAAGTAATGTATAAAGATCTTCAAATTCCAGTTCAGTTTCGTTTATAGACTCTGTAGGATTTCCAGTTTGATTGTTGCTTTTTCTTTTTCTTTTGATGTCAGATAACTCTTTCGTCTTTCCGAACATATTAGCTAAAGACTGGACTTGCTCTAAAGTAAAAAATTACTCCATGTGAATCGGTTGCCAAGTTGAAAGAAAAAGTGTATTTGTATTATAAAATAGCATGGGATGGGGATTTCTAACTTATCCCGCAAGGAGTGGAAAGATTTTTTAAATTCATTCATGTCCTATATATAGAACAGACTTTGGATATTTATACCTGGGAAGAAGAAAGCCGATAATACGGCTTAAACATATGGCGAACCACAGCCTCTCGTCCAGTTACCAGTCCATGTCTGGTATGGTATTAGTTAGCCAGTTATTTGGTTTCAGATGCATGGACTTGATGGTGAAAGAAGCCCTAAACGATCAGCAGTTACGTGACGAACCTACAGCGACGAATAGTCCAGCAATTCTCTCGCACATAATTAATCCTGCATGTTGTTCAGATCTGCGAAGCCACTAAGGGTAATCAAAAGTGCAGTGTCGAGGGTATTCCTAAAGATTAGCAGGATGCGTCACATCGCCATAAATTTATCTTTATTTTTGTAAAATTCCCTTAAGACTTTAACATACAGACTTAGTCAGGAATAAAAAGACTAAAGGTTATGGGCGATACCGAAATGCCAAAATCAGTATCACTTTGCGAAATGTCGGCCAGTTGCTTGGTGAATAATCGCATAAATTTCAACAAAATTAATAAATTGGGTTCTGGGGTCTTCTGGACGACCCCTCAGCGTCATTCAAGTACCCAAAATAAGGTGTGGACCAAGTAACGTCCCGGGATGTTATACGGCATTAATGGTTCAGAACAACTAACTGTTCAGTCACACATCTGAAAATATGGCATTTAGCTGCTACAAGATGAATATTCATGTCACACAAAGAGAGATTTCGCATTACTATTACCTAACTTGGTAGAATCTCCTTGCACATCTTCATCAAGTAATCCTTGAAAGTATTCTTCCCCATTACCAGAAATTTCATTATTATTTCCTTGTGAATTAGTAGCTGAAGTATCAGGCTGTCCCTGTGACTGTTTAAAAAAATGAACCCTCATAAATATTCATGAATAATACAAGTTTTACTGCAGTATTTTCCTGTTGATTTTAAAATCTTTGAGGCTAAATCACTTTTGCTGTTGCAACGAGAATGAAAAACATCGATTCTATCAATTTCGATTACAACTCATGTGTCCATGGGTCTAAATCTGAGGTTAGCAAACAATAGATACAAAACCTAGAGGCGGATGGGGGCGAATGCACATAACTTAAATGTCAGAATTTGTTGCAAAACCAAAATTAATTTTACAAAAATAGGTATGATATATTTTGGTGCAAGTCATATGGCAAATACCAGCTCCTTTTTGCTGATGCAAAAAACAGAACTTATTCATATCCAACATCTCATTTGATAGAAAAAGAGTTTTAAGCTGTGAAGTTATTGCTATCAAAACAAAGAAATTGCCTCTCCATCAGCAAATTGGGCGACTGAAGGAGGTTCTTGACCAATATGTCTCTAAATATTAAAAAACTTGTAAAAGATATCAAGCCGGTCTATCTCATAATAAAACTCATGATCTATGATAAGTCTACTTGTTTAATTGTGCCTGTGTTTGTACCTTTGTGTTTTTTTCAAAAGAGCGATGATGATGTACAGAGTGATGTAACGGGGCTACTGTATATAAAAGTCTGGGAACCACTGCTGGTGGTGCAACCCCTGCAATTAATACAGGAGGGACAGATACAAATAACTGGGTGAAACTGTGGGTCGCACCTTTATTTAACATAGGCTTTCTGGTATTTGCAGGTACAAAAATTTGGTTATTGATCTTATGACCTGCGTTGTTTCCTTGTTTGCTTCGAAGCTGTTGTACTGCCAAAATCAATCAAAAACTCATTTCGCACACCATTCAAAATTGGCACTTCTCCGCAGGCCACACAATTTTACCTTGTGAGCTGCATTTGGCTCGCGGGCCGCAGGTTGCACTCCGCTATAAACAACCCTACATAAATTTAACAAAGATTTTCAAATATAAACAAATATAATACCGTTGCACTCCACATAGGTCCACGTCTTCTTCTTAATTCCTGTAACATACTTTCAGCATTGTCTGATATTCTCCTTATGGTTTCCGACATGATGCCAGTCATACGATTGATTGATTGTTGAGACGGCTGATTTTGTTCTATAATAAAGCATAAGTGTTATAAATATAAAGATGACCAGTCGTTTGACACACAAAACACAACAAATTAAAATTTTATTTGATTCAAGAGTATTGCTATACACTAACACAAATGTATTTCTGTAATGTTTTGTCTGATGGGGGTCCAATTTTTTTTACACAAGCATAGAAGGCTGACGAACCGTTACAAAATTACATTTGTGTTAGTGTGCAGCAAGACTCTTGAATTGCATAGTATAGTCACCTTTATTCTTGCCAGTTTGAAAGAATCAAAATGTTTATGGTAAAAAACTATCTCCTCAACTTTATTACACCATGAGTGTGGTGGGGAGCATGGGATTTGAATCCAAGATTTTAACCCGTGATGCCATTATAGGTATCAAGTCTAACGCTCAAGTTCACCACTATGCCCAACATCCACTTTCCTGTTAAATACTTTTTCCAGCTCCCAAACCATGTACATTTAAAAGGCCAACTATTGAGAGTGTCGATTTAGGATAAGCATTCTTCCGTTGTAGATCTTTCCTCGTTTTTAGAATTCATCAAGATGTAATGCAGCCTGTAAGAATTCCATTGACAAACCTGATCTACGATCTCTGGTTGCCATCCTACTTCTATGAGCATCAATAATTTGTCCGAGAACATTTCGCATTCCACGCGCTGTTTCATGAGAAGCGGATACACCGGTTGGTAAAGTAAACTCTTCCTGATTTTCTGAAGGTTCCTGAACCAATTAATCAAAATGTGTTTCAAAACGTGATGATTATTATGTCGTTTCTTGTTTTCGAATCGATTTAGTTTATTTTTTATGAGCATAATAGATAGATAAGATGAATGTCTGTTCATAATCTGGACGATAATCTACCATTTAACAAAAATGATACCCAAAAAAAAAGTTGAAAACTTCAAAAATCAATTGATGGGTGAGAAAGACCATATGACAGCCATATTAAAACGCCTCTCATAGCTTAAATAAGATAAACAGTCTACACTAGGGCTGTGGAGTTTATATTTGATTCCAACAACAAGTTGAAAAAAATTATAACCCTGACACCGGTAGAAAAAATTTTGACACAGACTTGAAAACATTTTGACATCGGGTTGCAAAAACTTTGACTTTGACTCCAATTCGAAACCCGGAGGAAATCTGATTTTAATAACAAAAATTGGAGTCACGACCTCTTCATTTTCTTGCTGCTGCTGTTGTTCTTCTTCATCATCTTCTTCTTCTTCAAGTAGTGGATGTTCGATCATCCATGTCGCCAGAACAGTTGCATTGTGGGCATTTGCAGATGAATTGACTCCTGAATAGAAAAAATAGATCAAGTAAAATTATTAATAAAAAGCTTATTTGTTGTTCAAATATGATCAGATTATGAGCACATAAAACGAAACAAGAATAAAAAAAATCACAGAATTTTTAGCAGAATCAGCAGACGATACAAATGGCCTATCAATCACTAATTGAACATAAAACAGATGTAAGCCACTATTGAAAGTTAAAAAAAAGATAAATACTTGCTAGACTTAAAAAACTGATGGTTTGTCACAAAAATAAATAGCATAGCATGGTGGGATTTAATGTTACAAGTTGTAACACAAATTTGAATAAAAAAAAAATTTTCGTTTTCCAATAAGCTAACAAAATGACTCCTAAGAAATATAAATGCTGTTCAGCACAGTATGATTCAAACATGGAATCTCCGAATATAATTTAAAATCATTACCTGTTTCATTTATGGCTCTTCTAATATGTCTGTCAGAAAATCCCATTTCTGATAAAGTTTGAGTTAAATTCATGGTTTCATTAGTACGAGCAGATGTTCCGCTTGTTCCAGGTTGTCTCTGGTTTTGCTCTGATGTGGATGTACCTGAATAACATGTATTAAGAAGCTGTAAAATCAAAGAAAGTGGGAAAGAAGTGAGGTGGTGGCCATTAGTTGGGAACAGAGGTTTTTGAAAGAATTCATTGACTTGTTCAATTTCAATTTTTATCAGCAAATGAGTAAATTCACAATCTTTATCAGAAAACTATTTGTTCTGAAATGGATAGTGATGTAACATTGATCTATGAAATATACACTAAACATACTAAAAGTACAATGCAACATGAACAATGCAACACAATTTTTTTTGTTTTCTGGTTCATCAAATCAAAAAATCCTCTTTCAGAAAAGAATCATTATAATGTCAACCCACCTCTCGTAGGATTAGTTAGTTCTGATAACAAAGCAACGCGACAAGGTTCTTCAGTATTGCTTTCCATAGTCGGGCTTGTAGTCTGCACAAGAGGAGGTGGAGAAGTATGACGAACTTGAGGAGGCAGAAGACCGAGAGGAAGAAGGCCGGACGGTGCATGACTGATAATAAGAAAAGAAATTTGTTTGAAGGTAAATTAATATAAATATAAAAATGCAGAGAAAAGAAAACAGCGGTGCTCGAAGGTAAAATGACCAATACGCCAGAAAACTGCCTTCATCCAACAATAGTCTTCATATCCGAAAATTGCAATACTAGATACAATCACTTTACTAAAAAAACGCTCAGTTGACTTGGAACTGAAATATATGAGTTCACAATGCTTCAAGTAAATAAAGTCAAAACGTCTTTTTTTAAAATTAAAAAAAAAAATCAATGACTAGAGTTACTTTCTGATATCTTCGTGTTAGTATTGTTTTACTGAATCAATGTTGGGCATTCCATGACGCTCCCGTAGTATGTGAACCAAGATGACTGAAACCGGAACGTAGTATGTGTACCAGGTTAGGGTTAAGGACATAATTTTATTCCAATTTTCCTTATTTTAGTTCTATTACAAGTTCGGGGACTAGCCAAGTGACTCCCGTAGTATTTGTACCTAAAATTATGACCTAACCCTAACCCGGTACACATACTTTGTTCTGGTGTCTGCCATCTTGGATCACATACTTCAGGAGTACCCATTTCATGTTGATATCAAAGTAACACAATGGTTATATTTTCTATTATGATAAGACTTAAAACATGACAATTGTTCATTACCAATCAAAATAATATAAAAACATACCGTCGTCGAATCCTTTGCAAAACTGTTCTACCCCGCCTGGGGCTCATTGCATCAGTTCTATTGCTTGAGGTGGGTGTAGATGAAGAATTAGCTGCATGTACACTACTTGCTCCTCTTTGCCTGTTAGTAAAATAAAATTAAAAAAACATGTCAGATGACTTGGGTTTGAACCCTGCGAGTATGACTCATCGTTAATGTAAAAAATATTTCATATGATTTACCTCCTTGAACTTCTTGAAGCAGTAGCTGTTGGACGTTGATTATTTGCACGATGAGTGGGTCCACCAGATGGCAGCATTCCCCGATAAAATGTGTCATTACTAGAAAATAATAATAATAGTATATGATCAAAAATGAAAAATGTTAAGATATAAACAATAATTGATTGTCTCCATATGATTAATGTGGAGCGAATTGAGCGTTCAGAGAATGGTTGTACGCGTACCACAGGTTGAAAACCACTGAGTTAAATAATTAGAACAAATATTATTAATTACTAAATTGTAGTAAAGATTATATTATAAATAAATGAACTACCAATTTACTTCAATGAATTCATTATTGATTATTAATCAAATCGTTTTATACATTTCTAGAGGTTATCAAATTTTACGTTCGATAAATAAACAAAATCTTGGCTATAACACAAGATTGTGTAACTAGCGAATACAAGTAGAATATTTGAATATCGTTAATCTTACCTCATAAAATACTGTATTTCGTCGTCATCATCACTTTCTTCAAAACTTTCTCTTCTCCAAGCAGATATTGATGATCGAGATTGATTTGAATCATTAGCTTGAGTTGAAGACGAATCTACAAGTAAAAATTTGAAAAATGAAAAATATTAAAATTCAAATAAATGATATTAGTTGATAGACATTCAAGATTTAACAATTTTGAAAGTATGGGTTGAAAAGAAAAATAAAAGTTTGTTTTGACAGATTTGAATCACCTTAATGTGACGTATTTTTACCGCTCTCAACTTATTCCTGCTCCAATGTGTTATTAGTGAGTAGTATGCCCCCGACTTTCAATAAATCCCCACTGTTTCTAACAAAAAAACAGCTGTAGCCACTTTGATTCATGGGAGCCAGTGCTCCGAGAACAAAGAGCCGCAAGTTGCCAATCGCTGCTCTGGACCAAGCTGAAGTAGAATGATTCTGATTTTTCTAAACTAATTCCGAAGTTCTTTATGACTAAAGGCTGTTTGAGTTTGATAGTAATGTTAAAAACATCCCAAAAAAGTACAATTTTACAACAATTGCAACAAATGCAACTTTTCTGCGACTAAAAGTTCCGGTAAATGGAGGTCAAAAATCAATAGTATATTAGCTAAATATATCATGATAGTTATTTTACCTTGTTGAGATCTTAAACCAACATTTTCCCACAATGTAACATATTCCTCTTGAGCTGTTGAATTACAGGTCACCTGTAAAAAGCAAGAAAACTATAGCAAGAAAGCTAAAATCTAGTTTATCGACAGACATAACCATAAGCAGAGATTTATTTAAAGCAGATTTTATACAGGATAGGATATGATTTTCATATTTATCTCAAGATAAGACTGGTAAGGTGAAAAGACTGCCTAATCATATGGCAAACAACATCTTCTAGATAAAATATATGTTGGTTTTGGAAATATTCATCAGTTGGTATTCATTTCAAATATGAACTTTATGACAAAGGAAGCCGCCGCCATCAATCAGCATTTGCCTAGACCAGTGTTTCCCAACCCGAGTCCGCGGAGCATTTGAATGAGTCCGCAACGAGCCAGAAATTCACTGCGGGCCACAAACGTTTTTGCGTAACTAAACCATCAGCCACGATTTACGTTAGAATTTACATAAAACATAAAAAGCAAGTTTATTCATATAACATTAATCGAGTCAATAATTTCTGGTTATTGAATGAGTAGGGCTTGGCATATATTAGAACATTCAACTATTAGAATAGCAATTTATTATTCGAAAATTTGGTAACAGGTGACGTGACAGGTCACTTGCGAGTCGTTCAATCAAACGATTGGATTTAGTCGTTGTTGTTCGAGGAATAATTTTTCTGGTAGGTGTCAATGGTAGCAACCTAAATTTTCTAAATTGAAAAGCGGCAATACAAAATACTGAAAATAGAACTGAAAACACCATAAGTTTTTTAAAAATGCTTTTTTAGACATGTTGCAAATTGCAAAATTTCGGGTGCTAATGTAGTATTCGTATCAGAGCATTTCCCTCGGAATTCTTTGCTTTACTGCAGGGTTCGCAACCTACAGCCCGCGGAGCAATATAATCAGGCCCGCGACGCTTCACTGAATTATAGTAACAAAACAGCTGTTTTTACGATTATATTCTTCACATAAGGGATGGGCAATGTAGAATAATTTACTATTCTAGAATATTCTAGAATAGTTAAATCGAATCCAGAATACCGAATCCTATTCTATTTTCATACTTATTCAAATAGTGGGAATTTCTACATTGCTGGATTTAGATGGTAAAATATTGCAAATGTATTACTTACTATAAATGTATTATCTATTTGGAAATGTCCTGAACATTGGATTTCATTTAATACTAAACAAGCAGTTCCCAGGACAATAACATTTAGGAATATTACAATATTTTTTGCCTTCAATTGTTCCAAATGTATGTAATCCCTAAATACTAATAAATATTGATATGCTAAATTAAGACACGCTTTATACACTTTAATAGTAAGCGGTTAAATACAAAATAGACATGAAACGGCGTTGAATCATTATTAATGTAAGTCTGCCGAGTATACTAAAACATACCCGCTGAGAATCAATTAGATGCTGAACCAGCGTGTGGCCACTGCAACCTATGCGCCGTTGTAAAATATTAAATTTAACCACTATCAATTAAAATCAACCTTTTATTCTGTGAGAGCAAGACACATAAAACAAAGTTCCCGTAAACGCGATTTCGTACTTAGTTATTAGGTAATAACATCTGAAGACGAACTCATTTTCTATGATTATCGTTACATATCATTATCTACCCAGACTTGGCCCTACTCAAATTCAGATGCAGCAACTTTTTTCAAAATTCATCGGTGGCTAAAATACTACAGACTTTCGATCATACGTGCGTCTATCTTGAACGATAGAAATGTTATCATTATCTACCCAGACTTAGCCCTACTCAAATTCAATATGTCACTATCTTCGCCAGATGCGGCAACTTTTTTCAAAATTTATCGGCAACTAAAATACGACAGACACTCGATCAAACGTGCGTCTATCTTGAACAATAGAAACGGATCGAAAAATATGTAATCTTTTGAGAGTGAAATTTAAATGTGACAGTTGTTCGCGTTTTGCGATATAACTTTGTATTTCGGAAAATGGTATAATAAAATTATTCGTAAATAATATTTGATCTGAATTAATGGCGAGTAATGTTATAACATTACCGCCTGGCTTTTGGTTTACGTGCATCATTTTTTTGGGAAAACTCGTAGGTCGCGAAAAATCATTTAATTTAAAATGAGGCAAGGCACGTCTGTAAACAATTAAAGATTGTTGCATTCAGATTATCGGAATATCACCAGTAAGTCGGCACAAATAACGCTAGCTGGATAGCAAAGAAAGACCGATTTACGGGTTCGCAAGTTTAATTAAACGAGAGAGATTTCCGCGCGAGAAAAACGCTCGTCTATAATTGATAAATTAGAAACCCGAAATACAAAAATTGACGCTTGGCGCCGGAGAGGCGGAAACCGAATCCTGTTATCGGATCCCGTTGGATTCGAATACTTTGGGATTCGAATCCTCCGGATTCGGTATTCTATATTGCCCAACCCTACTTCACATGACAGAATTTATTTTGCGGCACGTTTAGACTAAATTATATCATAATAACAAGTATATAATTCACAATTACTCGTTGAATGAGCCTATAATCTAAGTATAATTTGACATTCAATGGCAACAAAACGCAGAAAAGTTGAACGCTAAGTGTAATTGATTCAATATTCAAATGGTCAGTCTTCGGGCACTGCTTAAAATTTAACTCTTGATCTGTGTGAAAAAATGTGATTCATTGGCCATACGCTCGGCTTTTAACTTTCTAAAAATATGCGCGGCCCACCAATGACTTGCAATCTTTAATTTTGGCCTGCGTGCGACAAAATGTTGCTGTCTACTGTTGTACGAACAGCTCATATTTGTAGATTTCACAAAATTACGAATGAAAACAAAATATAATCGGGCACTTTACCACGCATTTTTGGGTCCACGGATTGTCATTATATTTTCTGAATAGTATTGCTTTTATTTCGTCAACACAACCGCAAATTAAAATGATCACAATTAAATTAATATTAAAGCAAGGCGATGAATATTTTTTGTTTTTATTTACTAATGTACCAATTATATTTTTAATAAGTACTAAATCAAGTTGTACAACGGCGATAACAAATTCGCAAGATCGCAAATAATCTATATCAAAACTAAATATAACCGGGCAATATATTCTCACATTATTATGTTCACAGATTGCCGTGGCATTTAAAAGAAGTAATGCTTTCATTTTGTCATAAGTCAACGCAACAGCGAGTGACCATGAACACAATTAAATTAAAATAAGAACACATTTTAAATTCTTGTCGTTGTCAAGGATTGAATATTGTGCAAGAGAAAAGGACATTTATACACTAAAGAAGTCGGCCCTTTTCAACAAAGGCGTAATTGCGTAGCATTTCCGATTTTGAAATTCGGTAAAATTCTGTTTTGTTTGGTTTTATTACTTCTTCACACAGAGTACGGTTGCGATAAACTCACGTTGAGTCCGCAAAGGTTTTCGCCAGTGAGAAAATAGTCCGCGACCAAAAAAGGTTGGGAAACGCTGGCCTAGACCCCCATTCAGTAGCGAGGAGTCCAGAAATTCTCTTGCCCATAACAAACACCCACAGGATTCGGACCTGCGACCCCAGTTAGAGTAATGAGATGTGCGATTGCAAGAGTGTACGAAACGCTTAGCATGGTCTGCCCAGTGCCTACCATCGAAACATTAAGAAGGTAAGGGAACCATAACAGATTTTAAACTAATATATTTAATAAATTTAGATCCAAACCTTCGAAAGAACAGATATAGCTCGGTCTAGATCAGGTAGATGTCTTGATGAGAAGTTGATCAAAGGAGCATTGTCCAATGCATGATTTACCATCTTTGATACAATGAACTGCACGGTGTTGCGAAGGTCCTGTCAATGATACATTTTAGAAATGTTATGTTTCACATAGATTCGAAACTGTATCAAAAAATTTTTTAGGCTTTTTAATCTGATATCTTATCACAGTATGGAGTGATATTCACTAAGTATTAAAATAAAATTTAAACAAAATTAAAAATCAAAAAATATGTTTTGCTCATTTTCTCGTAACAGCTTTTTCAAGTTTCACCCTGTTGGGTTTCGAATATTGAAATTCTATGAAAAATAATTCAATTCCGAGATTTGCTAACCCAAGAACCACTGTCATACACATAATTATGGAGAAATTAGTAAAATAGCTTCAAATATCTTTACAGTTTCCCTTTAGCAGGTGACAGTCAGGAAGTAGCTAAGGTGGTCAACACTGATAAATACCTAAATGAATTCAGTTAAAATATTGAAATGAATTCAAAAAACAGAACTCCTTTACAAAATTTTACATGGCTTATACTGCAATACAATAGAAAAAAGTTTAGTAAACTGTTAAGAATTCAGAGTAATACAAGTCTGGGGACAATGGGAGGTCATTTAAAATATACACTCGAGACTTGATCTCATATATTACAAATAAAATTATTTCATCTCTTGCAACACCTTATTACTCCAGTCATGTTCTTTATCATTGTCATTCTCAAGATCACCATCTTTATTTTCGGTTCCGATTTCTTTATCTTTATCTGAAATATTCTCATTATCTTCCTCAGATTTCTTCTTTTTTGGATGCAACAAAAGTTCAATGTATCTGCGATAATAAAATCAATATTTGTTTAAAATTGGCAAAAAATGGCATATAAGAAGATTTAGAAATTTTAGAAATTACGGTAAAAAGAAAAGTAAAAATAATCTGAGCCTCATCAATTAATTAAATGGCGGATAATAATCGGAAATCGTAACGATTCTGATTTTCCTGAAAAAAGTTGTTCCCTCATGTATAGATGAACGCTTATGCAGAATTCATATCGCCCGATGTATGACAAAAATATTTTGTGAAAATTGTCCGAAAAATGGTGACGGTATAGCTGACTTTTGTAAACAAAATTCCATATAATTTACCTTCGTGAACCCAATAATGCACAAAGACATTTGATCGCAGAACTTTGTAATACAATATCTTGCATGACGGATTCTTCATCGGTTGAACTTTCCGCAGTTTCAAAAGACGTGTTAGAAGATTCAGGTTGAAGATTTCCGTCATTAGCAGCGGGAATCTCATTTTCTTCAACTTAAATTAGCAGAAAGAAGAAGGAATTAGGTAGAATATATTGTGGATTCTAATATAGTTGATAGAATAACATGTGGAATATGTTTCGCTGAAGTGAGGAATTTACTGGAGAAGGTTGGGAACCACTGAATTAGACCATCATGTCTAAAAAAGTTTTTGGACATCTTATTTACCCAATAAACTAGTGATAGTAGTGTATGTACCTAAAAGTATTTTTTTATAAAAAATGATTTGCCAATATTGCATTCTTACTTTCAGCTTCTAATCCTTTCATAGTATCAGTAATATCATATTCATTGTCCATTTCTTTCGCGATTTCAGAATCCAAGTCCGATTCAATTTTTATACTTTCCTTTGATTGCTTTGCGGAAACCTGGAATATTTCAGAAATTATTGGCCAAAATTATGTCATATGCATGGACAGATGTGAAAACTCATATTCGATACATGGGCACAAACCAAACCTGACGAAATGACACGTGTGGGAACGTGGGGCAAACTGAAAATCAGTTGGAACATTGCGCCCCATGGGGCTTTTCTAGTGACTTGCATAATTACTGAAAATTGAAATCAAGCGATTTTCTCACAATAAAAAACACTTTAACATTTCACAATTTCACAAATCGATCCATCCACAGGTTGGTCCACTTTGTGTCCAATAATCGGTAAACAGTACTGGCATTCATCAAGGCCAGATTGAATACAGCAACAAGTTATTTTAGAGCATATAAGTGACTGTTTGTGCCATTGGAACTGTATGAGAAGTTGATACGAAGCCCACAAGTAATAGATTAAAACTAGAATAGTAATCAGTTGGTGGATAACAACTGTTGGTGTTATGGAGCCGCTGAAGAAGTTTAATATTATTTACGAAGCCCCACAATTAGGGCTGTCCAGGCGAACCAAAGATTCGAAATTGAATCGCAAATTATTCGAATCGTTTTTCGGCTAATTTTCGAATCGCTAAAATTAGGTACATAAAGCGGAAACTAGTGAAAAGGATTAAAATAGCATCTTCAGGCTTTACATGTCCTATTAAAACTGAATCCATCAGAATTGAGATTGCAATTTTTGAATTGTGCAATTTTTACGCTTAACACTCAACAGTTTTCGAGACCCAAATTTTGAAGTTCTCCAATTTTTATGACCAGTTCATACAAGCGTGTGATCTCCTTTCATTAATCTGAAAACATTGTATTGCAAAATACCAGTAAGTAAATGTAACTGCACATACGTTACCACAACACCGAAGGGCAGGCGTTTATTTCATAATAGAGACAGATTTAAAATTGCGCAATAATATTCGATTATTCGGTTCGATTCTGTGAAAATATTCGATTCGATTGAAATCAAAAAATTATTCAATTTTGGACAGCCCTACCCACAATAAATTTATGCGATAACAAAAAAAAACATTGTGACTTACTGATTAATGTTACTGAGTAAATTAAAATTAATTATTTAATGACTCGGATGCATCTACCGTTATCAAATTCAATCAATAGCATTATTGCTTCTTTTAATAAGTTAAGTAAACCAATAGCGGAGCTCCTAGGTCAGTGGTTCTCGACCTTTTACTGACTGTGTATCACTTTAATGCTTTTTACTTTGGCCGCGTATCAGCGAACAATGGCATAAGAAATGCGCTTTGAGCTTCGTGCAAAGTTTCAATGTATTGATTGCGTTGCCTACCGTCAGAGCTGAAAGGCTTCAATTATCTCTACCTCTGAATTATCGCAAACCTCGGACGAATGTATTCGGAGTTATACTTTCGCACCAACATCCGGCAACATGCTTACAAATTTAGTCAATAAATTACTGATAAGTTAGCTTTAAAATCTAAGACTATGCGTATCAGCCAACACATAAAGCAAATAGCAATAATAAGATCCATATGATGTATCAACTATCAACTTCAAGGTGCTACCAGGGTACCGATACCACTCCCGCCGAAAGCTTTTTTTGTTGCCGATTTATCAATGCAGACGCATTGTGACGTAACACGAAAAATGTGCAAAAACATGCCTGCCTCATTATGTTCTAGGTGGGCAGTGGTGGAGATACTGGTAGCGCTATTAATGCTGTTCAGCGAATACATACATTATGGAAGACAAAAAAAAAGCGTTGCCGGTATATTTTAGTGGATTGTTTTAGTGGATCTAACAGAAGCCCGGAGCTACGAATTGAACACTTTGAAAACCTATGAATTGGAATACGACAATGAAAAGTTCAGAGTTAATTCCTTATTCAATGTTTCCAGGTTGCAAAGCTTATAACTACCGTAAGTGAAATTAAAAACTCTGATATAACTTGTTCAAAAATATTACCTGTTTTGAAGATTTATTCTTTGGTGTTTCCAATACTCCAGCGGCTTTTGCGAGATTTATTAGAATCGATGAACTTAGTAATGGTAAATTTTCAAAATTGAAATCTGCTCCACTTTGCGGAAGTAATCGAGATGATGTGCTATCAGGGTATGGAGGCTAAATGGAATACCTGTATTATCTATCTACCGTATATAAATTTGTGATCATAATAAATCAAAAAGTATCCAAATTCCCAAAATGAAAGCTGCCATCAGTATATACAGACGACTTCTTATAAACAAAATTATCGTAGTTTTAATAAATTTTTGTTGAATTTTATCGGATGGTGCATTCTTGCAGCCTGCTCATACACAATTCCATATATTTTTTGACAATAAAAGAATTTTTATATAAATATTGACTTACATCCTGTTCGTCAGTATACAGCTTAATTACAGTTGGATGATTTCTCACAACTCCAAGCACATGAGATTGAGATTGTAGGGGAAAATAGACACACTTTCCACCAACTCTCAAACCGCTATCCAGTCCACCAAGCAAAGCCAATACTGGCCACAGGCGACAAAGAACATTACTAATTGCAACATTTGAATTTGATTCAAGTATTTGTACTTCATCAGGATCTTTATGTGATATATCCTGGATAAAAAACAAAGCTTCGCTTATTAATAAACAAATGTAAACACAAATTTAGCGAATCCTATACTGTAAATAAAGCTACTTGATGCTTTTATATTGCTTCTTACAATAAAGTGAGGTTTCCAAAGATTACAGACGATACAGGCGCATTGATCTTATTAAGATAAATAATATACTATTTTTTGAAATTACTGTATTTTTCTTGTTCTGGAATCATGAATATCTATCATTTTTGATTACGAGATAATTGGGGACACATAAAAAAGTTTGTGACTACCAGCATCAATAGTATAGGAAATAAAGAGTTATGCATATGAATGTTGTTTTGGTAACATCACGTTGAAGCAGAGATCCAATAGTCTCATATATATGAATTGTATTCAGAATGAATGAGAATAACTATAGCATATTTGAAGATGTGCTATGAGCATTGTAGGAAAAGCCCAAATCCTTTTCGTCATTATTTGAATAGTGTAAACTTGCATGTTTCATTTGTTTAGGCAACCACCCAGTTTTAACTCCAAAACATACCTTATCATCTTCAGATGGTACATTCCTCAACTCTTCCATCCTTTCAAGAATTTCACTATTAACAATTGTTGACCAAGAGTAAATTGAATCAGATAACAGATGGTGATGATAAAGTGATAATTTGCCATTATTGTCATTGTTATGAAGGAGACGGATCAGCTGAACACATTCCTCTGCAAGCACTGTGTGTTTTGGAGAACAAACTGGATCCCCAGGATGAAGATCTTCTGGCAATCCCCTCATCTGTGAATAAGGACAAATCTTAAATTGTAGATACCTAATTGTAATTCCGAAAGCAAACAAGAATCACGGCCAGTACACAATCATATACAGAATCTATGTATGTAGTGATGTACAGAGATTAATGTACTGTGAGTAAACCAACATTTCACGAATTCCATCACCCAGAATCATAATTCCAGAGTGAATATTAATTTTAATCAGTTAAGTTGATAGCGGTATCAATTACCTAAATTATAAAATAAGCATCTTTTCAGGTATATTACGTAATTAAATGATCGTTCAAATAAAATTCTCATAGAATACAATGTCAAATGTGTCCAAGGACAACATTTTGCTTTGAAATGGAGATGAAAATAAAACGAAAAAAATTATAATTTCTCTCACTTTCAAATCAGAAATCAGTACTTTCTCTCCCGGATTGCAACTATAAAAGACAACACATGGAAAAAACTCAGGGGGAGAATCGAGATCAGATCTTGGATTTGTGAAATTTGATGGCGGTGGTTGTATTCCAATGTTTTCAAAAGCAACCTAAAAAAATGAGAAAGACAATTCAATTATAATTAACACTGCTTGGTATAATTTGTCATTTGTACAATTTTTTGATGAAAATATGAAAATTGAGTCTTGATCAAGAAAGTTTGTAACAAATAAAACTTTCAAATGAATTCAAAATAAATAATATTCGGTATTATAAATTTTTAATTTTAAGAATAATTCAAGATTAGGATTATTTATATCATCATCATCATCATCATCATTTATATCAATTGAATAAACTCAAGTTTTTTATTTAGCTTGAGCACTGGAAAAAAATGATTGACACAAATCTGACAGAGTCAAATGATGATTGAGAATTGAAATTATCCAATATGTCAAGATAATATCACACAACCATTTCTAAATGTGAAATAATTCCATTCAATTAGAATGCAAATCTGTAAAATTAATTATTCCCATATCCGATCCAGATTGGCAATTAACGATGGTCCATGGTTTGCCTTATACCTAAGCCATCTAATCATCTTTGCAATAAATATAAAAAAATCCACACACCTGTGGTTCTGCTCCATTCAATCCAAAGCTTAATGTTTTAGCCTCTGTATCAAGTATGCAAGTAATAACGTCATTTATGCTGAATCCTCCCAGTCTTTTACTTTGTTCTCCTCCGTGATATAGATTCCCACTTAAAAATAAAAAATAAAAACGAACTTGGCAAAAAAATAAGAAAAGGGTTTGTTGAGCTAGAATGCTATTTTTCAATGCATAAATCTAGTTTATGTTATTACATTCATTTAGAACCAACATCAGATTCTAACCCCTTGTCTTCAACCTCAGATAATTGAGATAACTCGAACTGAAGCTGATTATTCATGGAACCTACTTTACATCGTAAGTAAAATAATGTATGTACAGCAAAAGGTAATGCGACATTATCAAGGTTTGCAATTGGGCGGTCCAGTTGAATGTGTACTCATTTGTAGGTAACTAATTTTGTTCGCCTACTTTACATCAAGTTGTATATTCACTTGGCTAACACAGACAGTCCAGGACTCGTAATAGAACTAAAATAAAATAAATCTGAATAAAATTATGGCCTGGCCCTAACCTGCTACACACTACGAGAGTACCTAAAATTAAAATAGACTAAAACGCCGTATTTTCTAAAATAGACCGGTTCATTCATAATCGCACTAGTCTTACAGAAGTCAAATGAAGCTTTCTGAAATAAAATGTCCTATTTTGTTACACTATGAGACTTAAATTGCTTAATTTCTCAAATGAAACTAGTCAAAATTTAAAAATCAACATCACTTTCAAGAAAGAAGAATTGGAATAATGAATCCAATTAATATCAAATAGATTCAAAATACTCCATTCATTTTGGACATTCCAGATTCATGCAATAAAAAAAGACAAGTAAATAAGAATTATATTTACCTGTATGCTCTGTATAACCACATTTCATTGGTAGTTCTATATTGACAATCCTGCACAGGGTGAAGTGACACACCCACACATGTTCCTTCATTGCCAGGGTTTTCATGAACAACCGTAAACTGAAATAAATGTAAAAAACATTTTACTGGAAATGAGTGTGTGATGCTTAAATTATGAGTAGTTTCAGGTAACTCTAGACCAGTGTTTCCCAACCTTTTTTTCAAGCGACACATTTCTTAGAAAAAATTAATTTTGTAAAATCATGCTACATACTAAACTGCATGTAGTAATTTTATGACCACAATATAAATAATAAAAAACAAGCAAGTGTTAAAATCTAGAAAGGAAAAGTACAATTAATGAGAGTACAGCAATACACATTTTATTACACAACAATCCAAAATAAAAAAAATAAAAATCTACCTTCCATTCACAGCATCCTTGCGATATTCCAGTTTTAGTCATGGCAAAAGCTCTTCCTTCTGAACTGTGCTGTACAATGGTTCCATCTTCTATAGTTGTGCTAGAGCTTTTCTCAAGGTCAAAAGTCAATTCAGTAAAAAACATCGAGTCAGTAAGTGATTGTGGTGAATCTTCAGAACTTGCTGTTTCAGATTGATCTAACGATGTTTGATCTTTTCCCTGTGACAATTTAGATTCAAAATAATTTCACAGAAAAAATAGTTTTCGATTAGTTAAGACAAGCCACTATTTCTATATATCCACCGTAAATCCTCGCATATATGCCGACTGTACAAATCGCAAAACGCCATACGCATGAACCTATCACAGTCGGGAATGTCCAATTCGGATACCGCTACCTTCGAATATTATTTTCAGTGTTTATAAGAAAATTGAATATCATGCACACATCCTAGCGCCACCGTCCACATTTTGATTGAAAACACGAATGAACATTGAATGCGATCAGAGTTATGCACGTATAAGATGACCCCTTTAGTGCGATCAAATTTATGCCTTTAGTTTGACAACAATTTCATTGGAATTTTAACTCGACTTATATGCGTTATATAATTCCTTTTCGAATTTTTATAAAAATAAAATTATTCTTGTAATCACCTGAAAAACTTCTTGAACTGGTTTTTTTGAAGCAGGTAAAGAAACCCAATATTCATTTGAAATAACTTCAAAAAGTTTTTTGATGATAAGACTACTTCCTTTCGATTGCAAAACTCTGAAATAAAATGACAAAGATATCTAATTTTAAAATGTCATCAGGCCCTGATACTCAAAGATAAGCTTGGGTGTAGGAACAAATTTTATAGTTTTTGATATGACTTTTTCATGCCTCTACTCAGAACAAGGCTCAGTCAAAACAGCCACTGATATGTGATAAGCTATTATTTTTGTACTGACCGGAATATTTTCTCTTCAGACACCATGGGTGAGGTGGAGGGCATGTTGTTCAAACACAAGATCCTCACATTGCAATGCCAAGATAATTAAGACTGATACTTCAGCCATAGACTATTAATGAAACACAATTGAAGATCTTGCTCGCAGGTTCAAATCCTGTGAGGATAATCATGTGCAAGAAAATTGCTGGACTCCTCGCCACCGTAGTGTGGTGCATGTAGCCACTGGTCTGTTACGACTTCCTCCACCATGCATCTGAAACAAATAACTGGCCAACTAATCCCATACCCGACTGGTAACCGGACGAAAAGCCGTACATAGTTCGCTATATAGTTAAGCCACTTATTGTCTTTTCTTTTCCGGGATAAATATGTAAATCCTATTCTAAATATTATAATATAAACTTCACAAACCTGTACATATTTTCTTCGCTGTGTTCCATTATATTTTTGCTGCATGATTTTACTGGTGATACAGCAGGAACTGGTCCATGTTTCCAAGTAGGTAGTGTTATATGTAGTATTCTCAATGCAAGAAGACGAACTCTCATACTGTTAATAACAACTGCACCTAAATGTATGAAAAAATGGCGCTCCAGAAGTGTATGTATGTACCAATACGGAGGTAACTTATTTTGTCAGCCTACTTTACATCAAGTTGTGTAAAGGGACTGAAACCTATGGGCGAGGGGGATGAATATTCACTTGGCATACACAGACAGTCCCTGAACTCGTAATAGAACTGAAATCAGGAAAATCTGTATAAAATTGTGGCCTAACCCTAACCTGGTACAAATACTACAGGAGTACAGAAAAAATATTTTTTTGAATTAATGGTTTTTTTGAATTAACAGTAAGTAAAAGTGAGTTTATAGATTCAGAAAAAACTCTAAACTTAAATTATAATTCGATGTATTGCAGCAAATCCACTTTTATAGAACAGTAGAGCAACACAAAGAAATACCAGTAAATTTGTATGCACAATGTTTATTGTTAACATTGTAAGATTTTATATTGTTATTTCTGGCAACACTGTCTGCTTATTTCCTGAATCTAGCTTGCCCTTGTTTTTGAGGATTGCCGCACAAGATGATGTATCTGATATAATCTTGTAATAATTGCGTTTACTGAATGTTATTACTAAATTCAACAAGTACGAGTCAAAGTATCAGCAGTTTGGAGCGAAGCAATAAGCTGTAGGTGATTTAAAATTCCTAAAGTAATAGCTTTCAAGAAACACCTTCATCTTTAAAACTGCTGAAAATTGGAAAGCGGCTTTTCGCTTAACAATAACAACAACATGGACAACAACAGCATGTGTCAAAGATCCTAAACTCAAGGTGGGATAGGTTTTTGGACCAGGTGGGCCCATGTAAGTGGGAGGTAAAAAGTTACATTTTATGAACAGAATTTTGTTTACAGTGTTACAAGAGCAAATAGAGAAAACAATAAGACTCAAGCCAAAACTGAATTTAATCGCAATCTCATCAAATTCCTTGAGCTATTTTTAGCTAAAACATCAAAATTTGGTTTCGGTTTGATTGTGGTAGTAGTTCAAACAGATTTGAGATAAATATCGGTCAATAGATCTGTGTTTAGATCAGGGCTTAGTTTGACCATGTCAGTCCTAAACCATAACACCATGTTGGATGAAGTATAATAGTTAACGAGTTTTAATATTTCAAAACATATTTTAAAATATATGTTGGAGAGAACAAGACAATGATTACGGTACTTATTTTACATACATTCTAAAAAAAATTTCCTCAAATATATTTACGTGAAAGAACAAATATATTCTAATTACTTCATTACTGACAAAAAAAAATGTCATAAATCATTGTTCTTGTAAAGATTGATTTTATAATAAAGAAAATTCGAGATAATCTGCAAGTATACCATCCCATACCAGCGGAGTTTAGTTGTCCTACTATTGCTAGAAGTAGGCCTGTCCATTGCGGAGTGGTAAGAGATGAAATTACTGTAGTAGTCGATAGCAGATGACGAATAAAAACCAGAAAATCTCCAAGTGCAGTCTCTTGGAAATGTTGCAAATAATTTGGTTGACAATTCGGCCTAAAATGGAATACAATGGCGTTAAAAGTTGATTAACAAAGTCAAATTATCCAAAAGTAACTGGAAAAGCATAAAGTTGATCATGCATTCTCAATAGGCAATTAAAAGAGGCATGCTTATGCCAGAGTTTTTGTTTTCAAATTTTTCCTCGAGTCAGATTCAAAACTTCGACCTGTAATCAAGAGCCAGAGACATCAAAATATCACCTCAGAATCAAAGACATTTTTTTAAATTACTGGGATTTCAGGAATTTAAGTTGGGTATAAACTTGTCCCAAACTCCTCAGCCCCACTTGAAACAAAGAAGTTTTACCTTTTTCTAATTTTGACGTTTTGTTGATGAGCTGTCAAACAATCCTTCAATACATTATCTGGTTGTGGAATGATTCCACCAACACTTCTAAATAAAGCTTCAACACGAGAGAACAGCAATGCTAGAATAGGTTCCAATGTATTGTCACAGGAGATTTGTGAAGAAAACTCACTAAATAAAACTTAAAACTTAACTTCAATGAATTTTCAAATTTCAAGTCATTGAACACAAATTGCCTTTCATTTGTTTTTGTTAAATGACACAATTTATAATACAGTCAATATCGGGAAATATTATTTCAGATGTGTAAAGCAGGGAAGTCCAAGACAAATTGAATATATGATACATTCAAAATTAGATATATTCGGTTAAAAAATTCTTGATTTTAGGAATAATTTAAAATATTTTCTCTTATTATTCTCTTATTATTATTCTTTCTGGCTATCCCTGGTAGAATGTATCTCACAATATAAATGAATCATGTTAATCAGTCTCTTATCATATTTCCTCTGATAAGATAAGCACAAAAATCCCATCTTTAGATCAAGATATCATTGACAGTATAATAATAAAAACTCACCTTGCAGTCATAGATAACGTTTGCAGATATATTCCTGCACTCACACTCAACAAAACTTTCTGCTTTTTCTCAATCGTGAGTGAGGTGGTGTGAGAAGAAATAATTGAGTGTAAAAGTTCATAAGGAAGTTCAGAACCATCTACACTAAGATCAGCGACTCCAATTGTTTTTAAAATTTCCAATGATTTTTCTGCTGTTTTTTCAATATCATTTGGTTTGCATTTGGATACACCAAGAATTCCGATACAAGTTAATGCTAACTTTAAGCTTTCAACTTCGTGTTGATCTGGAATGGAAATAATAAGGAGTGAAAAAAATATATGATACTAGAATTCAAGTTATATTACTGAAAATTCGCAATGATTAACTTGGCATTTTTTTTGATGCCTCCAATCTGAGTGATGCTATATGTTCTTTTGACCTCGATCGACTAAAATCTTCAAAATGCTCGCGATCGACTGATCCGTAATAAGGTCCTACACAAAAACGATTATAAACTGAATATGCAGATAACTGCACAGACGCATACAAAATATTCCACCACTGCTAATAAACTCGGCTATGTGGGAGCAAACCGCCACAAAAAAAATAGTTTAAGGTAATTTTTGGGTTATGCTATTAAATTCGCTCAACATCAAACGCGATCGACTTCTCGAGGCGATTGACGTGTTGGCCATCCCTGTTGTATGTGAATGTTTTGGTCTGATCATCTGCTTGGGGGGAAATTCACTATTATTTCACCAAATATAAGTAATTACCTGAATGTATGTATAGAGTAAAGCTGGATTTAAAAACTTTAAACATTTGTTTCACTGTCAGATAGAAATTTATTCCGATCCAGAGTAAAGCCAACAAAAAAGCTTAATTTGATAGGAACCCCGACCTCTCGTGCGCTACTCGTTAACCAGTTTTTTTCTCCAGATGAATGTACTTGATGATGGAGGACGTCATACCCAACCAGAAGTTTACATGAACCACCCTACAACAGCAGGCAGTCCAGCAATTCTCCCACGGATTTGAACCAAAAAAAATTAGAGCAAGGTAATCAAAGGTGCGATGGCATGTGTATCATTCCTAACGATTAGCATGATGCATTTACTGCCTAGTCTGAACTGTCACTAATAATAAAATCAAATATAGGAATTATATTTCTAATACCTTTATACTGACTGATGCAATCATGAAGACAGCCGAGCAGGCAGTTTCTGATACGATTTGTCAAATCTTGAACTTCCCTTTGCTTCTCAGCATCACTACATGTTATATCATTCAGACAATCTTTCAAAGGCCTGCAATATATTAAATTTCAAATCTAAAATCTCAAATTAAAATAATTCAAGATTAGTGTTTCAATATTTTAAATTTAAATTTAAATTTTTATTGATATTCCATATTTTTTGATCATAGCGTTCTAGAATAAGTTTGGTAAATTAGACTAATCGGTTTCAAATAAATCTTCACACAAAATTTATCATCAATTGGCCAAGTGGTTTGAGCGCTTCGATTGAATATGACGGAGTCACTGGCTGAAGATCTCATATTCCAGTAAGATTTAACACTTAAACTTTATTATAAGCAACAAGTATTGAATGGCTCCAAATAATATCAATTAAAATGAATTATGAAATTAATTCTTAAAAAAAAAAGTATTTTCTTTTTGAGTGCTTGAATGGTCAAAAGTTATTACTTGAAAGAATTATCATTTTTGCCGAAAAGTTGTCAAACATCATAACTTTATACGAAAATAAACTGCTTTACGCATAAAAAATAGAAATTGATTACATGCGACAATTATCAACTCCTGAATTATAATGGATACAAAGGCATCCTTAGGCCTTAATCCACCATAAAAACAAACAATACTTACTTTGAAGGAGGCAAATGAACAGTGTCTGACTTTATGCTTGAGACTCCAAAACAGCCAGACATCATCGACAAATATGCTGAAGGAGTAAGAGGTGTCTCTGCTCTTTTGTCTTGACTGCTACAAGATTGAAGTAATGATAGAATTTGTTTGAGTGAAATTGTCCTCGCCTAAAAATGAAATAATAATTTGTTAAATAATGCACAAAAAAATCTCAAAAAAGGAGAAAGATGAATGTTATTTTACGGTGTGCAAGAAAGACTGTATATGTAAAAATAAATTTTTAAAAAATAAACTTACAACATTTCTCCGGTAATGGGGGCGCAAAATACTATTGAGTTGAGTCATCGACCCACTTCTACAAGCAGATGACGAATATACGTCAGATAATATGGACATGGTGACTAAATACTACAAAATTTGGATTGGTAAGTAGAACATAATTTGTGAAAATAAATAGCATAGTATTATTCATTGGGCATGTTGAAAATATATGAATGAAACGTAAATATCCAAAATAAAGAAATATAAATATCCAAAATGAGGCCGCAAGATCAAATCTAACAAATATTTTTATTTTTAATTATCTTCACACTCCCTCAAAAAACCACTTGAGAACCATTTCTCTAGGTGGTGGGATTGAGCGTGAGTGCAACTTGCAATTATCAGAGAAAGAGAGATAAGTGAATATTTTGAAAAAAAAAAAAAAAATTCAGATCAAACTACAAAATGACTTCAATTGTCTATCTACCTCTGCTCGTTTCTCATGACTCTGCATCATTTTTCTGAGAATGTCGTTTGTTGGGAGTGGAGCTCGAATACAAAACTCAATATCAAGAGTGTCATCCTCATATGGATCACGATGATGATACCAAGGCATGTTTGCTTGAGAGGAAACTGCTGTGGCTGACTGAGTTGAGTCCTCAATAAAATGAGCAGTTGGACTGATTACATCAGCGCAACAGAATTCGATTATCCTTTCAAGGGTCCTAAAATATCCAAAAAAATAGGGTCATATACAATTTTTTTCAGGACATTGTTGAAAATTAGTGCAGATTTCTAGTTTATATAGACACAAGAAATCACATATCAGTATCATCAATTTATGGATTCATATTCTCTGACATTTAAAATAAAGAAACAATGAAACATTTCTAATAAATACAATATGTAAATTATCCAATCATATTTTGGTTATGTTTAACACAACTCTGTTTATTTTCATGGCGCAATTATCAACTCGACTCACCCTTTGGGAACCGTTGACATAGCTAATGAAAAAATACTTGTTTATGTATGTAGAGAAAGAATGTGTGTGCAAACAAAATCTGTAACATGGATGAAATAGGACTTCGTATTAATCCGCGGACAGAGGAAAGACGAAAAAACCACTGCCTCTAATTTGACTGTCACCCTAGGTCAGATGGGGGAAAAGTTGACTAGTTAATGTTTCCTATACACGGACTTTGGTGTGAAAGAAGCCATACTCAACATATAGGGAAAAACAACGAGCTTACTTATCACACACTGTTCTTTTCTGTACATTAGACCTTCGACTTTTGTCACTTCCAAATGAAGAAGATCTTGATGGAAGCAACATTTTTGCCATGGTATATGAGAAGGATCTGAAATGATAAATTGGAATTATACTGATAAAATGATACTGATTAACAAAAGATAAGATAAAGAAAATAACAGGAGGTGAAAAATGATTACAATTATGTTAACGGGAAAGGATTTACATATTAATCCTGGAGGAGAGGAAAGACAATTATACAGTATAATTATATGGCGAACCACAGCCTCTCGTTCAGTTACCAGTCCATGTTGGGTATGGGATTAGTTAGCCAGTTATTTTGTTTCAGATGCATGGACTTGATGGTGGAGGAAGCCGTAACCGAACAGCGGTTACATGAACCGCCCCATGGCGACGAGTAGTCCCCTATTGAGAGTTGAACCTTCGAACCCACACAGAGTAATCAGAGATGGGTTGGCTAGCGTATTCCAACGCACAATGCGCCACACCACAAAGTTCAGTGAGAAAAAAACAATATTGAAACGATGAAACCCAAGATAAAGAAAATATAGTAGATAATAGAAAAAGAATATCAGCATCACTAGGTGAAAGCTTTATGATTAAACCTCTGTAATTTATATTCTGAAGCAAGACTGTAAAATGACTATTATCCAATTACCAGAAGCAATTCTCCTGGAAATATTCTGCGAATTAAATGGTGAGGTTAGTTTCCATTATGGCTTAAAGATTCCAAGTTTGAACCAGGATTTGTTCAGAGAACAATCAAACATTCTTACAGTAAGAATGCAATAAATTTAGTAGATTATGATCATACAGAGCCTTGTTCTTAGCGAAAGTTTAAGACACACTTCATAAGAAATTGCTAATACAAAACAAAGATTGAATACAAACCAAATGAATCTTTTGTAAGATATGCAGGATTCAATGTTTGATCTGATCTTGTTTTTCTGCTTTTTCTCATCCCAAAATCTTTTTCATCTTTCGGAACTGATATCGTACTAATTGAACGACTACTTGGTGGTCTGGAATTGTCTGAAATACAAAACAATTTTAAAGTTTATTCTTAATAAAAATAGCATTAAAAATGATGTGAAAATACTGGGTAATATTCGGTAGTGAAAAACCACCAAAAATCTTGCAAAAACTCGCAAAAACCCACAAAAAAAACTCACAAAAAGTGCAAAAACGATAAAAAATTGTCAATAACCATCAAAAACCTTGCTTTATTTGTTTATATGATTTATACCAATATGCTGAATGATTGATTCATCAGATAATTAAAAAAAAAATGGAAGTAAAATTCGAACTTTTATTTAAATTTAATCATCTTTACCAGTAGTAAGAGCTGAGACTTCACACAAATCAACTGACTCTTATATACTAAAAGTTTTTTTCTACCATCAAGTCGACTTTCCTCTCCTCAGAATAATTATAAAATTCATATGCTATCCATTAACTCCTTTAGAAGTCAAAGTGACAGCTCATGCAAAGCCTTAATCATAGTGAATATAAAATACAAAGAAAAAACATAAACATATAACTTACCGGATTCAGAGCTATCAGAAATATTTCCATCAGTTTTCAGTTCAATTTCTTTTTTTTTACTTTGAACAACATTTCGTTTTACATAACATAACAAAAAACTGCATCGGTTCGCTATAACTTCAATAGACTCTTCAAACCACCTAGTGGCAATCAACTCGGAATTTAGTGGAGCATCTGAATGATAAAACGTAGTCAGGAAAGTTTAATGAAGTAAGCAGGACTTGAACCAGGGATCTCTAACCTGTCATGACAAAAGTTTGGTGTTCAAGGATTCAGGCTTGTCATTTATTTTGATTTCATATATTCAAAATAAATTTACTTCTCACCAAAATCATGATATATGCCAATTTTTTTGTAATTCTGTAATGTTAGACTTAAATCTTGAATTCACTTGTCGCAAAAATGACAAATTCTATACAGAAAGATAAGATAAGAAAAAATATACCTTCACCATCTACTGAATCCAGCAAATCTTGATTGTTGGCAAAAGATTTTTGAATCCTTGTTGTCACTAAATAGGATCTGACCTGAATCATAAAAAAGATAATTAATAATCAGATACATTTTATCATTTAAAATTGTTTCTTATGGATATACAGGTAATAAAATAAAAACCATGTGCAAAAGAAAAAAATATAGTAGAATTTTGTGGAATTAAGTAACAAAATAGCCTAATTTACTTAGAATGTTTAAAACCAAAATGAGCCTCCTATTTTTATGATTTTGAGTCCATATTTCGTATTGGTAGTTTGATAATAAATTGTTCCCCATGTACAGTGTGACAAAAACAAAAATAAGGTATTTTGAACATATTCTAGTGAGAACATAGCTTTTGTGCAAAGCATCTTAGATTACAAACTTTTTGTACAATCATACACAAACAGAAGTTCAAATGTGGAATACATTTTCTTCAATTTTCTAGATGTAATTCATGTTCTGTTTTTAGAGGTTGGGGTCACCCCGTGCTTGTGCATTTCTCAATTGTAAGAACAAAAATCAAATAACAAAAGCACACACCTTAAAAACAGCTCGAAAAATATAGATCATGTAATTTCTATTATGCATAGTAGACATAGCTTGTTCTTTATTTACAGAATGTTTTAATAAAGTTGCCAGAATTATTTTCGATAATTTGTTCAATGACCCGTCCACAGAATTGCATGTATTCCAGCCTAAAGAAAAAGGTATAAATGAGAAATGCAATTGAAGCTACTCAAAAATGAAGAACATATGTCTCTGAACAAGTATCTTGACAGGCAGCCACTCAAAAGTATATGTTAAAGAATAGAATAACCCAATATGTGCTATACATCTTATTTCAATCTTAATTTATTTTTTATTTGAATGCAGAAGCTCAGATCCAAAATCTAACTTGGTGAGGCACTTAGCAACATTAACGACCAACCTTTATTTTGAGCAACATCAATCATACTGTTATAAATATGTGTTGTCCATTCAGTTTTCAGTCCCGAGGCAAGCTGAGAAAAGTATTCGATTATTTTAAAATTAAATGATATGTTCATTACAAGATGTTCAAGTGTAAATAATTATTGAAAATCAAAAAAATATTCAATCAATATTCGATAATAATAGTTCGCAGTTGGAAAATAATTGCTTTGGTTTCAAGTCCATGCATCTCAAACGATTAACTGGTTAACTTCTCATGGTTCACCATATGATTGAGACGTTTTATCGTCTTTCTTCTCCAATAAGATAAATATGACAATCCTATCCTGGGGTTCAAATAATATAATATTACATTTATTTTTACATTTTTATTATGTTTAATCTTTGTTATGTACCTATTTAAATAAATATTGTTGTTTGAATACACGCTTAGTTAATATTTTGGAATGCGTAAGAACGAATTAAAATAATTACCATTGATTCTTATAGGAAAAAAAGTTTTGATTCTCTAACAAATTGGAAGTCGAACACCAATCCTGAACAAATTATGTTTGACTCCCGAGGTATCACTGTATATTCAAATTAAAAAGATTTTCTACCAAAAATACTCATAAATAATAGTGAAAAAATAAAAAGTTGGTACTTTATATGAAATATTGTATAATATTGCAAGCATATTATAAATACCTCTAACAGCTCTGGCCATTCGAAGTATGTTTTATAATTGAGTTTTTCCAACCTAATAATAGAGAATTTTTCTTTGCTGTTCATATCACGATTAATGAGATCAAAAATGTCATTAATATCTGTAAATAAATTTTATGTGTTATAGATTAAAAAACTGTAAATTCACTTGCTTTTCCATGTATTGTACATGTAGACTACACCTAATATGACATATTGTAAGTTCAAGCAGTGGTCAAGCCAATATTGGAACATGAGCTCACCAGGAGAGATGTAAACTATTAGGTAGGCTGTAGTGAAGCCAAAAAAGATTCAAAACTATATAAAATCCATGATTCTATGAATAAATTTCTTTTGAAAATTTTGAGCAGAAGTTTCACCTAATATACGGAAAAACCCAAATTTAAACTCATTGAATATACATTGAAATGAAATATAATTAATCCGAATTGCTTAGAATCAGAGATGGCTAAAACCATTTAATTTAATATTTTGAATACATTCTAAAATAATCTTTTTGCATATGAAATATTTAATATATTATTCTGAAATGAGTTTCCTAATCTGAAATTTTTCAACACAATTATAAATTGTAGAAATAAAATTCTCTATTTTTATTCTGCCAGGAGGTCACTTATGCTTTGTCTATCAGGAAATAAAAACTGCTTAAAAAGACATTTTCAAATGAAAATATTCTAACTTAGGTATTCCCAAACCCAAGAATTTTCTGAATCGAATATAACCAATTTGGAATGTATTCGAATATTCGATTTCTGCATCTTATTTAGCAGAATGATGAAATATCATATCAATACCTTCTTCTTCATTGAAACCATTTTCCATTCCATTGCATAACATAGAAGAAGATAACCAAGATTCATGAATATCCAAATGTTTATCATTGTTTTTCAAAACTCCCAAACTTGACCAATTGAGTGTTCGTCCAACTAACAAAGCACAGGCATTTTCCAAATCATCAATCCATAAACAGACAGATGTTATGAACGCTGCTTCATCTAAAATGAAATTTAATATACATTGTTTAAAAAGTGGTTTACTAATTGTGAGTAGCACATAACAGAGAAGGGGGGGGGGGGGGGGGGGGTATTGTATTTGTTACAAGGGTGGTATTCAGAAAATCTTTTCATAGAGAGTCAAATTGAGAAATTGACTGTGATAATCCTATTTTTAAAATGGTAAAATTAATACTCGTTTTTTTTCACAATATTTAATTGTCCAAATTCTAATAAACAATTTTCTAAAGAAGTGAAATTCTTTATCCATCCTTGGTGAAAGGCACTTAAAATGCCAATTATCAACACAATACATACTTAGATTTTGCTCGGTTGTGTCATCAGGTTGTTTAGCTGAAGTTTCCTTGCTAAGAAACCTGGAATTAGAAAATGGAGAAAAAATAAAATTACAGATGAAAGGAAAAATTGCATTTATTGTTATATTACTATGCAATTGAAGAATCCTGCTGCCCACTAACACAAATGTATTTCTGTAGCGTTTCGTCTGACAAAAATCAGACTACCTCAGACAAGCAGTTTATAACAATGACAAGAAAAGAACAATTGTGCGATTTAAATACGACAATGAATAAATTTGTCTGCGGAAGTCTGATTTTGGTCAGATGAAACGTTACAGAAATAGATTATTAGATTAATAAATTAGTGTGCAGCAGGACTCTTGAATTGCATAGAATGGTATGTTTATTGCTGCTACAGCATCCTTGCATCATTTGATACGGACCCACTAGTGCAAGGCATTGAGGAAGGATTGGAAGTTAGTCTCGCGCAACCTCTACTGATAGTTATATTGACGGAATTTGTCAGCACCCTTGAAAGATTTTTCCTACTTACACAAGGAAGATTCTAGCCAGAGCACTTTATAAGGTTCCGCTTCTATAAACTGAAAAAATGGTAGTAAGTTTTAGTTCTCACAAACCTATTGAATTTATCGATGCAATGAAGAAGGTTGAGTAAATCATCCGTCTTTGGTGAAATACAATGAGGATCGAGCATCAGTAATGAGTTGATGAAAACAGACAACAAACGTCCAGCACAAGACTGATCTAAAGTTTCTCCTAAACATAAAATTCAAAGCATGAAAATACATTTAATATTTACTTTTTTGCTCATTTTTCGATCAACTAGTACTGAAATCTGGACTGGACTGAGGAATCAAAAATGATTTGTCATTACAAATCGTGACTCGACAGTTAGTACATCGTACTAGGCGTTAGGAACATACTTTTAATTGTGACCATCATTACCCTGCACTGATTCGCAAGTTTGAACCACAGTATGAATATTTATGTGCAAGAGGATTGCTGGATAACCGCTGGTTGGTTACGGCTTCTCCATCATCAAGTTCATGCATCTGGAAC